TAAAATGTTGCTGATATCCTGATAAACATTTTACTAGTTAACCACTTTTTGATATCTTTCACAAGTAGTGAGATATATAGGCTCAAAGTGGACGATCCGGGTGTCGTTCTATTAGAGGTTTTACGGCAATCTACATGCATTTCTGCACATTTTGATGCAATAAAAAATTTCACCGTACACCACCTTTAAATCGCGCCGAAGGCCCACCAGCCAGCTGTTTGAAGCGCTACAAACAGGCTGGTCTATTAAAAATTTATATCAGTAGTTAATAAGATTACATCCACTCACATCAATCTCCATCTAAAGTTTATGTTCTATGTACTCTTTAACATTTTCCTTCTTACAACACACCATTAGTTTTAAGACTCGTAAAGTTTCCAATATCTTTTCCATATCCATAGTATTAGCAAAACTCAATCTTGTAGTAGAACTAATTATATGTTAACACCCTCACTGCACCCGGCACCGACACCTTCAAGGCACCTTTTAGTATACTCCTTCCAGAAGCAATTTATTTTGTTTTTTTTGGTCTGATCTAGATCAAATGAATGAAATTCAAATAAACGGAGACCCGGAATAACTATCAATTCGATCCGTTCAGGTTTCCAGTGTTAATAGCACTGATCCCATTGATCTATTTGGTTCCGACAATTGTTATTGTTGTAAAAGTTATCAGAGCTTATGTTCGAAATTTAGTGGCAAACAAGAAGGATGAACGAATCAATCAGCATGTGTTTTTTGCCATCACACTGCACTTGGTTACGGTAAGTGAAGGTTGCAAACAATCGTTCGAAATAAGCCAAACTGGAGTGGACCTGCTCAGGCGTCGCCGGTGGCCGGGGCTTGGTCATATTCCGGCAAAGACATTGTGGGAAGCCGACCAAGATCCGACAAAATACCGGCCAGCTTTCGACCCCTTAACACGCAGCGCTTTCGAATTCCGGCCAAAATTTGACCATTGTCCGTCCCACTGCTGTCAGTGAGCAGCTTCTGACCAAAATCTGACCAAAATCCGTCCAAAAGCCGAATGTGAACTTATAAACTAACGTATTTCCTCTAATTGAAGCCCATGGGCTTCTATTTTTCAACCTCCTTTTCAGAAAATTTCCAAAAACTGAAATTGCGAGAAATTTTTCAAAATAGAAAGAAAATATCTACAACAACCGAATAGACGAACTAAACTGTTTAAACTTCACTAACTGAACTGTATGAACGTCTGTTAGAAATTACGCTTTCATGTTTTTAAGCACGTCGGAGGGTGGGCTTCTATTAGCTTCAAATAGAGGTTCAATTAGAGAAAATAAGGTATCGTAGAATCTGAAATAGAAGGGCCCATATATCTAATTTTCTAAGCAAGATATCAAAAATGTATCAACTGATAAACAATTTATCAATTGGCAAATGTTTTATGTCTTTGACAGGAACCGAGATAACTTGGCTCAAAGTTCAAAGTTAGGGTCCCTTCAATTACAGGTTTTAAGCTTAAAGGAGGCCAGAAAACAAAAAAAAGTTTTCCGGATATTTTGCATAGAGAACCCCCATGAGGGGTTGAACTCATGACAGGCAGCTCAGGGGTACAGCGCCGCTACCGGCTGAGCTACGGGGGCGCGAAGGCGCCTGACGACCAATGTTCTACATAAGCGCGGCGCGATTTCGTCCCCCGAACTGTCCCCCGAAATTTTTGCTGTTTCGCCTCCTTTAAGCTGCCTATAATTTCGAACGTATCTTTTAGATCAAACAAGCCGAAATGCTCATTGTGAACTCTATATTCTGGCTCTTCGCTTGCACTATTACCAATATTGTTTTGTACAAAAAGTTGTGCAAAATGCGGACGAAACGAAAAAGTGCAAAATTGAGAAGAGCAGAATTTTCCCTCACTTTGATTACAATTTCCATGTTTCCTTCTTTTATTACTAATGTTGCTTTAGGAGATGGTTTTTGATAAGGCTTCCATTTCGGTCGGTCAAGAATTGGTTGACCGCCGACCAAGCTTACCGATCGCTCAGCATGCTTTGTGTTCTTGCGCGTCAACATGCCCAAGGGTGTTTGCGTGCGTAGCATCGAAGTTCATAAAATCGTTAAAAAAATGCTGCGTACGCAAACACTCTCTGGCACGTTGACGCGCAAATGCACCAATTTCGCCTTCTCGGTCGGCTAGGTCGGCGGTCGGTCGGTCGGCTAAATTTAATGGAAGCCTTACCGTGTTTCCTCCAATAGAAGCCCATCCAAACCATCAACTTTGACCTCAATTATACTGATTCCTTTGAGAGATATCAATAACTTGTCAACTGGTAAAATATTGATGATATTATGATTAATAATTTATCAGTTGAAAAAATTCTGGCATCTTTGACAGGTGTCGAGATAATTAAGCTTAAAGTTGACGATTTGGGTGGGCTCATCCATATAGGAAATATCCAAAAGTATCTTCAAAACTTGTTGCACTAATTTTCAGGGTGTCTATTTGATCTCTCCGGCTATGACTGTCTATTTCATTGCTCTTCGACCAATCGGAAAGTGATATCGAATTCGTTTTGGTTTCATGAATTTTCTACTCCACTCATCCAATTTTCAAAACTCAAAAGTGGAACCTATAGCTGCAAGAACGAGTCAGCCGATATTATACATGTACTTTGGTTTTGTTTTGCTAGTTGAAATTTCAAAAAAGAATAGACCGCGAAGTGCCTCGCAAGTTTAGCGTGGCATTTCTTAACTAATGTTTTGATTTTCACCGGAAAAGAGAAAAATTAAAAGGGCAATCACAACTTTCAAGTTGTGTTTTAGTACTCCACACTCTTTATTTTTCTCAATTTTCGAATTCTCTAATCCATAGCCGCCATGAACAATATATCTATCAATGGAGACCCTGCCTATATCGATTACAAATTCGATTTGTATACTGTTCCAGTGATGACTGCGATTCTCCCACTGTTTTATATCATTCCAACTATATTCGTTTTGGGAAAAATTATAAGAGTTTACATTCAAAGTTTAATTGGGAATCGAGAAGAGTCACTCAATCGATATGTATTTTTCGTGATTTTTCTGCAGTTGGTTATGGTAAGAGGGTTTACTTTGGTTCATAAAAAGCGGCCTCCGAAGTTTTTTGACACAAAACCTAGTTTCAAAAATGTTGCACACCGTAAAATCAGTGTTCGAAAGACCCCCAAATAAAAGGGCCCCTCAAATAAAAGGGCCCTCTGAGAGGGGTTCTTGGAACAATAGAAGAGCTACAGGCTTTACTGAAGCTGGTGAGAATCTCTTGAAATATTTTTTTCTGATTGAACTTTTATTTGAAGAGGTTTGAGATTTAATTTGACTCACCGGATAATTGGGGGGTTTTTCTCGTTTTTGCAGTGTTCAAACTAACAAAGGAACCACAACACCTCGTCAGTTTGGATTTTGATGAAATTTTCAGTATATGTCAAGGATAGCCTATCTAGACATCCCTGAAAAGTTTAGAACACGCTCGCCAGTTTCAGCCGAGTTATATCAGTTTCAGTATCAAAAATCGCGTTTTCAGTGCAAAAATAGCGATTTTCAAAGGCGATTTTCTCCGTTCCCAGGAGGTTCCAGAACATGAAACTTGTTTTGTTATACTCAAAATTATGTGTAATATCATATTTCAGACATTTTCTGAAAAATTTTTTTTGGAAAAAATTTGAAATTTTTTTCCACCATTTTTATTATCGAGCTTTTGTCATTTGATTGGTGATTTTATCGAGCTTTTGTCAATTTGGAAAATTTCCTTGAAAAAGTAGTGATAATTGTTTGCAAATATTATTTTACAACTGATAGATAATCTATTTTTTGCACGCTTTTCATTATTCATTCATGGTCCGTACAGGTCCAAAAACAGAGCTTCAAAACCACCACATTCCAGTAATTGAACCTTCAAATTTTTTTGGAATTTTTTCGAAATTTTTTTTTTTCTAAATTTTGTCTCTACTCTCTTGAATTGAGAAAATTTTGAAACATATGTCAGAGGGATCCTGAAATGTCGCAAAATAAGAAAACAAAAAGAAAGAAAAAAGAAAAAACCCTAGAGGGTCCGAACCCACAGCCTTGTGACTACTGGCGCCCACCACATCCCCGACACCACGCCGTCGACATTTACTTTTGATTCGAAAGGCGTTTAAATGTCAGGCCCTCTTCAAACTCCTTTTAAAGGGATTTCGGGGATGAAATGTGTGGTAAATCATGCAAATCAACGGATTTCAGTACTAAAACTTTGGACGGATATAACTCTGCTGAAATTGACGAGCGTGTTCTAAAATTTTCAGGGATGTCTAGATAGGATATCCTTGACATATTCTGAAATTTTCATCAAAATCCAAACTGACGAGGTGTTGTCGTTCCCTTGTAAGCCAAAATCCCACCACCTTTCTCAAGAGTGTACCTTGTTTTGCAGAGTTTCTTCTACATGTCCACCGACTACACAACCATTCGTATTCCGGCAACTGGCATCATCACCAATTGGTGTGCTTCTGTCCAACCCAATCATTACATCAAAACCCTTTTTGTCTTATCCGGCTACTTCAATTTCACCGCAATGCTATTCCCCTTTCTTCTATCTATTCTGAGATTGATTCCAGTTTATTATCCAATCAGAACTGATGAGGTAACCAGCAAACAATTACCTAACTTAACGCTATAAATGTTCCAGATGTGCTCCAAAATAGTCCGCTTCTCAATTCCCTTCATCTTCCTCTTCCCCCTTATCTTCTGTATCCCTTTGTTTCCGGCACTCGGAGACTGCCGACAGCTTCTGGGAACATATCAGTTTGGTGCAATCTATTTTCATTGGAGAGGTGGCTGGTGGAATATGCGTTTGGCCGAACCACTGATCTTCAATTCGATTGTCTGGCTTTCTGGATGTACGATAGCCAACGTCCTACTGTACAAGAAACTGGCGAAACTTCGATTTCAAAGGCAGAGTATACAAACCAAAAAAGCAGAAAGATCTCTAACTTTTATCACGCTCTCTATGTTTCCGGCATATATGACCAACCTGGCGTTATTGGTAGTCAATTAAGCTTTTCATAAATAGTCGATAAATAATATTTTCAAGGTGGTCTTCATATTCTCCCCAACGTCTTCTGCTTATTTACTGGCTCTTCGACCGTATGGAAGTGACTGTGATTTTGTGGTTGTCCCCTGGGTTTTCTATATGACCCATCCAATATTCAGAGAGAAGAAAATAGTTCCGATTAATGTTGTGAGAGCTCAAGCACAAACTACAGTATAAGTAAATCGTTTTCCCTTCTGCTGACTTATATCCTGATTATGTCCCTCAAATAATAATTAACAAGTAATGTTTTATTCAACATTAAAGATTTTCGTTTGGTTCACAATTCCTTCCTTTTCTCCGCTGAAAAAAAACCGTTTTTTTTTCTCTTTAATATTTTCCTTCATGCTTACCAACACACTTTTCTGGTGCCCCAGCCCAAGTTCCGTCGTTCTTGCAGACATAAACTTTGAATGGTTGCCCGGCAAGCTCAAAAGCATGATATTTCTTGCACATGTGGACAACTTGTTCGCCAGCAGCGTAGTAGGATTTGAGTTCGGCAGTGGTTGGACGGACTGTGTTGCCAAGGTCAAGGGAGAGTGCCGGGCATACTGTAGTGACGGGTCGTGTCGAAGTGGGGATGGATACTGGTTTGGTGGATGCTTCGGTGGCCTGAAATAATGAGAACATCTAACTAAAGCTGTGCAAGTCGCGGGCACGGTCGGCCGGTCATGGGTAGGTTGTGCCCTGTGCCAGTCCGTTATTTCGAGAATAAGCTCAGCGACCGTATCCTATCTAACCCAGAAGTCTTGCTAACGGCTGTGGCACAGGCCTGTGTCTACCCTACTGTTTAGAGTGAGCTTACCGGTCCATCGGGTACCGGAGTAGCAGATCTAAAGACCATAGAAACAGTTGATCCCTTTTCTGTTGCCCTTGATGCTTTTTCCGATGCAGATTCTCCAGGTGTTGTTGTTTTAGCTGTTCCGCTAGCTGTTCCAGGTCCCGCTTTGGTGGTCATATTGGATCCCGAAGATCCAATGGACTTAGTGGTTCCTCCAGTTGTGCTCGTTGAACCAGATCCAGCAGTTGATGTTCTAGAAGGGTGGCCTGGAGATGTTGAGAACACATTTCGTGATCCAGTTCCTGTTGGCCCATTACTTGTGGTTCCAGCAGAGCTTGAAGTTGGAGTAGCTTTCAAAGAATTTGTTGACCCAGCTCCAGAAGGTTGCGAAGAAGGCGTCGATCCTGATGCATCGGTTTCATTCGATAGCACTGTCGGAGCCACCGAAGAACTCGAAAAAGACTTAGTAGACGTTTTGATGAAGCCAGATATAGTAGATCCAGTTGGGACAGGTACAGCTGGCGTTGTGTAGTTAATTGTAGTCGCCGTCGCTATTGGATTCTAAAAACAAATCTTCAATAATCAGTGTTTTCCACATCAGAATTTCTTACCGTCTGCTCTTGAGTTTCCGTGGATGTAGAGATCTTCATAGCCCCAGAAGCTGTTGATGCAGTGCCAAGTGCGGTGCCCGAAGGTGTGGATGATTGAGCTGATCCAGTTAGCTGAACTGCGGTTCCAGAGTCCGTTGTGACAGGTTTGTCAGAGCTCGTTAAACCTGTTGCTGCTTTTCCGGTGGTTGTAGTAACATTTGAACCAGTTACATGAAACCCAGCTTTATCAGTTCCAAGTGATCCAGCTTGATCAGTAGTACCAGTAATTGGCGTCAGAGTAGATCCAGTTCCAGTATTGGCTACCAATTTCCCTGTTGTACTTCCACTCACTCCATTTGGTGGGGTGGTTTTCCGCACTTCTTCTTCTTCTGTGGTTCCAGTTCCCAAAGGATCTAACTTTGGTGTAGATTGAGTGGATCCTTTAGAAGAAACAAAAGCAGGTGGCGTTGTTGTGCCAGTCACCGGAGAATGAGCTCCACTTGATGCGACGGCTTGAGTTGTTGAGGCAGACGGATTGGCTGTGACTTTGGAGACCTTTGAAGATTCAGTAGAGATGGTTCCTCCAGTTTCTGTATCGGTAGGAACCGAGAGTTTGGCCGTCGACGTCGCAGGAATCATAGATTCAGATTCAGTTGCTCCAGAATTCACAGTTTTCTTCGTGGAAATATGTCCTGTGGAAGTCGTGCTGCTCAAAATACTGGTCAGAGTGAAACCGATTGGGCTATCATCAATAGGCGCAGAGCGCTTAGTAGTTGTTTGGAAAGTGCCGCTCCTGGAAGCTGTGGTACTGGAGACGTGGGATGTAGACAATTCTGAAAATTTGCTGTTTGCAGCTTTCTCTATCTTTGGGTTACCGGTTTCATCCTGATATAGGTTCCTAGTTTTAGTGGTTGATTTGGAGGTGATGGAGTCTGGAGTCGTTGAACTTTCATCAAAGGACGGTGTTGTCGAATCGAAAAAAAAATTAGAAATTTGGGCTTGCATGTCAAACATAATTATACCTTCTAAATCTGTTTCTGTGGTTTCAATGAGAGGTGATGTCGTGGTAGTTATCTTATCGAGTTGCTTTGGAGTCTCTGTTGGATCTGAAGATGTGGTGGCATCTTCTGATTTCTTTGTAGATCCAGATAGTGCGGTTGTAGTTTCTGATACCGAAGTGGTTCCTTGGCCAGGTAGCTCCGTGGTGAGCAAAGTTGAAGCTGATGCTGTTGAAGCGGGTTCATCGATTTCAGCTGTTTTGTCAGGAATAGTAGTCGTGAGGTCTTTAGAAACTAGAACCGATGAACTAGTTGAAGCTGCTTCTGTGGAAGTGGATTCATAAACTTCTTCGAGTTTTCCGTTAGGCGTAGTAGTCGTGCGGTCTTTGGGAATCAAAGTAGGCGTCTTAGTTTGAGAAGAAGAAGAAGAAGAAGATGGAATATTCGGCTCGGTCGTCAGCTTTTCACCTGGTTTTCCAGGCCCGAACTCTGGTAGCAGGGTGGACGAAGAACTCGGAAAAGCTGGGTCATCATTTTTCGGCTCCTTTATAACTTCGATAACTTCTGAAAAAAGTCATGTTCACTTTGTGTGAACTTCAGTCTCACTCTTTAATGTTGTCGTAGGCCTTTCCGTGGTGGTTGTTTTTCTTTCTTCATTCCAATTTCCTGAATCCGGGGAAGCGCTGGACGAGGAGCTCGGAAAAGCCGGATCGTCATTTTTTGGCTCATTTGGAATAGGAATATCTTCTAAAAAAGAACAGGTTCTTTTCATTTCGAGTGAAAGGCAGACTCACTCTTCATCGTGGTCGTAGGCTTCTCTGTGGTTGTTGTTTCCCTTTCCGAACTCTCGAAATCCGGCTTGGAAGGCTGTGTTGTGCTCGTCATTCTTTGCCATTGGAATTTAGTAGTTGTATCTGAAAAAAAAATACTTGCAACGAGCCTACCCAGGCATTTTTCAGAATTTTCTCGGCCCTCGTAATTATCCTTTTCTAGTGATTATTTTCTGTATTCTCAAAAGAAACGAATCGAGTCAGTAAAAAAAAAGAAGTGCTTTTGATGCTTCCGGAGTACAACAATTTGCGTTGTATGTAAATGTGACAACTCCATTCTTGTCGGTCACATCGAATTGAGTATTTAGCCAGGAATCACATTTCTTTGTAGTCGTTTGAGGAGATTCAGTCGTTGTTGTTAATGTCGTAGTTGTCGTTGTCGTTGTCGCTTCTGTATAGAAACATACTTCTTGTGAACATTAGCTTTGATCAGTACATAAATCAAATAAACAGCAAACCGGCGTACCTGTGCAATTATCCCAGATGGAGTCCAACCCAGGACAGGCATTGGGGATGCAGTAAAGTAATTTGGTCAACGCTGCTTCTTTTAACTTGTTCAATTTCTCGTCCTTGTCATTGTCCGAGAAAGTATCCGAAATGGGTGTTTTTTCCATGTCTTCGATATCTATTGCAAATTTAGTGTTCGCGAGTTTCTCGTGTGCCGTTTCGGAACAACAGTTTCTTGAGTAAATAAAGGTGGCTTCCACATTTAATTCATCATAAACAGCAAAATCCGTGGCCAACCATCCACAATCGATTGGAGAAGAAGTTGTTGAAGAAAGTTTCGTTGCGGTCTCTAAAATACGATAAGGACAGTCATTTCGAAACTCAGACTGTTCAAAATTTCAAAATCTTTTATTTCCTCACCCTGTAAGCTCATGCAATTTCTTCCAAATCTTAGGAAAACTTGTTCAATGATTAAAAATTTGTTGATACTTTCAGCTTTTCTCCAATCATCAACAAAACCAATTTTCTCAGTGTCTAAGAGTTTCAAAACTTGTTCGAAACAGCAAATTCCGTCATAGGAAAGGCTTTTGTTCTGGTTGTCCACATAAACTTGACTTTTGTCTGTGAGCCAATCACAGTCTAGTTGGTGAGAGTTAAGGGGGATCTGGAGTAACAATAGAATGGTATACACTCGCATGCTGTGGAGTGTTAGACTAAACTGGTGTGAAATTTCGAAAGAGTTTGAAAGAACAAAAATGACAGAATGTCAGAAAATTTGACATGTTGAAAATGGGTTCTGGCTGGAGGATGGGAGGGTAGCTAATGGTAACGAAAGATCCATTCCAAAGTAGAGATGAAGTTTCAGAAATGTGTGAAAAATTGTGAGGAACAATAAAACGATACAATACACGAATGATTATGGACAACGTATGCTTCTATTAGAGCATCTACAGTAGTAATCAATAGCTTCCGTCTAGAAAAAACAATTAAAGGTGGGGGGACATGAAAAAAATAATGTTCTCGAAATTCCGTTCAAACATGCCCTTCGAGGAGTTGAACTTGTGAGGGCGTTGATTGAGGGTGCGGCGCCGCTACCGACTGAGCCACGCGGGCAAAGAGAAAGCCGCTGCCCGATTGCATACATAAATTAGAGAACGACAGCTATACGCAGAGTGACATTAAGCGTTGCAGAGTGACGGTAGAATGCATACTAGCTACAAAAAAACTACGAAAAATCTCCTGTCCCCCCACCTTTAAGATCCAAAAAAAGCTCAAAAAATGAAGTAGTTTGCTCTTGCCCCTTTAAGAATAATTTAACGAGGTATCTGTTCTCAATCTTCATTTTTCAGACAAAGATAATAAGAACCCTCACCTGCTTCCGGCTTACACCATGTAATCTCCACCACTGCCAACAGTAGAAATGAGAAGACGAGACGATTCTTTTTCGACGACATTCTGTCGTAGAAAATTCGAATTCAACTGAAAGTTTTTCTGTCGGCCGAAAAAGCTGGGCGTCGGAGGGACCTGCTAGGCAACACGGTACTTCAAACTACCCCCTTACCATAGACTTTTGGTCCCAAATTTCGAGAGGAGTCGACGGAGGGATGACGGATTGTGAATGGGAATTGCTAGGCAATGGAAAGAAGGAGACCCCGTTTTCTTTTCTGTGTTTTGTCCCCCTTTTCCGATGTTTCGATTTTTGATGCACATTCGTTTTATTATTTCCAATTATTTCAAATCAAATTAAAACAATATTACAATTAGACAGCATAATCAAGACTATACAGACAACACTAATTTCTAATTATAAAATAACAGGAATCAGTTTACTTTGGTTTTTTTTTTGTTTTCCACCACTGTTTTACTAGTTTCGCGGTCATTGGAATAATTTTAGTTGTGATTCGAACCTCCTTATTGATATTTTCGGCAATCTGGGCGTCCGTGAGTTTCTTATCTCTGAAAAGTTCCGCGGCCAAAAGACGGCATTGAGATTTTGAGTAAGCCATTTCGAGGGTTGGCCGAACAAGAGCAGGGTAGTTCATATAAATGCGAAGCTTTTCCGGATATTTCTTGCAGTTCAGATACCAGGTGATGAAAATGATAATACATTGCGGATAGACGTCTTCGAGGTTTCCTTCCAAGAACCATTGGATGTAGAAATGATGGGTTTCTGGAACATTTTACTCTATGAATTAGTATTTTATCGGCGCCTGAAACCCACCAGTCATATCAGCTACTTGCAATCTTGAAATGGTATTTTTCGTCATAAATTTGGGTTATCACTTTCACCAATTGGGCTGGATTCATCTCTTGGTGGCTAGCAATTTCGGCTTCTAGATTCGTTGGGTCCAGGAAATTGATTTTTGGTCGCTCCGGTACTCCTTTTTTGATACTTCGGACAGAAGAACCTAGAAAGTTGGTCCGAATGTTGTAGGGAGCGGCTGAGGAGCGCAAATGTGTAGACAGGGCCTCTTGATGAGTTTGACATCTTCTCACAGGTCCTGGCTTTTCCAACAAAATGTGATATTTGTTGCTATTAGAATCGTCTGGAAGTTTTATTGCTGTTGGCGGCGTCGGATTGCTCATTGATCGTAGAATGGGACTTGTCCGGTATATCACTTGGGATTGAGGGTCCCTCGGAAGTTGCGCATGCCAAGTTGAAAGCTGGTCTGGGGACTGCTGGGTCGGAGACACCATCGAGACATTTCCAGAATCATCAGATTCGAATTTCCGATTGTTCAGTGGGGAATCGTAGGCACTATACTGCTCCTGACCCATTTTGGGGGATCCTTGGCGTTGAGGAAACAGTTGAGGATACTGTGTCATCAGTAAGCAAAGTTGATCAGTTGTGACGTAGGGAATTGGGGAGGCTGAAGCAAGATAATGATATTGTGTAGAAGAATATTTGAAAAGCACCTCGACCCGTCAGATTTATGCCTGCACTCCGGTTCGCCTGCTGGCATTTTTGTACCGCTAGTTGAAACATTGCATACTTTAGCCTGGGAGATGGTGTATTTCGAGCAATCTGGGTATTTTGATTTTGATTTACAACCAGGGCATTATGGGGCTGATATCGATTGGTTGTCTGATTCGAGGTTCCTATAACTTGAGATTAGTCGCTGGAATGGGATGCAATTTCCAAACTACCTTGCTCATTGGCCATTTGTTGCAAAAGTTGGTTTGGAGTCATCATTCGTTCATGTTCGAGCTCACTATCAGAAGGAGTTTTGTGTTGGTAATGCTGATTTTGTCCCATTGGCTGTTCCATGGGTCCGGCGGCGATGTTTCCAGAATTTTGAGCAGGCTTCATGAGGCCATGTTGCATTAGTCCCAAGTAGGTGTTGCAATCTGAACGTTTTTCAGTATGTAATCTTTTGACAGTCGAATACACAGTTTGAAACTTACCTTGTAAATACTGCTGATAGCTTCTTCCGTTGGTCATCTGACCTGGATTAAGAGTCGCCATATTCGCCGCGTATTGTTCACGAGACTGTGTCCAAGGATGAGGTCTGGCGAGTCCCGGATTCCCAGTAGAGATGTTGTTTTGACCTGCCGACGTCCAAGGATTCCCAATGGATCCTGTCTGTTGGTATGTTTGTCCCGATGTCCAAGTAAGGCTTCGATTGGAACTTATTCTTTGATCGATGCAGGGCTGATTGCTCTTCTGCCAATCCACCTGCTTACGGATGGAATCCAAATTTTCCGCAATCTGGCCCGGAGTGATTCCAGTGAAGTAGAGGTGGGAGTAGAGAGAATTCTGATAAAGGTTCGGTAGTTCCATGGTTTTTGGAAGAAACTGAAATATTGGAGAGTTTGGAAAAAGAAGGATGTAGGTAAGAAAAGGAGAAAAAACATAAAATGGGGTCACCAGGAGACAGATGCTCTCCTATGTTCCCCTTTCTTGTGTTTGGTATGGCGGGCAAAACACTATTAGTCCCTTCACTCAATAAAACATTTGTTAGTCTAAAGGTCGTAAAATTTGATCTACATGTACTTTGTTTTGGAATTTTTCTTTTGGGAAAAATCGGTTGTAAACGGGCCTACTTTATGGCTTACAACTTTGTTCACACACAATATACAGTTTTACAAATAGTCTTATTTTGTAGTCTCGTTGAGTTCTATAATATCTATTTTAATTAATCCAAAAATATTGATTCTGAAGGAAACTATGGCAGGGCCCGCAAAGGCCGCCAGGGCCCGTATTTCAAGTATACTAGAAGTATAGTATACTAGAAGAATTCAAACCATTGTAGAATATACTGATTCCCAACCGAAGCTGCCCATTTTTCTCTTTTTTCGATTATAAAACAATTAGTCAAAATTCAAAGCCAAAAAAAAAAACGAAATAAAAATTGCTTATTTTATTATTAGCTTTGTTGAAGTTCTTATTTTCCATGGCTTGCCATTTCACCATAAATAATCATGAGTAATAAAAAAGAAAGTCCACAGGGAGAACAATTAATCCGCCTCTTTCTTTTTTGAGAAATAATTTTTGGAATTTTAGCTCTTTGGTTTTTTTTTTCTGGATAAAAATGGAAGAAGGATATGTGCAGTTTGTTGTTTGAGGAATTTCTGAAAAATAAAGTTGAATGGTGGGGACTTGATCTTTAAAAGAAAACCTCAGGGAAAATTTTTGTAAAAGTCTGATCAGCTGATACCCCTTATCGTTTCACAAACTCTCCTAAATTCAAAAAATCTTCCACTTCCGGATTTTTCGTCATTTTTTTTCTTGAGCACATTAGTATTATCTCCCCTCCATGTGTGAAAAATGACTCTTTTCTTCCAACAACACAGGAAATTAGCATTCGGCCCATTTCGCCTCCCAACCTTTTCTTCCTCGGGACGGGGAAAAAGAGTGCATCTATTCTCTCCGCCGTTCCCATTTCTCCTTTTCCCAGCCAAATTAATTTATTTTGGATCAACAAGAGAAAGCGAGATCTTTCTTATTTTGTTTCCCGTTTTTCTTTCATTTTTGACCTTTTGGAATAGGTTTTGAAATTTCTATTTTTGGTGATTAGGAATCCTCAGAGATTAAAAAAAAGTCAAAATTCAAATTCCGTTCATGCTGTAATAGAAGCCCACCCTATACGTGCACTTTGAGCTTAATTATTTCGTTTTCTATAAGAGATATCAAAAACCTGTCAACTAATAAACGATTGATGATGTTATAATAACTAATTTATTAGTTGAAAAGTTTTTAATATCTCTTCAAGGAACCAAGATAATGGAGCTTAAAGTGCACGTATAAGGTGGGCTTTTATTAGAGCAAAATGTCCACTTTGAGACAATGTTTCATTGTTTCTATAAGAGGCCAGTCGATTTTCGCCGCCTGTCAATCTTTTGGCTTGCCTTAAAACGTTCGATATTTCTCAGTTTTTCCACCTATTGTTTTATTATTTTTAGGTCACCCAGATCCAGGTCACCCAGATACAGGTCACCCGGTCATGGTCACCCGGAACCAGGTCACCCTGTTCCAGGTCACCCGGTCAAGTTCACCCGAAACCAGGTCACCCGGTCAGGGTCACCCGGAACCAGATCACCCAGTCAGGGTCACCTGGATCCAGGTCACCCTAATCCAGGTCATCCGAATCCAGGTCACCTGGAACCAGGTCACCCGAATTCAGGTCATCCGAATCCAGGTCACCCGGTCACCCGGTCAGGGTGACCCGGATCCAGGTCACCCGGATCCAGGTCACCCGGATCTAGGTCACCCGGATCCAGGTCACCCGGATCTAGGTCACCTGGATCCAGGTCACCCGAATCCAGGTCACCCGAATCCAGGTCATCAGAATCCAGGTCACTCGGACCCAGGTCACCCGGGCCCAGGTCACTCGGACCCAGGTCACCCGGATCCAAGACCCAGGATCCCAGGGTCACCTTCTCTGGAGTCCAGAGAAGGTGAGAACTGATTCTTCCTTTCATTTCCCTCTTCTTTTATATTATTTTTCTAGAGGTCAATGGTTTCTAAACCAATTCACGTAGACTTTTTGTTTCTAGAATTTTAAATTTCTTTCGAAGCATTTTTTGCCACTGGGTTTCTTTTTTAATTTTTTTTTCTATCACGTTTAAATAAACTGGAATTTTCACTTTTGAAATCTGTGAAACTCCTAAAAAGATTCCTAAAAGCCAAAATTTGATTCTTTAATACTCTTGCCAATAAAAGTCTCGACAGTTTCAATAATATCAGATTTTTCAGAATGTGCAGCCCAGCCTGCATCCGAGTAACCATCAGAATCCTCAAAATCCTTGGCTACATCATCTTTGGCATCCTAGCAATCACATCGGCTTTATGCTTTCTCTGTGTAAGCTATGTGACTCTATTAATCATGCTCCCACCTTTGGAACGAGTTCACATTCATTATATGACAAAACTGACACGTTATTTGGGATACGATAATTATGAACGTTGGGATCCAAATGCAAAGTTTTCTGCATGGGGAGCCCCATATGATGCAGCGTGTGGAGAGATAAGGATGGTGTTATTGAAATTGGATTGTATGGAACCGGCGAACACATGTATGGAGAAGATAGTGATGTTTGAGAGGGATGAATGGATAAGAATGAATCGGAGTGTTCAGGAAAAAATATTTCATAATGTTTCAAAGGAGTGCTTTCAAGCAATGGTGAGTGATAACCTTTTATACTTTCCAGAAGCTGACAATAATTAATCTACAAGTTGCCATCGTGAGGTTAGAAGGTAATGTTTGTTCGGAAAATTGATTCTCACTCTGTCTAGTACCTTTTTGCCCTTTTCAAACACTCTTTAGTAGCTCATTAAGTGAAATGGATTTTTTATGGGACCCCTTTGAAAGCGAAATCTTGTTTTCTTGCTCCCTAACAACTTTTTTAGATAACGACTCACTTTTCAGACATGCATGAAGGGAAGGGTCGCCTAGAAAACTCAACTTCCGAAAATTGAGCCATCATGATAAAAGACCGACCGGATAAATATCAGGTCATTTCTAGCCATAAAAGTTGGTGGCCTAGAAAACTCAATTTGCGAAGGTTAGGCCATCATGTTAAATGACCTAGAAAACACATCAGGTACATGCTAGACCGTTTCTGGACCATCAACTACTGTGGCCTAGAAAAACCATGTTGAGAAAGTTAGGCCACTCTGTTCCTCGCAGTCTTTTATATTTCAGAACGACCCCATCATCAGAAACCAGTCCTTTTATCATGGCAGAGATTGTTTCATGAATGTGTCTCGAGAGTTTTGTGCTCTCGATATATTATACTACCTCGATTCTTACTATGAGTTCTTTTTGAAATTCGCAATGACACCAACGCAGGACGGATGTGGAATTTATGAGAAAATACTATCGTTAGACTGTCAGGATTCTATGGAAGATTTTAGAGAGTCTGTAGTAAGGTTAAAACTTGGAAATCAGACAAAAGATGATTATTTGGAAGTTGCAAAACTTTGTGATGAAATGCAGGTGAGTGAACTTTTAAAATCTACTGTAAACTTCTTATTTCCAGAATTGCATAAATAATTTGACTACAAGCTGTGCAATCTCTTTAGAATTTAAAAGAAAAACTAAGGAATATTGTGAAAAAATGCATTTCTTGGCATCCCCATTCTGGCAATGCATCCAAAGATTGAAAACCGAAAATGTGAAACCGGATCTAATGAAATATGTATGCCTCATCGGACACGAACTTTCTGATGACTCTACTGCCTGTCAACGATTCAGTGGCTCGTCAGAATGTATTGAAGGTTTTATGATGGATCAATGTGGATTCGAATCAGTGGAAGGGTTCGAAGATTCTTTGACCTATTTATTGGAAATGTGGGATTGCTAATCTTTATTAATCATTCGGTAGTTTTATTGAACTGTGTAAAATAAATATTGGATTCCATTGTGGCATCATTATAAATCATTTGTTCTCCAAATGTCGATTTTGGCTCCTCCTCCACATGAGCTCTCCCAATGCACAAGAATATCAATCTCCTTGTTTCTTTCTGCCATTCAGGTAATGCAGAGTACAGAATAATTGGTACAGTAATCCCATAGGCAAGACAGAAAAAGTTGAAACAAATATATGACCAATAGATGATCATCATATCGATTTTGAAATGATCCATGAGAAGGATAGAACAGCATCCGATGTTGAAAAAGAATATCGAGATTTGAACTTTTTTGAGAACCTACAAATATTTTTTCATTCATTTTTTTTTCTTTTTTTTTTTGAATTTTTCGAAACGACTTACATTACACATTTTGATATTTTCGGCTAATTGAAATCTCTCGCTCAATCCATAGGAAACTTTTGAGAAACACTTTGAGCTATAAAACTTCTGATGCTTCTTGGTATTGTACGATGAGCAATAGTGAATTCCAATGTAGCCGATGACATTGACAATGAAAAATGAGATGACGTGGAAGACTACTGGCAACCAGCCTGAATAAGAATTATTGGGTGAGGAGGTTACTGTATGTCTCCTCTTACAATGGATATAAGCAATAGCTGATGTGAAAACCAAGGGATGAAAGATGGAGAGAATTAGAAGAGATGCCCAGATGTTTCTTGATTTTTCATAGTTTTTCACTAGAAATGTCGCCAAACATCGTTCAATCATAAAAATAGGGAGGATGTACATTGCAATGAATAAGCCAATCGTTCGGAGATAATTGGCAATTATGATGACTTGATGGAGATTGTCTGCAATGGATAATTTAGGTGTTTGATAGTGTAGCTAAATATTATCAGTCCGGATAATTGTGCGCAACCATGGACAAGTTGTTATCATGAAGTCGGAAAAAAGATTAAAGCTCACCATCAGGATCCATTCCAAGCTGCTGCCAAACTATTAGACATCTTGAAAGCATTGAGAAAAAATATTGGCCTCCGTAGTTCATGAACAAAAATGTTAAATTGAAATGCATAGCTCTAATGATAACGAAGAGATAGAAGAGGTACAGGAATTCGATCCAGCTGGAATGGTTTGATGTTTGAATTATGTATTTTGATCTAATTAGGATACGTTCTTTGTTTTTAAATGAAAGCAAGGCTGTGCAAAATGACGGCCGGCCGAGGCCGGCCGCGACAAGCCTGATAAAATCCTGTGAAGTGAAACCTAGTTTTTTTTTTGAAGGATTGGGAACATATAATATATTTATCCCTATGCAAACTTTTCAATGTGTGTTCGAAAATCGTATTTCGGTCTTTCTTACAAAAAATTGAGCATAAATCTTGAAAGCTTAAAATTTTTTTTGAAAAATGATTTTTTTCCGGAAAGTGTTCAAAATTTATGTTATTATCTGAATAATATCGATATTGATGAAAATTATCATAATCCTAGTAATTAGAGACGACAGAACGCATAATCCGTATTTCGTATTCCCAAATCCTTGAAAAATATGAATCCTTTTAAATGGATTCCAGGCTGTGTACCTCAAAAAAAGGCCGGCCGCGGCTTTTTGTAGTCAGGCCTCTGAGGCCGCGGCTTTTTCAGGCCTAGTCAAAGCCGGCCGCGGCACAGCCTTGAATGAAAACTAGAGATTTTGTTCTCAAACTACCGTATTTAATTTCAAAGAAGCGTACCGAGTTCGTCAGCTTTGAGCTCAATTATCTCTATTTTTGTGATAGATATCAAAAATGTGTCAACTGATAACATTTTGATAATTTTATGATAAACAATTCATTAGTTAACGAAGTTTTGATATCTTCGACAGTAACCGAGAAAAATTGGCTCAAAGTTCACGGTTTGGCTCAGCTTCCATTGGAGCAAATACGGTATGTTGCAAACCTAAACTTTCCTTCTCTTGTAGTTTTTTTTCGAAATTTCTGAATTATTTCTTACGAGAAAAAAGGAACTAAACCTCAGTTATCATCTTCTGAAAGTTCTGACTACGACGTATTGTCTATGAAGTCAGCAAATTCATGCGTTCTTCTACGCTAGGCTATAATTTCGAGAACCGGAACTTTCACATGATAGCTTTAGAAACGAAGAACAACACAGATCAGAACCTGAACCTGATCTGTGCTGTCGAAGAATCTCACCCCATTTTTTAGTCAAAAACTCACCTAAAAACCAAAACTCCAACTTCAATTTTCAGCAAAATGTCAAAAACAGTCTCCAGGTTCTCCGCTTGAATGTATGTGGTGTTCACGAATGTGATGAAACGAACATCAGATGTGCTCGGTGAGCACATAGTGTCTGGATTTTGGAAAATCTTGAGGTCCAATTTTTCAAGAAAAATTTAAAAAGTTAATGGGTTCAGATAAGATAAATAATTCTTTTGATCTAGTTTTCCAGTAAAAAAATTTAAAGCTTTCAATGGATTCAGAGACAAGAGCTTGTAATAGATAAGAACGTGAGGAACATCAATTTATTCTGGAAAAGAAGGCGGAGCTAAAGTTGTAGTATTGTGGGATGTACATCTATCTACGCAAACCGACATCAAGAAGAGAAAACAAAGAATATGAAAATCTAGAAATCCTGCTGAAGAAATGAGTTTAGGATATATAAATACAACTGTGTTTACACTGTAAGCCAGAAAAAATCAGGCTGCTAGTGTTTATGAGATTTGTCAAGAATTCATAGATCAGAAGTTTTATGAATTAAGATTTCATAACTTCAGCTGAAAACCCTAGTACGTGACTATTAAAAACTCTAAAAGCTAATTGGTCATTAAAGTTAGTACAATTTTTGCTGAAAACATTCACCTGTTGGTCAGTTTTCTAGCTTTTATTCTCCAAAGAAGACACGTGACAGCTTTTGTACCAATATATAATTGTTTTTCAGAAAAAAGTTTGACTAGCGGATTTTCAGAATTTTCCCAGAATTGGTGGCGTAGCTTTATTCTGAAAATAAAGTGTTCTTTTGCATTTTAGGCCCCTACTTTCTAGTTTTGTCACCTGTCTACTAAGTTATTCCAAACGATCAAAGACAAAAGAGTAAAATGTACATCTGAAAAAAATTAGTGGCTAGCAAGACAGAAAATATTTAGCTTTTTTTGTGTGATGAAAAATGAGATCTTACAAAACCGGGAGATCTTGGATTCTAGAAAATCTGTTAGATTGGGTAGTGACTATAAACAAGGATTTACAAAAAACGGAGTTAAAGAGGAGCAAATCTATAGAGTTTGTAATGGGAAAAACAAGAAAACTTGTGGATTCTGGGAGAATATTGAGGCGAGCCTCAATTTTTTGTTGCTTCAAAAAACTACAAATTTTCAGACAAAAGCAAAAGTGGAGTCTGGAAAAACGACGTACAATAAGAACAAGAAGGCGTTGGTCATCAAGAAGATCTTGAGAACTTATTTTGGATTGTATATGACTGGAAACAAGAAAACAAAACAGAAAGTAGTCATATTATATTTCTCTCGTCACAACAACAATCATTATTGATAAGTTGATAACCTATAACCGGCTATTTAGGTCTAGAAAATACACGATTATGATACAGGCTCCAAAAATTGAATTACCGCCTTTTTTGGAAATATATTCTAGCCAAAGATACATTTTAGACCGATATTTTGGTCAATGACACATGTTTTCTTGAAAATGTTATAACTTCGGAATTTCAAAATTTCTGAACTTCAAAACGTAAACATTTCAGAACTTCAACATTCAAAAATTTCAGATATTCAAAATTTCCGAATTTCAAGTTTTCTGAGTTTCAGAGTTTTCTGAGTTTCAGGTTTCAAAATTTCGAGTATTTCATCATGTCTGAATTTCAGGATTACCGAATTTTCTAAATTTTTGGATTCAGAAAATTCCAAGAATTCCTAAATTATGGAATGTTCTAGTAGTAAGTCCCTAAATTTTTTAAAATTTCGAATCTTTGGAATTTTTGAATTCCTGAACTTCTAAAGTTTCAAATTTTTACACTTTTGAATTGGCGTTTTTCAAGATTTCAAGACTTTCGAATTTTCTAATTTTTCGATATCCAAATTTTTCGAATTCCTGGATTTTCAAATGTTCTAAATTTCCGAATTTCTGAAATTCTATTTTTTTTCTGACATTTAGAATTATTGTTTTTTAGAGTCTTGATTCTCGATACTTCTCGAAAGATATACAGATAAAGTTAACGGTTTCATATAAAAGACGACAGACATAAATCTTGACGTAATCTAACCAATACTCAAAAAAACTGATACGATTCTCAGAGTTTTTTTCTGAACAGTGAACAAAGAAACTGAATCACAAATTCTCGAAAATTTATAATCTCTGGAGGCATTTTTAATTAATTATCTAGATTTTCAGAAATCATCGAAAAAAACGTTCGTATGATTGACGTAACAGTTTTTAGGTCAAAACCAATACAAACATGAAAGACACATTTTTTTAAATTCAAGTTTTAAAAATTCTGATGCTCATTGAAGAGGAAAATTTTGTGCATTTTGAAGATCATACAGACTGAATCAAATAAAAATCGAAAAGTCATCTTAAATTTCCGAAATAATGGGTACATTTTTTGTGTTTTCAAGTAGAAAATTGACAAGATCAAATGACTTTTTTTTTCCTTTTTCCATCAAAACCCCTAGACTTTTTGCTTTCTGGTCATCAGAGTAGGGGGAATTCGATTTCTTGTTCATTCAGAATATTAATTGAGTTTTTCGCTTATTTATTTTTGAATGTTTATTTTTTGTTGGTTGTCTGTAGCTTTTCAGAGATCAAAATGTGCTTCTGACCGCGCCTGAAAATGAAATGATGCTTTGATTTTCATGGGGTAAAGAATTTTTAGTTTTTGTGATTCAGAGAGTGTAAATTTTTGAATGATGAAAATATATATTTGAATGATAAAATATTTTTGATAATATGATAGACACTTTCGTAGTAGACTACTTTTTGATATCTTGCACAGGAACTGAGAAATGTTGGCTCAAAGTCAAGGGCTTGGGTGGCCGTGTATAAGTGTTTACAGTTGTTTTGGCATTTCAGAAATTCGTTAAAACTACCGGAAACATTCTAATAGACCTAAAAATTCAACTTTGAGACCATATATCTCGGTTTATGTGGAAGATATCAAAAGTGCTTTACTAAGATAATGTTTATCATAATGTCCGCAACATTTTATTAGTTGACCACATTTAGATATTTATCACAGGAACAGAGATATATAAGCTCAAAGTTGGAGGTTGTGGGATCATTCTACAATAGTGGTTACTGTATGTTTGAGATTTCGAAAACTTTATTTGCACCCCTACGTCATCTCCAATTTATGATCCCTTCTGCAGAATCGTAAAACTTCGGTACAAAAATTTTTGATATCCCATTTTTATTACTGTGTACACAGTAATAAAAATGGGATATCAAAAAGTATAAAGACCAAAAGGTAAGTCTACAGTAATCCGGTGCTACTATAAAACCCATTTCCCCCATGACTTTCCGACTTTTTACACCGAAAATGGGCAAAAAACTGTGTCTGATTCTGACGATTCTAGTTTCCACTATCAGTTGGATTCTTGTGGATTCTGATAATACTACAACTCCTAAACCAACTTTAAAACCTATCAATGCAGCGGTAAACTTTTTTTTGAGTACAGTTATAAAATTTAAATTATCTATAGTTCTTCGACAATGTGACGATCCCAATGCCAGTTTCTGCCAATTACCGTCGAATCGTTGAGATGACTTACGGAGTTAAAGAGGAGCAAATCTATAGAGTTTGTAATGGGAAAAACAAGAAAACTTGTGGATTCTGGGAGAATATTGAGGCAAGCCTCAATTTTTTGTTGCTTCAAAAAACTACAAATTTTCAGACAAAAGCAAAAGTGGAGTCTGGAAAAACGACGTACAATAAGAACAAGAAGGCGTTGATCATCAAGAAGATCTTGAGAACCGACTTTGGATTGTATATGACTGGAAACAAGAAATATGAACAGAAAGTTAATTCTTTGTTTTTGAGAGGATGATCAATTTTCTGGGTTGTTTTCTTTCATATGTGTGTTTTTATTCTGACTGTCTGATTTTCTATGATGAATATTTTCTTTCAAGCACAAAAAATGTGTCATTAAAAATACAACAAATGTTCTCAGAGACAACGGAAACCGCTAAGTACCGAAAATATACACCAGCTGTCCATAAGATATACAAAAACGTATTTTTCCGTTGATTTACGGCTATTTTGGCCATACACAGGTGATTCGCGAACAATCCGTTACGGACGCTCAGCGTTCGCGCGCGGTTGAAATAGGAACCGTATACGGACCGCACGCGACCCGTTTTTAGAAAACCGCAGCACATTATTTCTCATTTCTCCGTATTCTATCCGTTTGCGAACTCCGTATCCGATCCGATAGCGAATGATAAACAAACGGATCCGTTCGCGAACTTAAACTTTTGTCTGATTCGCGAACGGATCCGTTTGTCCATCATTCGCAAGCGGATTGGATACGGAGTTCGCGAACGGACAGAATACGGAGGAATACGGAATAATGTGCTGTGGTTTTCTGAAAACGGGTCGCGTGCGGTCCGTATGCGGTTCCTATTTCAACCGCGCGCGAACGCTGAGCGTCCGTAACGGATCCGTTCGCAATTTACCTGTGTATTCAGAAGTCTGGAGCTCGGTTCTCAAGTCCAATCACTTTGAAATGTTGGAGGAATTAGAAAAGATCTAGATTGAAAACTTTGCATTTCCAGGATTATTTCAAAATTCCTAGTTTTCCGCTATTTTGCCGACTTCTGAAAGTCATCTGTTTTTTTCTTGTTATTGTACTGAAAACCTGAACAAAACCGAAACAAATCGCTGGAAAACTATGAATTTTCAAAAAATTCTGTGAATTCCAAGTTTTCAATTTAGGTATGTTTTACACGCTCCCAAAATTTCAAAATTATCAATACCTTGACAGAAAATATCGAGAAATTGTTTTTGGATGTATCCGCTCCTTCAATGTGCGAAACAGTTGAAAATGATCAACTTCAGCAGTCTGTGAACATTTCAAATGAATAGAGAAGTAGCAGAACCTCAATTTTCTAACCTACTACATTTTAAAGAACGTTTTCAAACCAATTTTATTTTCAAATTCATTCATACTGACAAAACTACTAAAATTATTATTTCTCAAACATCAGTAGAATTGGCACCAGTAGTTTCTTCATTTTCAGCTTTCAAAACGTCTCTCTTCGGGTCGGAAACTTTCAAACCTCCAGGATTGAACTGAAGAGCGTAGTCTTGTGAGCCAGCCATGTCCCAATCCTTGTATCTCAAACGTCCATCACATGCACGATTGTAGAGACGAAGGTTTTGGTGCTGAAAATTTTCGAATTTTTGAATTGAAGGAGAGAAAAATTTATATTTCTCTAAATATTTTTCATATGATCCTCTCGAGTAGTTGAACTCGTGGGACGAGTATTAAAAGTGCGGCGCCGCTACCGACTGAGCTACGGAGGCGGAGGCTGAGGCAGCCGAACGATGGGGGTATTGTATTAAAACAACACACAGATACTTACTTCTCTGTACATTGGCAGCAATCTCGGCTCACAGTGCTTCTCGACATCCTTCTCGAAGCATTTTCCCTTGTTGTTAATGCTAACGCAATCAAATCTGTCTGGATTTTTCTGGAACTTTCTTCCTGTTCAAACTAGGAACCAATTTTTGAACTCACATCCTTGAGATACTCCTGAACGCACTCCTCTAGTTTGTCAGGTGTCGATTTCAGAACTTCTCTCAATTTCGTCTCACAGAAACCCATGGGACCCAGCCAAAAGACGTCATCGATGCACTTGTCAAGTTCTTGATAGTTGACAAAATCCTTGTAGCATCCAGTGTTCTCCAGGCAGACCTGAATGAGTTCGGGGTTGATTGTTACTGTATTTTTAGGAAACTCACAAAGGAATCATCGCAATGCTTCTTGAGCTCCGTGTAGCTCATATTCCTTGTTTGTTCTGGAAACCAGGCGATTGAGTTATGTCTCCAGAAGTTTTTGAAACCGATCTGAAGTTTTTTTTTCGGTTTTACTTTTTCAAACTGGTTTTGAGGCCCATTGCTACTCACAAGATCACAAGTCATAAAACTGCTTTGCCCGGTATAAGTGCATCCAGTTTTCCAATTGTCTTGCCATATCTACCACGGCAAGATACAAAATATATGAATACAAAAAAAATGAATCGGGTGATCATTTTTTGAAACAAAATGAATTATTGGAAAAAGAGATGTGGCAAGGAATATCTCGGAGTATAAAATCCAAGATAAAGAACACTGGGTTTCAAAACTGGGTTTATAGAATTGGGACATACAGTATTGGACCAAAAAAATCGGATTTTTATTTTTCAAAGCAAAAATTTGAATTTTCGATTTAAAGTCGTCTACTACAAACATCGAGCATAATCAGAATTTTAGATTTTCAGACTTTCGTAATTTCTGAGCTTCAAAACTTCAGAACATCAGAATCCCTGAATCTTAGCCGTTCATAATTTCAGACATTCATATTTTTAGATGTTTGAATTTTCATGATTCAAAATACAGACTTTGAAAATCTGAAAATTTCAGAAACTCAGAACTTCAGAATTTCAGACTTTAGGACTTTTGAAGTTTCCCTACTTGATTTTTCAAGCAAATCGAGAAAATATGGTCTACATTTAGAAGACTTTCAAGTTGACTGTCTTCCTATAAAAACTGTGTCCCAAAAAAATTTCAAAACGTTCCAAAAAGGAAAAATTGAATTTCCAATCAATCAATTGAAACTCACAATATATCGGCAATGAGGGATTGCGTGTTCTCCGGCGTATGTACATCCTGTCTTCCAGATGTCTTTACCACGATATGAGTATCCATTTGATGGGTATGGCAAGAGAATACAAATTATGGCAGCTAGAAAAAAAGCTAGCATATTTTTTGAAAAAGTAGGCAAGAATTGATGGAAAGGCTTGCGACGAGTCGAGGTTTAAAATGTGATATGTGAGGAAATCGGATACTCAAATGGTCAGGTGTTTTGAGTAGACTTTAGTCTTCAGGATTTGAACATATAGGTGAGCCATGTCGTCAAAACCGGTTTTTTTGTTTATACAAAGTTTATAACAAATATTTCATCAAAAAATACACCGCATCAACACAAAAAATGTTGAAACACATAGTCCGCCAAAAAATCTTGTAGTATTGGGAGTTCCAGTCTCATTTCTTTTCGGATCAGTCATTTTGATTCCACCGGGCACTGAATGGATGGCAAACTCTTGAGTTCTGGTTAAATCCCAAACTTTGTACCGTAATCTTCCATCACATGCACGATTGTAGAGACGGAGGTCTTGATGCTGTAAATTTGAAAGTTTTCAGGCGATTCTAGGAAATTTAAAATTCAACTTTCGCCGAAAATAACATAACTTTAATATTCGTTTGAAAATGGGTAACATTTGAAGGTGGGTATTTTTCATAACAATATATGAAACACCCTCATGAAACAGCATTATTTGGTACTTCTTTTTCACAGGAACCGAGATAAATCGGCTCAAACCTGAAAGTTAGAGAGGTCGTTCTATCAGAGTATCAAAAAGATTCTATTTCATCTCCCTCCCAAACAACAATTTACCTCTTTATAAACTTCCAAAAACTTTGGATCACAATGTTTCTCCACGTCCTTTAAGAAGCATCCCCCTTTCTCCTTGATGCTCACACAATCGAATTTTTCTGGATTATTCTAAAGTTTCATTCTTTTTTTTTGAGATTTTGTCAATCTTTTCCACGCACATTAGCCATATAAGTTTTCACACAATCTGTCAGCTGGTCCGGTGAATTTTTCCTTAAATCTCGCAATTTTTGCTCACACATTTCCAAAATTAAGTTGGTCATTATTGGAGAAGAGAATACTGACGATGGAATTCTGAACAGTCATTTGGTAAAAAAGATAGGAGAATTAGAAAAAAAGAACACGGGTTTTCTCTTCTCATAAGATGATAGAACGATTCCTACTACCTTGTTTGGTACAGAAACTTTTATAGGTCACGTTTTTGAACTAAATTCTCTGTGGAAGAGGAAAGTTGGTGGTTGTGGCCGAAAGTCCCACAACGACAACTACAGTAATCTAAAATTCTCTTATTTACAAAACTTATGTTCTCGATTTTTACTAATTTTCGTTGATATTTCTGTTATTTTTCTCTTCAAAAATCTGAAAATAAGAAATTTGAATAGTGCAAAAATTGACGGGAAACGCACGGAGATCGAGAAACGACATGCTCAGAAAATAAAAATATTTTAGGTTACGATAGTTGTCGTTGTGAGACCGATTTGTACCAACGTAATAGTTATCTTGGATATACTTCTATTTTGGCCGCTTTGAAAATTTGAAGAGGATCAGCTTTTTCTCAAATTTCGTTTAGTTTGAATATGAAATGTGTCAGAAAGCTGGTTTCTTTGAATTTTCACTTTTTCAAAGATCACCGTATACCCTCTAATATAAGCCCACTCAAACCGTCAACTTTGAGCCCATATATCTCGATTCCTGTCAAAGATATTAAAATCTGTCAACTGATAAACTATTTATCATAATATCACCAATATGTACTTTGACATCTACAGAACCTGAAAGTCCGGAGTTCAAAAAATTCAAGAACATCAAAAATATATAAACAGAAACGTCTCTAAAATTTTCTGCATTTCGACTCCAAATGTTTTAAAAATATCTTTGCCTAGTTCCTTGCAAGGCCTCACTCACATGTCTGCCCCCTTCCAAGGTTCCTCCTGCAAAAAAAAACACATAACAACATTTTCCTTCTTCCAAATATGATTCTTTATTAATGAAAGTGTCATTCTATATATTTTCTCTATTTTTTACATGTTCTAGATCCTAAAAAAAACAAAAATATAAATACAAAAGTATTTGATCTTTATTTTATCCCTTCTTATTGACAGTTTTCTTCTGCCAAACTACAAAAATGAGGCACTCTCCATGAACTACGATAGACGACATTGTTCCGTCACTTCTTCGGAGATCACGAGAATTCACGAATGCTGTTTGGTCATGCCAATCTGGCATGAGGTGCAGAGGGGTGTATCTGAAAATGATATTGCTGAAACTTTTGATTTTTAAAGGAAGAAGGTCCAGTATCCAAGGGTACATTGAAAAAGGGCACATCTGTTTCTTAGGTTACATTGGTTCCAAGGAATTTCGTAGTACAAGTGGGATAACGAAAAAAAAGTTTTTTTAAGACTATTTTGTTTTGATGTTCAAAATTATAGGCTTAGGATGAATCACTCTACACACCAAGATCCCATGGACCATCTGAACCAATGTACCCCAACAACTTTATGGACCCTCGATGTACCCTTGGATCCTGAGCCAAAAGTAAACTAACTCATAATCCTCAGTTCGTCTTCTTTTGTCACATTCTTCCACTTTAAATGCTCCAAAAAGAACTTTCTTCATATTCTCGGTATGTCGAATTCCGATCCGAATATCCAAATATCTAAACCCTTTGTTACCTCCTTTGAGCCAATGTTCTATGAACTCTCGATAATCATTGGCCTCTAAAAGACATCCGGTTTCAATTTCAAGTTGATTGCATTTGGATTCAATGAGGTTTTCATAAGTGAACCATTTCATAACGCAGTTGAAGGTTATGGCTTTTTGAGTGAGTGGCTGAAAAATGGGAGTTTTTGACGGAAGACAAATGGGTTGCCATAAATCAAGCATCTTTTCTTCTCCCCTCCCTTCCATTTGACAACTTACCACTTCCAGCTTGAAAATGCCAGCGATTCTCTCAAAATTGATAGTCAGCTTTGTGTTCAACGGAGTGTTCGTGAGCAGCCAATCAATATCATATGCTTCCATTGTCAATGGGGAATCAGCTTGCGGTCGAACTCCACTCAACTCAAAAGTCTTGCATGGCGTCCGAATTACATTTTTAGTGAAGAACTTTCCAAAGTTTGGAACACTTCGAATATCCATATGGTACCCCGTGATTCCACATTTGAAAACTTCCTGCACAAATTTTACGAAGCAATCCAGCGAATTTTGATAATCAGTGGTCACATTTGGAGTCCAACACTTTGGAAGGGGTCCACCACTCATTGAAATTGGAGTGTACCTTACATTATAGTACTGCTGACCTTTGGATCTTTTAGTGATGTCTGCCACATTGAACGTCTCTCGGAATGGACGGTATCCGGATTTGAGTTTGCTCGAATTGTAAAGCGAAATGTTTTCGAATCCATTGCATAGGCCGTTAGCGTCTGGTTGGGTACGGATCCTGGAACTCTTTTTTTGAAAACAATCTCCTGACTCATCCCAAAATAATTAGCCCAACTATAGTCGTCGCTCATAAAGTATGCTCTCAGTCACAAGCGTTCACAACTCTCGGGGGACCTCGCGCGCGCAGGGGCACAAGAAGCTCAAGTTACGAGAACTTTGATGAATAAAACATAGCGACTCGGGTCTCCGAAAAAAAAAGAAATTAAAGCCACTAGACATAAATGCTATGGTGATGTCCGTCCCGAAATTTGCAGACGGTGACATCACCAAGTTTTGAGAAAAAACAAAAGTTCTGAGAATTACCATAGTTCATTCCACCTATTGTTCAGAGGAAATGGAAAAGGTCAAATGTCACATTACGTCTTCGGAGAATCATAAAAATAGTCTACCCTTGAAATTTATAACTAGTTTGTTCCCCATGAAATTCTACACATTTCTGTCCAAGTTTCAACTTCCTAGCTCATCTAGAAAACGAGATATAGCCATTCAAAGTTGGTGAGGTTAGAGACGCAGTGTGTCTCGTCGTCTGGCGCCTCTAGCCTCCGAAATAGCTGCATCTCGGCTTCTAAGAAAGCTATAAACCTGAAATTTGGACAGAAATGTGCAGCATCGCTTTGCAAATTTCAGTAGTTTTGAATTCAACGAAAAATTATATTTCTATAATACTAATTTTCGTTTTTCCAAGAGACTTATGTCTAAAGATATACGCGTTTCTATCAGTCCGGTTAATTGCCCTGTACAAACACCCCAGAAGACAGATTACTGTATCTCACTTTGTTGGGAAGTCGACCCCTGCCACCGAGAAGCAAGTCTTGAAGTCTTTTGGATCTTTGGCTTCCGGAACATCCAAAAAATACCATGATACAGAATTTCTGCCTCCTCCGAAGCTCAAGTTGAATCCGTGTCTTCCTTCCAAATGATGAATAACAAACCCATCAATTTCCAAATCCAACGTTTTCAACACTCGCCGAGTTTTCCGGTTTGCCAAAGCAAGTTCGAAGCTGAAAGACGAAAATATTTTTTGTTCTCACGTCTTCGTTAGGAACTCACAAATCGAAGCCAAGCAGGATTCGGGTAAGTGGTCCTTTAGGAAGATCCAAAAGTCGAAAGGGTCGAGTGTCGATGATTTTCGGAGGTTGACAACTTTGCATCTCTAGTTCTGAAACGTTTATCGTTGAATTGGATCTAAACACTTCGGAGCACAACGAAAAGTGTAAAAAAAGGAAAGTAGAAGTAGAAGTAAAAGAAGAAGATGAAAAAAAAATGGGAAAATGGCGAAAAAAAAACGAAGAGGACTGAAGGGAATAAACGCGGGACGAGAGTGTGAGGAGGGTATGGGGGAGAGAAAAAAAGAAGTAAGAGATGAGCAATGGGACTCAGTTGAGAGAAGAGAAGAAGAGCACATGCATGCCAGCACAGTGTTATTCTGAAATAGCCCACCCGCCAGAAAAATGTATACTCTCAATTGAGTTAACTCTGGAAAACAACACGAGATTGAGGAGGCAAAACAAATCAAGGCTCGGAATCTCTTGGAGAATTGGGTGTGAAGAAGTATTATGTATTAGTAGGGGAAGAAGAAGAAAATAGAGTGGGTTTCTTTTTAAAAGGGGGTAAAAGGGAGCACTCTCAATCTCGCACTTTTGGTACCAATTGTGGTCGGAAACGGACGAGACGGAAAGGAGACACAAACAATTTCGTTTGGGTCGAGGGTCGCCAATTTTGTTTCAACGGGTGACGTAGTAGGCATGACGTCTTTGCGTAGAGGTTAGGAATACGGTAGAGGTAAGGGATGGAGGCTTTTCTTGGCATCTACAGTCTTATTTAAGTTTTACTATCCTCATTCTTGAAATTAATAAATGAAGCTCTCCTCTTTGTTATTCTGCCCGTTCTAACGGTTTTTAAAACGCTTGAAAATGAAATCTAGGGACCCTTTGAGAAAGAGAAATCGAAAATTGAGGAGCGGAACGAGAAAAACGCGCCGAAGGTGCTCCAGTCAGACTAGTTGCTTTGAACAAATAGTTTTTTGGCACAAAACAAAACGACAGGTTTTCGATTTGCTGTTTTCGAACTCATTCTTCAATTCAAGTTTTTTGGCCTTTCGTGAGATTTATGGGTGACAAGAAGGACGCGATTTCTGGTTTTCTAGGTTCTGTTGGACCTGATTTATTGAATAGTTTTGTGTTTTCAATAAAAACAAAGGTGATTTCATGAATTTAGAGTCACTGCGTTTTCGTCTAATTTTCGGGAAAACTACAAGATTCTACTAACTGGAAAGGTGATTTAATGAATTTAATAGTATTCTTACTAACAAAACTTTCAGGATTCCTACTAACTGTGGATAATAATCAAAACCAAAAATCGCTATGTACGAGATTCGTGCTAGAAAAAAAAATTTATATCGAAATGATGTTGTCTTTTGAATTATTAATTAACACCTGAACAAGGTGATGAAACTTTATCATGGATTTGTACCCAAATTTTCAGAAAAATAAAGATATTTTAAGACAAGCTTAATAGGCATCTATTTTCTGATGCTTTAAGAATAACGTTGCAATATCTGGGCATGGATTCATTCATTGGTGAGAATCGAAAACTCGAATTCAGACATATTTCTTTTCAGTTATAGGCCCTCACTAGTTTTGTAGTTTTATGGATGTTATCGGTTCTCTCACATTTCAATATTTTCAAAATATCAATTTACATTTATGAACTTTCATTTAAGTGAACAAAACCGAGGGCAGGAAATGTAGAATGAAAAGATGAAGACCTTGGAAACAAGAGACACCGGTCCGTAGAAAATAAGGGAATAGAGAAAACAAGTTATGTGTCTACACATAGGAGTGAAAAGAGTACTACGATGTTACATAAAGACTCCCTTGGGACATTTGCGTAACGAAAAAAAATTATGCACTGAAAAACTGAGGTAATGGAAAGTTTGGCATAGCAATGGGGAACATAAAAAGCTAGAATTTTTAAGTTGGCGGCGAATACCGTAGCTTTAATAAAAAACATCCAAAAACTTCCTGTCTCCTCCATTGGATGTGCTTCCCATTACGTTCCAGCTCCATAATTACATTGATATTTTATTTAATTTCCGGCTGCAACCGCTTTTGGCACGAAAACAACTTAATGACACAATACACAGATTTTTTTTCTTTCACAACCATTTTCATCTGAACCATGAGCAATCACACTAACTTGTTCCCAAACTTCACCGATGAAACCAGCCAGTTATTTTTGAATTTTAACGACATAGTTGATAATTTGTTCACCAAGTTTCCTAAAGCAGAATTTTATGTTGCTGGTATCGGAGCTATCACTAATATCCTTCACCTGATAGTCATTTCACAAAAAGCAATGATGATGTCATCGACGAATGTGATTTTGATTGGAATTGTTATTCATGATTTGATGCTAATGCTATCTATACTGTCACCATTTGTTAATAGGCCAAGGATAGGAGGATGGTTAGTTTAGGTTTTCAGAAAGTTCAAATACTAGTTTTTGTCAGTGACCCACCGCCATCTTTAATACGAGTGCATCTGGAACTACTAAGTTATGCCATATCTGACTCATCAAGAAGAACCTCTTCCTGGCTTGGTGTCTCTTTGGCGTTTGTCAGATTCGCTGTTCTAAAAAATGCTAGGAAACTAAGGCCCACTAATCTTGGAAAACTTCGATTCGGATGGATCATAGTTTTTATTATGTCTTTTATCAGTATTTTATTCGCAGCTGCTTATCGCTTCCGCTTTAAATTAATCCAGTTTGAAACGTGGCATCCTCCACCAAGGTAAGCAAAAAGGAATGAGTATTGAACCTGAAGAAGGTATTTTTTCAGTTGTGAGTTCTCCGAAAATTTCACAAGACCAGAATATGGATATCTGCAACGAGCGATTTTTTATGATTACCATGAACTCCTACTCAAGCTGAGCTTTTTGATTGATGGTATACTCGCAAAATTTGTTCCTTGTTTCATACTCATTTTGCTTGGATTTCTACTAGTCAAGGAATTGAAACATGCTCAGGGATCTAGAAAAATGATGAGGAGTAAGAAGGAAAGTGCATCTAAAAATAGAACAACGAAAATTGTAATTTGTATGACTGTTAGTTACTTGGTGGCCGAATTTCCTCTTGGACTGATTATGATTCTACAGTTTGTCCTAGCAGAGACGCCAGGATTTCTGTAAGCAAAGTCTGGAGTTTAAAATATAAATCGATGATTTTCAGACTAGTTCTGAGCAAAATGCAGTTGCTTTTCAATTTGATAAACACATGCAATGCAACTATTCATTGTTTCATTTGTTTCTCGTTGTCGGTTCATTATAGGAATACGGTAAAACGGATGCTATATTGTTATAAGAAACGAGTAGGTTTGAAATTTTGTTTGTTTGAATTTCGTTGATTTATTTTTCAGGTAGCTGTTGTTCAAGCATTCAGTGTACAGCCTTGAAAACATTTTTTGACTACTGTAATTGGCTGAATTATCCCAACGCCTATGCAAGATACGAAGATTGGGTCAATTGATGAAAATCTTCTGATGTTATGATAAACAATTTATCAGTTGATTACTTTTTGTATCTTTGATAATGGCTCAAAGCTTACAGCTCTGTTAGATGTTTTATCATAATTTTTTCTACATTCAAGTCTTCTGTTTATTTTTAATCAGCTGTGAGCGTTCAAATTTTATCACTTATCATGCCATTCCAAGACTGATTTCCTTGTTTATCTGATGAACCGAAAATCAGTAAAAAAGATATGCTTCCTTGATCTCGGAACGTCATCATTAACAAAAACATAAACACACCTCTTTTTCCATATCCATTTTTTTATTTGACCTCGAATTCGTTTTGGTATAAAAGAAAACACAGAATACGGAGAAGAACGCAATAATGAAGTCCTTTATCATTTTATCAGTCGTCTTGGTTTGTTCTTCCTTTGCCGCCAGTTCCGATAAGGATACCGATTCGAAGGTGGCCAGGTACTTGAAGTCTTGTGGAGTTATCACATCGCTAAAGACTACGAAATGTGTCAAGGTTGGTTCACTTTTGCGGTTACGGTAGTGATGAAGAAGACATTTCAGAAAAGTGATGAAGTCGACAAGGAGCTGAAGGCTTTCGCCAAGAGCAAGGATAAGGATCTCTCCAAGATAAAGACTTCGTGCAAGGAGACTGTCGTAAGTACTGTAATTTCGAATCTCCTTAAAAAGCCTCAATTGTTTTCCAGGACTGCGTCAAAGAGCTGAAATGCAAACCGCTCGAAGAGGACCACAAGGAAACTTTGGATCTCTGTGGACGGGCTCTTTTCCAGGACGAATTCAAAGAGTGTAGCAAGAAGCTTCAGGCTTTAAAGAAAGGAGGTGATAAGGATGCTGCTAAATGTTTAGAAGACTTCAAATCCGAGACCAAGAAGACTACAAAAGACACGTGTACATTCTTGAAGGGGTCCAAAGATTGTATCAAGGCACACATCAAGAAGGAGTGTGGAGATGACAAGTTGGCGGGATGGGAGAAGGTGAGAGATAAAATAGAAAAGAGAAGAGTTGTCTAGGGAAATAGGAAGTGTGTACAAATGTGTCCTCGGTAGTATAGTGGTGAGTATCCGCGTCTGTCACATGCGAGACCCGGGTTCAATTCCCGGCCGGGGAGAAACCTTTTTGTTTTATTTTTCAGAAAGATATGATGGATTAGAAGCTATTGTCTGGAAAAATTAGAGTTGTAGAAATTTTAATCAGCTGTAAAATTGTATTTTTTTTCTATTTTAAATGTTAGTGTCCCTTTCAGAAATTCAGAAATTCAGAAATTCAGAAATTCAGAAATTCAGAAATTCAGAAATTCAGAAATTCAGAAATTCAGAAATTCAGAAATTCAGAAATTCAGAAATTCAGAAATTCAGAAATTCAGAAATTCAGAAATTCAGAAATTCAGAAATTCAGAAATTCAGAAATTCAGAAATTCAGAAATTCAGAAATTCAGAAATTCAGAAATTCAGAAATTCAGAAATTCAGAAATTCAGAAATTCAGAAATTCAGAAATTCCGAAATTCAAAAATTCAAAAATTCAGAAATTCAGAAATTCAGAAATTCAGAAATTCAGAAATTCAGAAATTCAGAAATTCCGAAATTCAGAAATTCAGAAATTCAGAAATTCAGAAATTCAGAAATTCAGAAATTCAGAAATTCAGAAATTCAGAAATTCAGAAATTCAGAAAAAAAAGAGTTCGAAAAGCATATTTCTAATTTTTTATTTTAAAAACTATTTTTTATGTTGACTGATTTTTTCATGATTTACGAATAATTCAATTTTTCAGTTCGCCCAAGACTCCTTCAAAGAGAATGAATGCGAAAAAGCCATCGGAACCAAATGGAACTGATCCTTCAACTTTGTATTGTTCCCCTAAATTTTCCTCGGATTTCGAAACCCTGCAATAAAAAGTTTAAAAATTAGAAAAACAATTCCATTCGGTTGACTGACCCCTCCATTCCTCTAATTTCTCATTTGTCCAAAGGTACCAATAAAATTTTTAACGCGGCCATTCGAACAACGACATGAGATAGTGTTCTTGTGGAAGAGTGTGTAAGAGATTCAAACGGACAGAAGTCAGATCATTAGTTGGAGAAGAAGAAGAAGAGGAAAACCAAAATATTTGTGTGGCGGTTTTTCATTGAGGCGAATCTCGATCTCATTTTTCGATTTTTCTCACTCATCGGATAGAGATTTGTCTCTTCTGATATCTTTATCTTGTTGATGATAAACAGCTCTCGGTGGAGCCTTTTTATCATTTGTCTCCCCGAGAGAGTTTCTCCTGGAAGCTTCTTTTTAGATTTCTAGATTCCTGAATTTTTTTCAGATCCAATGCTTCGGGTACCACTATTCTACCTCCTTCTATTGTCCGTTCCAGTTTTCGGGTTTCTGGAAGAATCGGAAGGTGTGATTCCAGCAGAGAGAACGTGTAATCCAGAAGAGGAACGAGCAGCGCAGAGTTGTAAAAATGTGAGTTCGAAATTTTGAAAAAAAAATGTAGAGAATTATTTTTAGACATAAAATCTAAAATTTCCAGAAAAAAGAGACCCGTAAAACCTGTAATAGAAAGGCCCCCAAACCGTCAACTTTGAGCTCAGTTATCTCGATTCCTGAATGAGATATTAAAAAGTGGTCAACTGATAAATCGTTAACCATAATATCAGCAACATTTTATTAGTTGACCACTTTTTGATATCTTTCACAGGAATCGAGATATATAGGGTTCAAGTTGAAAGTTAGAGGGCCCTTCTATTACAGGTTTTACGGTAAACTAGGTTTTTGACTACAAAATATCACACTTGCAAACGGGCAAAATGTTGAAAATATCGCTCTTTTTTATTACTTGCCTCCTAAAACGCTCGTAAAAATTCTAAAACTTATCTTAAGTTTTTCTTGTCTCTACTTCAGAAGGTTCGATAAGAGAAGAGTTGTCTAGGGAAATATGAAGTGTGTAGAAGCGTGTCCTCGGTAGTATAGTGGTGAGTATCCGCGTCTGTCACATGCGAGACCCGGGTTCAATTCCCGGCCGGGGAGAATTCTTTTTGCTCTTTTTTCCAGAATGATATGATGGGTTAGAAGCCATTGTAATGGAAAATTCGAATTTTAAAAAAGTATTTGAACTTCCACTAGTGTAGAAATTTGAGTCACCAATAAAATATCGTATTTTTTCTATGCTGAGTGTTACCGTCACTTTGACCTCTATTTCAGTAAAAACTTTAATGGAACAGCCCCCAAACCTCACCTTTGAACCCATATATCTCATTTCCTATAAGAGATATGAAAAATTGCTCAACTGACAAAGTGTTCATCATAACATCAGCAATAGTTCATCAGTTGATCACTTTTTGATATTTTTCACAGGAACCGAGATAAATTGCTTCAAAGGGTGTCGCCTTCTATCAGAGTGTTTACGGTAGATGTAATTCTGATACAGTATTTATAAAAATGATTTTTTTTTCAAGTTTAAATCTGAGCTTTAAGACCATTATTTTGCAGGGTTTAACCGTCCTTTCGGCCACATTCGAGTCCATTCAAGGTCAACACGAGTCATTCACGGCGAGCGATCACATTGGTATCAATCAAAATTGCAAGACTTCGTTGGTGAGATGATTGATTGTTTTTTGATAAGGGGACGAAAGAAAATGTGACCGGAAAACCCAAGGAGAACCTTTGGTTTGTGTCATTTGTCTTTCTTTTTGCAGACCTGCCTAAAAACCTATGTTGGATGTTCGTCAATCACTCAAGAAGACGTGGATTTGCTCACGAAAAAATGTGGATACATGAAGTACTTGACTGGAGCCTTCTACGCGTGCTCCCAGAAACTTATAGCTCGAAAAGAGAGCTCTCCATGTGTTCTGAACTTCTTTGCTGGGGATTTGGTAAAAACCAAGAAACCAGGAATCATAAATCTCAGGAGTTTCAGGAAACCGAAGAAACCCGTTGTTCGGAATGGACCTCCAACCGTGCTTGCTTGAAATGGACCATCCGAGACGCGTGTGGAAGAAGCTACTGGAAACAATACAAACCATACTGGCATATGAGATCTGCACTGATGAATTGTGTTTGATTGAGTTTTACTAAATACTGGATTAGGTTTTTTATGTAAGATTTATTTTTCAAAAAAAAAAAACAAATTTGCAATGTTCAAAAGTTTTATTAACTAAATGTGTGTATTAAGAATGAATTTCCATAGTGTCCTCGTCGAAAACTTCATCGATCCCTTTCAGATACTTTATCTTCTTCAGATTCGCTTGAATCACTTTTCCAGCTTCTTCCCCACACAATTGATCAAATCCATCTACCAGACATTTCATGTTAGAGTCAAAGAGTCGTTTTAGTTGATAAGTGTCCTGAAAAAATGTATTATTAAAAAACAAAAACAAATGCCTGCTGCTGGAATCGAACCAGCGTCGCCACGGCCACAACGTGGAGTACTAACCACTATACTAAGCAGGCCGAAATTGTAACACACTAGCTGCGTTTATAAAGGTCGTCTAGTACACTGGAGGCGACTACGCGTCTCGTGCACTTCAAGTATGCCAAGACACTCTAGTGTTACCAGCGGTCTCGTGGTGTAGTGGTTATCACATCTGTCTAACACACAGAAGGTCGGTGGTTCGAGCCCGCCCGAGATCAGTCTTATTTTTTTTGGCAGAACTCACCTTCGGTTTTAAATATGTTTTCACACATCTATTGGTCACTTTGTTCACATCAGTTTTTCTTTTGATACAGTAGGAGAGCGGGGTTCCAGTTAGTTCAACTTCATAGCACTGTTTGACAATGGGAAGATGTTTGAGGCGAAGTCTTTTGCAAGAAATGGCACTCAGATCCTTCTCAATAGTTTCACATCCTTGAACATAAATGAAACTGTCCTCGTCTTCACCACGGAGCAGTTCAAACGAGTTTTTCTCGTCGAGCACAGTTTGGATAGCCTCGGAAAACTGAAAGTTGATTCCTTTTCAGATACCATAACCCCTGTAATAGTAGAGCCCCTAACTTTTAACTTTGAGTCAATTTTTCTCGGTTCCCGTGAAAGATATCAAAAAGTTGTCAACTGATAAATTGTTTATCATAATATCACAAACATTCCACCAGTTGACAACTTTTTGCTATCTTGCACAGGAGTTGAGATAGTTCCTCTGAAACTTGACAGTGTGGGGGCCCTTATACTGTAGATTTTACGGTATAAATTTTTACAGTACCCACCTGGCTCAAATGCGATGAAATCATATTGTCAGCCATAGAGCATTGCTCAGCGGTTGGTGCTCCATGAGCACCAGAATACAAAAGTATGAGAATATAAAACCATATAACTTTCATTTTGCGTTTTTGAAGTTTTGAGTTTTGAAGGTGGGGGTGTGGTGTTGTTGTGGGTCATTCGCATGACAAAGGCAAGAGGTAACAGCTGTCGGGAACTTTTTTCTATTATTGTTTTCGAAGAAAAATATATGAAAAATGTGCTGGTGAAGAGAGAAAATGGGGAACAGTGGTGTACCTGAAAAAAGAGAAGAGAAGAGAGCTCTTTGCCATTTCATTTCCTCAAAAACTCATTTCCCCATCTTTCACCGTTTTCGTTAACTCACCAAAAAGAAAAAAATGAAAAGCCGATATTTCATTCTCATATTTATGAACCTATTTCCTCTAGCATTTTCCGACGATTCGATTTACGGATGCTCTACAGAAGACCTCCAACTTACTGTTACATGCCGTCCGAAAGTCAACCAACTTACCGAAGAAATGAAAAAGAATCCGTTGAATGCTGGTTTCCCATCTGTCGAAACTCTCCAGAAGATGTCAGGATACTGTAAGGAAGCAATGGCGTGTGTGAAGCCAGCCAAATGTGATGCGATAAAAAATAGGATGAGCAAATTTTCGGGAATGTGTGAGACCATTGATTTCATGAAGGGACCATACGCTCAGTGTGCAGCTAAAGTGAGTTGTAACATACCGTACGCTTTGAGCTCGATTATCTCGCTTCCTATTAGATATATCCAACTATTGACAACTAATAAAATACTGATGTTACTTTAAGGAAGATTTTATCAGTGGACATATTCTTGTTATCTATCATGGGAACAGAGATAATTGAGGTAAAAATGGGTGGCCTGCTATTAGAGTGTTTACGGTACCAATTTGCTTTCAGCTCAAAGCCAGCAAAGACAAAACCGAATGCAGTCAATGGTACTTCAGTGACAAGTCTAGGGTTAGTTCCTTTCATCAGTACCAATTTAAATAATTTTTTTTATTTTCAGATGTCCACTGAACAAAAGTGTGCTCAATACAAAGCCAAGAAATCGTGCATCGAGAAAGATTTTGGCAATTTGTGTGGAGATTCTACTCTGAAAAGTTTCCGTGAGGTAAATTGGTAATTCGAAGAAAATTCGAACGAATATAAATTTCAGAACCAAGGCTACGTATCGAAGTTTGTTGGGTGCCCGGTTTACTAATAAGATTTTTGTCCCAAAGTCTTCTGGTCAAAGACTCGAACAATCAAATAAAAATGAAAATAAATGTTCAAATGTTTAAGTTTTTATTAGCTCAGTTATTAGTTAATGGGTTATAACCTCTGTTCCATCTTCAAATAAATCGATACTCAGAGGCAAGTCGAAGCGTCTGAAAATTTTTTTTAATATCCAGTTTTTATAGCGAAATATTTGTTTCATTTTTCCACATTAAATTTACTGTTAGCGAATGACCAATATTAGTCTAGTCCCATAGGAACTTGAACCTACTTTTCAATTCCTGGAACCTTGGAATACTTCCTCTTTCTTATCAATCGACGTCCGTCAGTCGTGCAATTGTGCTCAATTTCCGATTCGAGTACGTAGTTCGTGAACTAAAAGAGCTAATGTTTTGGGTTCCAGCTTTCTCGGAGGGCCTTTATTTGAGAGGGACCCTTTTATTAAAGGGCCTTTCTAATACAGGTTTTACGTAAGCGACTTACAGCCAAATAATATGTGTGGTTCCTTTCAAACTCATGGTGAGTGTAGAAATCATCCAAGCAACGTTCTTTGAATGAACCCTCGAAGATTTCGGCACTTCTAAACGATAATAGATTTTTCAGTTTCCCCAAAGCCACTTACGCTCCAGAATCGAATATTTTCATAGTATAACACCAATTCTTGACAGGAGCATTAGTGACACGGTCACGACATACAATAGTTGTGTCGAAATGAAGAGTTGTAGTAGTAGATCCCCAGATGAAGGAAGACGTCGGAATGACAAAGATCAAGAAGAGAAACACCTTCATTCTCAGAGAAGCGAGAACTGAGCGAGAATTTCAGAAACCGATCGATTTTGACATGTGTACAGTTCAGTTGGTCAGTGGGATTCGTGTTAGGGTACCGGAATAGCTTTTTGTATGATAGGAATCAACAAAATTTTAAGCCAAACCAGGTGGAACACTACAGATCACTAAAAAAAATATGAAAATTGGAACTGATTTTCAGGTGACTGACATAGTTCATAGAACCGTCGTATGCTAATTTCTCCCAATTTTCTAGTACGAAAGGGAACGAAAACATATGTTTATAAAATCACCAATATGGCGAAGATCATCGAGTCCAGAACACCGCAACGAGATGTATTAGGTTTCGTTTTCTGGAACCAGACAAGAGTATTGATTTTAATTTTGTCGTAAGTCAAGAATACCGTAAAACCTGTATTAGCAAAGCCGGCCCTTGTTCCAAGATACCTCCGGAGGGCTCTTTCATTTTTCCTAGACCCTTTTGGAGGGCCCTTCTATTAGAGAGGGCCTCCTACTACAGGTTTACGATAACAGCGTGTTTTGATATATATTCCGTTCAAATTTCAGCTTAATTTGTTTGACTTTATCTCAAATTAACTCACAAATTTTCACATTTACTGTAATTTGTATGGACGATTTGAAAGAAGGAAATAGGGTGGATAATGTGACAGGTATTGAAAAAGATAAGGAAACAATTAATCAAGATTTCAGAAATTCATTGGATTGAAAGCTCGACTGAAAAGTCAATTATATTTTCGGCAACTGCAGTTGGTGCTCTAGTGGAGCTTATACCATCAGTCCCTTTGCTAAACCATTTGCGTGTTAGGTGGGTGAACCTGATTTTAAATTTTCACCGTACTAAATACTTTTTTCCAGACGAACATTATCTCTTTTCGGACTTTGCTCTACGCTTGGAACTTTTTTCACCCCTATCGCTGTATCTTTGAGTTTCTACCTCGTAGTTTGGTGCAGATTTCTTCAGGGTCTCGGTGTTAGTGTAATTCTTACTGTACTTGGTCTTATTCCTAGTTCATGGTCTCCAAAATCCGACCACAGTACTTATCTGGCGATTCTCTCGTCTGCTTGGCAATTCGCCAATGCGATTTTCATGCCGGTTTCAGGAGTCTTATGCGACTCCTCATTTGGGTGGAGATCGATTTACTACCTTTTTGGAGGATTGACCGGAATCTTCTATTCCATTTTTTATATTTTCTACACCGATGCTCCATCGATGCACAGGTAAACCGTTGGAAACTCAAACCCAAGAAGTTGAACCGGTTTGAATTCAGAAACGTTTCCGAGAAAGAGTTGGGTACAATTGGAGAAGGAAAACAGGAGCAACCGGTTCGTGAAGCTGTACCTTTTCGGAAAATCTGTACAGACCGTTGCGTGTTAGCTGCATGAATCAGTTTTATTGGTGCCAATCGAGCATTCCTGATTCTTCTTCTCTACGTACCAACATATCTTCGAGAAGTTTTGAACTTTGATGTCAGATCGACAGGGTATTTAGGGCTTTACCATATGCTCTTTGTGCAATTTACAAATTGGTGGTAGGAAAAGTTTCGGATCGTATAACGTTCCTTAACGATAAGGTTAGCACAATAAAAATCTAAAAATTTAGTTATATTCTTTTCAGACAATTTACACCTTGTGGTTGTTCACCTCCGTCCTTGGTCTAATCATTGGTTATGCCATCATGATTTGGACGACGAATCGCATTGTCGCATTTTGTGCATTTGGATTCGCTGGGATAACATCTGGTTTGATTATCATTGCAACTGTAAAATGTCTCACATTGAGATGCCAACAGCACTGTCATTTTGCCGTCGGTGCGACTTCATTCATGTCTTATTGTGTGCAGTTCATTCTACCTCTTTGTGTAGGATTCATGTGTCCTGATAACACTTCAGAACAGGTGAGAAAGGTGGGGATTCTAGGCGAATAGTTATGTTTTAGTGGACTAGACTCTTCGTCATTGTCACTGTGGTTGTGATTCTCACAAACATCCCATTCCCGTTGCTGACGATTCAAGAGCCAGCAGACTATACGAAGCAGAGCGATTCTTCAGACAGAAAAATCTGATTCGAAAGTTCAGTTCTAACTACGATTTTCAAAGTAACTTTTTTTTGAAAACTACACGTACCCTTCCCTCTTATGATCTTTGTACACAGTCGTAAAAACAGATTTGTCCGAATAAACGAATGAAAAACCGACGCATTCATAACCCCCCTCCTATTAAAAACTGTTGAAATCACTAGTTCGGTTCAGTTTTCAAAATCGAACAGCCACAATGGCCAAATTTTGTCTTGTCTCTCTTGCGATGCTATTGATTGTTGGAATCCAGTCTCAACCGTTGCCTGGAGGTGGAGGAATGCCTGGAGGCGGAGGTATGCCAGGAGGAGGTGGAATGATTTATGGAAAGGTAAGTTCTTAGTTCATATCTCTTTTTGGTCTTCTGGAAGTTACCGTAAAACCTGTGTTAGAAGAGCCCCTAACTTTTTATTTTGAGCAACTTTTTTATATGTCCTATGAAAGTTACGAAACAGTTGTCAGCTGATAAATTGCTTATCATAATTTCAGAAATATTTTGTCAGTTGTCCACTTTTTGATACCTTTCACAGGTCCCAAAAAAGTTAGCTCCAACTTGACAGTTCGAGGGCCCTTCTATTACAGGTTTTATGGTATTTATTATGACTCCGTGAATTTAAAATTTTTCAGGTTAATACAACTGTAACGATTTCTCTCCCTCAAGTTGCCAACTATCGAAGAGAAGTTCGAAATGCAAAGGATGTGGATGAGGAGCACATTTATAGAGTTTGTAATGGAAAGAACAAGAAAACTTGTGGATTTTGGGAAAATGTGAAGGTAGGTTGTCTGAAAATTATCACTACCACTCTCAAAATTTTTCCAGACAAAAAAGAAAGTCGCATCCGGAGGCACCAATTACAACAAGAACAAGAAAGCGTTGGTTATTAAAAATATGAGAGCTACTGATTTTGGAGATTATATGACTGGCAACAAGAAGACCGCAGTTTTTGTCATGCAACAGACTTGGTGATAACTGTATGTCGTGTTCCAAAATATCATCAAAAATCTTGAATAATAAACATTTGTTGAAAATTTTCATATAATCAGCGATTCTAGGTAAATTTGGCGGTGGATTTATCGTAAAACCTGCACTAGAAGGGTTTTTTATACAAGAAGACCCCCTCTAATAAAAGAGCCTCTATAGAGAGGCTTTCTCAAAATGTTCCGTTCGAATTGAAAAATTTCAGTACGTTTTCAAAGAAAATATTCCGAAAATCCCACAATTTCCTAAATATTAAACTTGTATCTTCAAACTGGTATCAACATTGTTGTAAATTGGGCTACCGCCAACCATCTCCCTCTTGCCCACTCTAAAACTGCCCTTCTTCGCCCAGGTTCCCATAATTCTTCCCATCCTCTCAATATTGCGGGTGTCGCACTTACTCCCTCCTCCTCCGTCCGGGACTTGGGACTCATTACTGATTCCTCTCTCAAATTCTCTGCTCACATCAACAAAATCACATCTTTAGCTCTTCTCCGTTCCAAACAACTCTTAAAGTCATTTAGATCTAAGTCTCCAGAATTCTACATTCATCTTTTCAAATGTTATGTTCTCCCGATTCTTGAACATTGTTCTGTAGTTTATTCCCCTCCGCCTTCTTCTCGCCTTGCTCTAAAACTAGAATCTCCCTTAAGATTTTTCTCTAAGTGTATTTTCCAGCGTTGTAATATCCAGTACAGTTCCTATTCTGATCGTCTCTCTATCCTCAATATGTTCTCCATTCGACATCGTATGCTAAAAGCTCAACTAATTCTTTTCTATAAATTTTTAAATGGCTCCGCCTACTTTCCTAACCGAAATGCACATGCCAAATACTCCTCCTCCCCTCGTCGCCCTATGAACTTAATTATTGTTCAGCCCTACTCCTCTGACTATTTTTCTTCAATTGTTTCCCTGTGGAACGCCATCACTTCCCAAATTACCCGATTTCTCCTACCTTCCGAGTTTGAATCCTTAATTTCTTCCAGTATTACTCGTTATTGATATATTTGCTCCCGTATTTTTCTTTTTCTACCGGTTACATTGTTCCTGTGTCAAATATCTAAATTATCCCGTTTCCCCTCCCCTACTCAGATCGGCCTCGTGAGGGGCATTTTTCTGAGTCTTTCATGTCCTGCCCTCTAATGTTTTATTACACCTGATCAATAAACAAATTAATTAAAATTAATTAATTAGATGAACACCCTTTTTGCTAAAAAGAAAATTCTGGAAAAATTGATAGATTTTCATGAGGTTTGAACGGCGATTCACTGACTATTGTGATCGAAAATTTCGTTAAAACTGGCCGGGACACTAGAACGGCTCTCTCTCTAATTGAAGAGCTCCTCTAATAGAAAGTTTCTTGAAATAAGTGAAACGCCTGCTTTTTTTTACAGGTCTTACGGTAATTGGCTTCAAGAAGACCTGATTTTTAAATCGGAAAACGTCTTCATCTTTTGTCTCATCATTTAAAACACAAAAATCAGAAAATACTCTAGTACGAATTATGTTTGCCCCTTCCTTTAATCCTTGACCAAATTGATCTTCAAAGCCGATTTTTCATATTATAAATTCTACTCTTCAACCAAATTATGATACAAGTTCCCCATGCAATGTATGTCCTTGGTCTAGTGCTACAAATTTTCATTCCGTCCATTTTCATGAAGCCCACGAAGAAGCCGGTTCTGGTCGTTGTCAAGGGTGGAATATTGGTGAACCTGTACCAACTTATCTCGCTGAGGTGATCTTTACCAGCATTTTGACACATTAAATATTGTTACAGATTCATGGCAAGGCGTCATTTAAACTTCCGAGAGTTGCGCAGTACATTCGATATGTGAAAATAAAATAAAAATGAGTTCTTCGACCAACAAGTCATTTTACTTTGTGGTGCGCAGATAAAAACAGATTGCGGATTTTGGAAGAGTCTACAAGTAGGGGATTTTGAGGCTCAATAGTTATTAATTGTTTATTTGCAGACTGGAAAAACGTTTTCGGAAGGAACCACAAGTTATGACAAAAATAAAGGAGCGTTGGTAGTTGAGAATATGGGGCCGGGAGATTTCGGAATGTACTCAAGTGCAAGAGTTGGAGGAAAGTTTTAACTTGAATAGGCCAATACGGGACAGGTTTTTTGCAGCCAAGTTCATTATCAAGGAACAAAAATTTTAGCTATGGAGAAGAAACGCTGACTGCCGGAGGTCCTACAACGAAAACTACCGTAATCTAGAAATATTTTTTCCGGGTCTATTTTTTCGATTTTCGTGAGTTTTGATGTGTGCCAAGTCAAAAGGGGGGCCAATAGGTAAAAATGTGGCCTAAGTTAAGATTTACCTATTTTTTCTAGTTTTTTGACCGTTTCCATTAAAATTTCGTACTTTGCGCTTGTTTCCACAAAAATTTGTCACTTCAAAAAATTTCAGTTTAGGCCGGTTTTTTGCATGAACAACATACTATATTTTTCCATTGTAACTGTGTAATTTGAAGTTATTCAGCTAGTTCCAGATTTTTTCAGGCTTAGTAACAAAAAAATAGACAAAAAATATGCAAAAAATGACATAAACTGAAATTTTCAAAAAATTATGAAAAGTGTTCAAAGTTTGAAATTTTAATGGAAACGGTCACAAAACTAGAAAAAATTGGTAAATCTTAATTTAGTCCACATTTTTACCTATGGCCCCCCTTTTGACCAAAGCGTTTAATCTTCTTTATGATCCTTACTCTGCTGTATAAAAATCATAAAAATTTCGACCAAATACTTTCATTCACACCTACATACATTAGGCCAATATGATTTTACTCTGGTTTTTCACCGTAGTTGCCGTTTTTGGACTTCCCATTATGGGGGAGGAACTCGAGGAGGATGCTGCTTTTCCTCCTGTACCACCCACTCTTGCGAAGGTATGCAAATGTTTTTGTCAGGTTTTAACTAAAATTTTTCAAATTCAGGTAGGCGGATATGTAGAAATCAAACTACCACAAGTGGCCAAGTATCGACGAATTATTATGAATCAAGATAATCCGGCACTCAATGGACCTCAAATCTACAGAGTTTGTAATGGAAAAAATAAGAAAACTTGTGGATTCTGGGAAAATGCTCAGGTATGAAATCGACACTATTTTCATCAGAAATTTAGAGAAATTTCAGACCAAAAAGAAGATTCCATCTGGGACAACAACCTATAACAAGAACAAGAAGGCTTTGATTATTAAGAAATTGAAGAAATCTGACTTTGGAATTTACACAACTGGAGTTCACACAACTGGTCTACAAATTTTCCGTACTGTTCAAGAGTCACCAGCTTCTGGAAAATGATAATGCTGATTTTGATTGAAAAACTTCATATTTAATAAAACTCATATTTTTAATTGTCATCCGATATTGATTTTAGTCGAATTTTCGAGATTTTTAAGGATTACGAGCTTGTGAATTTCAGCAAATGTCCCAAAGTCAACTTACAGTGCGCGTAAGACGTTCTAGTCTACTATATCCGGTATTTGGATAATAATTATATTGGATTGGCTCAAATTTCGAAAGTATTGAACTTCTTTGAAAATTTTTGAGAATCTTTGAGAAATTAAAAATCCGTAAAACCTGTGTTAGGAGGACATCTGAAATTGAAAAGCCACTCTCACTGTAGTGCTTTCTCAGAGACCCCACAACGATTGAAGTGTTCCCTCTAATTGAAGGGCCTCTCAATTTAAATTACCTTCCTAATAGAAGTGCCCCTGATGTCCTGTTTTTTTGTTTTGTTATAAAGAATTTTTGATGGATGTTCAGTAGAAATAAAATTTCTCCGAAAAACGATGTCCTTCTAATAAAACTGCTCTTCTCACAATCAGTGACCCCACGAAAAAATCGAAGGGCCGGCTTTTCTAATACAGTTTTTACAGTTTGTCTGTAAAAAAATTAAAGACTTGACAAGACGAATACGGTACTGGTTGTCTAAAACTCGCCGGGTTTATTTCTTTGCGAAAAGACTAAACACCATTGCAAGTTTAATATCCTTTATGGTCTCTGTAAATCTCTGTAAATCTCTGTAAAAATTCAACCATATATTTTCGGCCGAATATTTCATTTCGCACCTATATCAGTTCAATATGATTCTACTCTTTCTTTCCACCTTTGTTGTCGCCGTTTTTGGAGGTTTCATTACTGGAGAAGAAGCTGGTAGTGTACCAACCACCTTTGCGAAGGTATGCATATCCTGTTGTCAGATTCCAATTAAAGTATTCAATTTTAGGTGGGCGGGAATGTAGAAATCAAATTTCCACAAGGGGCCAATTATCGACGTGTTATTATCAATCAAGCCAATCCGGCACTCAATGGACCTCAAATCTATAGAGTTTGTAATGGAAAGAATAAGAACACTTGTGGATTCTGGGAAAATGCTCAAGTAGGATACCGGTGTCATTCGTTAAAAAATAGTGAAAATTTCAGACCAAGAAGAAGATTCCGTCTGGGACAACAACCTATAACAAAACCAAAAAGGCACTGATTATCAAGAAAATGAAGAAATCAGACTTTGGACTTTACACAACTGGAAATGGGCAAATTTTTCGGACTGTTGAAGAGTCACCTGCTTCTGGGAAATGATGATCTTGATCTTGTTGAATGTTTTTATTATTGATGAAGTTTATTTTTGATTTTTGTCTGATTTGGACCTTTGGAGAGTGTTCAAGATTGATTCTTACATAACATTTGTTTCGAAACCTGTAGATAAATAAGATCTGATCTTTGAATTTCAACCGACAAAACACTTCTAGTATTATTATTATAAACAAAATACTTGCGGACGGGCCCAAAGCGGGCCGTGGCGGGCCCTGTCATGTTTTCTTTTAAGATTGATACTTTTTGACCAACTAAATATATGGTAGAACTGGACGAGCACTACAAAATGATACTATTTGGGACACTGTATCATGTTTTTGAACAAAGTTACAGACCAAACGGGCCGAAAAACCGGTCCGGCCCGCATTTGCGGCTTTTTGGCTTGTAACTTTGTTCACAAATATGATACAGTGTCCCAAATACTATCATTTTGTAGTGCTCGTCGAATTCTACCATTTCTAATGTAGTTGGTCAAAAAATATCAATCCTAAAAGAAACTATGGCAGGGCCCGTCCGCAAGTAAGATAAACAATTTATGGATCTTTATGACAAGGGGGCCATGAGAAAAGGGGGCCCAAGTCAAAAGAGGGGCCCAAGTGGAAAAATTATGCCTGAGTTGAGATTTACCGATTTTTTCAAGTTTTGTGACCGTTTCCATTAAAATTTCAAACTTTGAACACTTTTCATAATTTTTTGAAAATTTCAGTTTATGTCATTTTTTGTATATTTATTGTCTATTTTTTTGTTACTAAGCCTGAAAAAATCTGGAACTAGCTGAATAACTTCAAATTACACAGTTACAATGGAAAGAATAGTGTTGTTCATGCAAAAAACCGGCCTAAACTGAAATTTTTTGAAGTGACAAATTTTTGTGGAAACAAGCGCAAAGTACGAAATTTTAATGGAAACGGTCACAAAACTAGAAAAAATAGGTAAATCTTAACTTAGGCCACATTTTTTTTTCTTTTCGCTTGGGCCCCCCCCCCTTGTTCTCATGCCCCCCATTATATGACAGGGAACAAGAAACAGTCGAGATCTATTGAACAATTTTTGTTGCTTGGAAAGTAGTCGTACAACATAATCTTTTCCTCACAGTATAATCCTTTAGTCCGTTCAAAAAATCATGTATAAAAAACCCACCAAAATATGATTGATTCATACATTTCTATAATGTACAGAGTAGCTGGTTTAGTTGCTCTATTGGCATTATATATACAGGCTATTGAATTTGAAGAAGGTGACAATATTAATGTACCATCGACTCTTTACATAAAAGTGAGTTTTGTATTAAATTTTTTTAAGGAGAAGAAATAACATTTTTCAGGTGGGAGCCAACGCAACCATCGGTCTTCCGGTGAGCGCAAACTACCGTCGAGAAATTCGAACTTGCACAACAACATGTAATTATGATGAACAATTATATAGAGTCTGTAATGGAAAGAACAAGAAGACTTGTGGATATTGGGAGAGTGTCAAGGTTTGCTCTTTCATATAATTCTTGTTATTCTGTAGCTGACAATGTTCCCAGACAAAGAAGAAAGTTGCATCGGGAAAAACAACCTACAACAAGAACAAGAAGTCGTTGATCATTAGGAATATGAAGGAATCGGACTTCGGAAAATATATGACTGGAAACAAGAAGAAGTCAAGATATGTTGAGCAACTTGTGTCGTTTGGAAAATAATTTCTGCAAAATTTCTTTAAAATAATGTATTCTGTTGAAATAAAGGTGTTTTCAAAGCATTTTCGAGAAATAGCTGTGTCGTTTTAAAAACAATACCATTTTAATTTTCTGTTAGTGAGATTCAAGCAAAGAATTGAGCCATATACGTCGGGAGTGTACGGATCGGGACTTTTTGGAATTTCGGATTCTCTGAATATTCAGAATTTCAGAATTTCGAAGTTTTGAAAAGTTCGTCTAATCTCAGTCGAGCATACAAATCGGAAATGGTTAACTTTAACGTTTACAACTTTCCTCAACAAGGACGAACCAGATGCCGAAATCTGACAAACTTATGATAAGAGTCCAACCTAGTAGTATTCAACTTTCAACATCCGACCAAAATCAGACCGTGGTACGCTGTACAGCCGTTTTTAGGCGAATTCCGACCAGAACCTGGCCAATACCCGCCCAAGCCAAAACCCCCTTAACTTCTGATCAGAAATCACAAGCAATTTTCCTTTTTTTTTCACAAGCAAAATCACAAGCACATTTATTATTAGATGAAAAAAAGTAATGTAAGTTTGAAACAAAGTTTTACATGCAAAATTTTTGGTATCGAACTTTCGTGACATGGTATTATAACACAATCTTTTTCATAGTATAATCCCGTAGACCGTTCAAAAAATCATACAAAATCCGCACCAACCCGATATAATTTTTTCATTCATTTCTCCAAATAATGTACAGGGCAGCTGGTCTAGTTGCTCTATTGGCATTATATGGGCAGGCCGTACTAGTAGAAGAATGGGATAACATCAATGTACCATCGACTATTTACTTGAATGTGAGTTTTTCGGAAGAAATTCCAGCAATGCCGCATTTCAGTTGGGAGCCAATGCAACCATTGGGCTTCCTGTGAGCGCAAACTACCGTCGGGAAATCCGTAACTGCACAACAACATGTAATTATGATGAACAATTATACAGAGTCTGTAATGAAAAGAACAAAAAGACTTGTGGATATTGGGAAAGTGTCAAGGTTTGTTCCTTTCATAGAATTGTAACCTTAATAGAAAGCCACCCAAGCTGTCATCTTTGAGTTTGTATATCTTGATTCTTGTTGAAGATATCAAAAGGTGATTAACTGACAAAATATTTTTGATATGATGAATGTAATTTAATTTAATTTAATTTATTTATTTCAACGAAGGGGAGAAAACCACTAACACGTGAAATGTCTATGAAACTAGGAGATATAACAGGGACATACATTTGTATTAAATGGGAGATGGAAGAAAAACCGAGTTAGTAATTGTTTGAATTCAAGTCAAGAAAATGTTTTAGATCACAGGATAATAGTCGATTTTTGAAAGCCGCTGACGAGGGCTTCACCGGAAACAGTTTGGCGGGTAAAGAGTTCCAACATCTGATTACTCTATTAGAGAGAAATTGAGAAGATATTTTTGTTGTGTTTTTGATAAGTGATTTGAGATAGTATTTGTGACGACGCAATGATCCAGCATGATTAAATATTTCGAAAATTGGAACCTCCATGATAATTTCTTTGGAAACAATAATTTTATACGTGTAGACCAAATCATTATAGAGCCTGCGATACTCCAAGGAACTTAGCTGACATTCTTCCAGTGCTTCAAAGTATGAACAACATTTTGTTAGTTGATCATTTTTTGATATCTTTTACAGTAAACGAGATATGTGACCTCAAAATTGCCGTTACGGGAGTTTTAGAAAGAAAAATAAATTACAGACAAAGAAAAAGGTTGCATCGGGAAAAACGACGTATAACAAGAACAAGAAGGCGTTGATCATTAAGAATATGAAGGAGTCGGATTTCGGAAAATATATGACTGGAAATAAGAAGACGTCGAGATATGTTGAGCAAATTGTGTCGTTTGGAAAATAACTTTTACAGAATTGTTGTTTTTGAATGAATGAACAATCAACATAAATTATTTTCAAAAAAAAACACATTTATAAATGATATAGTATAACAAGATGTATAACAAGAAACATTCTGATCTGATCTTTCATTAGTGAAACTATTAGACTAATCAATCCTTGAATCAATCAATGAGTAGCTTTATTGAATTGATTGAAATATATATTCGCTTCTTGTTTGTGATCATGATAGATCATTTTTTCGCCGAACGTTGATTTGGGAATCTCTTCAATTGCTTGAGTTTTGCAGCAAAATGAATGAATCTACAAACAATTATTTAATTTGATCTAGCCGATAACTTACTACCAGTCTCCGCGTCTCTTTTTGCCATTCTGGTAGCAAAAAATGGACAATTATTGGTATTGTGATACCGTATACTAGTGCCAAAAAGTTGAACGCCACGTATGAAATATAGGTGAGCATTATGTCAACTTCAAAGTAATCCATTAGAAGAATAGATGAGCAACCAATATTGAAGAATAGAATTGAAATTTGTACTTTTTTTAGGACTTTACACATTTTGATATTCTCAGCCAGTTGGAATCGTTCGCTGAGTCCGTAGACGAAATTCGCAGGACCGATGGAGAACTTCCTAGAATTTGAGAATACATTTGGGGGTTTTAGAATAGACACAAGTACTTGTATCGTTTGGAATTGTAGAGAAAACAAAACTCAACGCCGATATAGCCAATAATATTGACGATGAAAAAGGAAATGACGTGGAAGAGCACCGGCAGCCAACCTAAAAACGTTATGGTTGATGGAATCATTTAAAACCTGTAATAAAATGGCGGTAACTTTGAGCCAATTATCCTCTGAAGTTGATATCCTAGAAAACTCAACTTGCCAAAGCTAGGCCACCTCGATAAACGGCATAGAAAAGACATTAGGTGAATTTTAGACCATTTCTGGATCATTAACTACGGTGGCCTAAAAATCATGTTGAGAAAATGAAAATTGTCCGATAATTTAAAAAAAAACGAACGATTTTTCGGAAAGTCTTATTTTGACTGAAATTAAAATAGAACTTACATTGAATATAAGCAATTGCAGAAGCAAAAACCAATGGATGAAATATTGAGAGTATCATCAAAGACACCCAAATTTTTCGCGATTTTTCGTAATTTTTCACAAAAAACGAGGCTAGACACCTCTCGACCATGAAAATGGGAAGAATGTACATTGCGATGAATAGGCAAACCGTTCGAACATAATTCGCCAGTGGAATTAGGTATTCCAGATTTTCTGAAAATTTTTTGAAAACTTTTTGGTATTTTCAAATGTCTGAATTTCTAGAACTTCCAAATTTCGGAATTTTAGAATTTCTGAAATTTCTGAATTTCTGAATATCCGAATTTCCGAAGGTTAGTAGTTTTGAATTTCCAATTTTTTGAATTTTCAAATTTCTGAATTTCTAAATTTCCGAGTTTTGAGATTTTGAATTTCTGAATTTTGGAGTTTTCCGATGTTTCGATTTTCGGAACCCTGAATTTTTGAACTTCTATTTTTCTGAAACTTAGAATTTAAATTTTAAAAACATTCTGGCATTTGAGATCTTTCAAACTTCCGGATTTCTAAATTTTGTTTGCTTTTGGATTTCTGAAATCGGAATTTCAGAATTTCGAAACATCCAAGTTTCTAAATTACTAAATTCCTAATTTTTTTCAATTTCTTAATTTTCAAATTCGGAATTTCAGAGTGTCCGAATCTCAGTATTTCGAAATTTTTCGAAACTCCCGGTTTTCTAAACTTTTTGAACTTCTAAATTTCCGAATTTTTGAATTTTTGAAACTAAAAAATTGAGAGTTGGAGAGACTCACTGTTTGGATTCAACTGCATATAAATTATGATTAGTCTAGAAACCATTGATCCAAAATATTGACCTCCGTAGTTTATAAAAAGAAAAGTCAGGTTGAAATGCATGGCTCGAACGAAAATCAGGAGGTAGAAAGTGTAGAGGAATTCCAGAAAGCTTTAAAAAATCATTAGAAAAGTCTGCAAAAATTAAAACCAACCTTAAAAGTAATCCTACAACTTCCAATTTTAACAGAACATTGAAAACGTTCTCCAGATTTCCAGCCTCGATATAGCTTGTGTTTATAAATGTAATAAAACGAACATTCGATGTGCTCGGCGAGCACATTTTTGTGTCTGAAAGCCACGAAAGGAGTATAACGATAGTGGAGAGCATTCGTAAACGACAAAAAAAAATTTTGTATCAGTATTTTTATAGAGGGGAAGGATTTTTTGGGGGGGGGGGGGGGGGAGTTAATGAAGGAAAACAAGACAAGGAAGATGTGTTAAGAATATTCTCGAGAGAAATCAACAAAAACTTTAATGATGATATTTTTTATTCAATGAAATCTTTACAGGTCCAGTCAAGCGGAATTCGGGGGTGGCTGAATTATGAATTTCGAGATTCAAAACAAAAAAAAAGACAAAATAGAAGAACAAAAAAGATGCATCATTTCAATTTTCCCTGAATATTGTAAATTTGTAGAAAATGTGCTAGATGGAATAGTTGGAAATTTTCAAGATTAAAAAAAGCCAAATGGTGATGATGTCTGAAAAAATCTGATTAGAAAAAAAAACAGCAGTTTGACTTGACTTCAGAAACAAAATTTTATTTCTGGATATCAGAGTCTAGAGATTTCAGAATTTCCGAGTTTCAGAATTCCAGAATTTCAAAAGTTGCAATTTCAGACAATTTCAGACCAGAATTTCGTAATTTTAGATTTTGGGGATTTCAGAATCTCAGATTTTCAGAATTTCTTTTTTTTTCAAAGATTTTTTCAAAGATTCAGAAATTCAGTAATCCAGAAATTCCGAAATTCAGAAATTTAGAATTTCTCAATTACTGAACTTCGGAACTTAAAAACAGCAGTTTGACTTGACTTCAGAAACAAAATTTTATTTCTGGATATCAGAGTCTAGAGATTTCAGAATTTCCGAGTTTCAGAATTCCAGAATTTCAAAAGTTGCAATTTCAGACAATTTCAGACCAGAATTTCGTAATTTTAGATTTTGGGGATTTCAGAATCTCAGATTTTCAGAATTTCTTTTTTTTTCAAAGATTTTTTCAAAGATTCAGAAATTCAGTAATCCAGAAATTCCGAAATTCAGAAATTTAGAATTTCTCAATTACTGAACTTCGGAACTTAAAAACAGCAGTTTGACTTGACTTCAGAAACAAAATTTTATTTCTGAATATCAGAGTCTCTGAATTTCTGAATTTCCGAATTTCAAAATTTCCTGATTTCAAAATTTCCTGATTTTAGAATTTCAAAATTTCAGAGTTTCAGAATTTCAGAATTTTCAGAATTTCAGAATTTCAGAGTTTCGGAATTTCAGAATTTTCAGAATTTCAGAATTTCAGAATTTCAGAATCTCAGAATATATGAACTCTAAAATTTCAAAATGTTCATATCCAGAAGCTGATTAGCTCAAAAATAAAAGTTCAAAATTCGAAAAAAAAAGTTTGCAGCTGTAAAAATTGAAGATCAATCAGCAAAAGTTTCACCGGTCACTCTGCCTACACTCTTAGCAACAAAAAACATCAAGTTATATTTTTTCTATAATTTTCAGAGAATTCAATTGTATAAACTACTGGGAATTGGATTACTCATTGACTGGAAAAAAGATTGATATGTTCTTCGGTCGTTTTGAAAAAAACTTCCCACATTTTGAAGCTAGTTGGGTGGTTTTTTTTCAGTTATTTAGTTCTGAAGTGGGTTTCGGAAATTTAGGAAAGCTGACAATGAATAATAGAAGATTTCTTGAAGGTGGTTGAGAGCAAAGTAAAGGGAAAAAGTATTTTGAGAAACATTTCCAAAAATTGAAGGAAAGGAGGCAATTATTCTCAATGTGATTACTGAAAAATTGGCTTGATTTAGAACAAAAAAAATTACGTCACAATTTCCACAATAAAAAAAAATTAGTAGTCTAAAATCTAAAAGTTTCTTTCTTCAACGAGAGCCACAAATGAAAATGTGTCCTGGTCTTTGTACTCAAAGTCCCGTTATTCAATTTTCGTCACTCACCAACAAAAAATGTATCCTGTTTGTTTCTAGTATCGTCTCGTTATTGGATTGAACTTTGGAACTTTTGTGTTTGAAAAATTTTCTTTTTGGAATTCTAAAAATAGATATATACGAGCATTTCCGCATCGACGCATATAAGATATGTTTTCAAGAAAAAATGTCAGAAATTTGAAACAACTGAAAACTGTGTTTTGGTTTTGTGAACAGAAAGTATCGGCCTTTAATAGAAGAGCCCCAATACTGTCAAGTTCAATCTAACTTATCTCGGTTCCTGTGCTAGCTATGAAAAATGTGTTTACTAATAAAGTGATTCTGATATTATGATAAACAATTTATCTGTTGACGACTTTTTCATATATTCGACAGGAACCGAGAAAAATTGTCTCAAAGTTAAAAGTTAAGAGATCTTTCTATTACAGGTTTTACGGTATTCTACTTTCAGATGGATTTGGTAAACTTTGGATGTAAGAAAAATATAAAATTGATTTGACATGTGCTGTATGTGCAGTTGGTGATCTTAATACGATTTCTACCCTCCCCCAAATAATGAGGCAGGGTTTCCAAAAATTGTACTTAAGGTCTTGTAGAAGGCCTCGACGAAATGCTAGATACTGTGTGATGGAATGAGGAGGAGGTCATTATCTCTATGTACGGACATCTCACGGGTTCCGCGCGCCACTGTGCATAATACATGGGAGACCATATTGATTTTGCTCGCATTGGTTAACTCATACATGCGGCGTGATACTTCTTTGTTTCCAGAGTTATATTTCATGGAATCATTATGAGAGAATTTGAAGACTCAGTTTGTTAGTTTTTAGATACTATGTGTAGAATACAAGCGTTTTTCGAAAGTTACGATTTTTGAAAAGTCAAGTTTTGATTTTTTCGAAATTTAAACTTTTTGTCGTAAAAATTTTGTTTCCCATATTTTTAAATGAAATCTGGTCAGAATCCGCCAATCTTTTTCACAAAGTGGAAAACCTTTTGCACGGTACTGTAGATTCAAATCATCACCAATTTTATTGAAATTGGAATATATTATACATTTTATCGTATTTTTTTTCCCCACTGATTACATTTTGAATTTGTGTTTCCTCTTCTATTGAATGTCTTGATAATTTTAGTCCTTGTCATTTTTCATTAATAAAAATAGAATGGCATTTTGAAAGGTTCCTATGCTAGCTGTGAAAAATGTGTCTACTGATAAAATATATTTGATACTATGATAAACATTTTATCAGTTGGCAACTTTTTTATATCTTTGACAAGAACCGAGAAAAATTGGCCCGAAGTTAGAAGTTAGGAGCCCTTCTGTTACAAGTTTTACGATATGTGCAATTGCTGATTAAAACTCTAAATTTGTCCCGATCCCAGTTTTTGGCCCGTTGATCAAAATCCAAAGTTTGGCTTTCCAAGCCATATCTTGGATTCTCTACAACTATCCTTATTCTCTACATTCTTCCACTCCTCTGAAACCTATTCCACAGTACATTTGGAACGTTCTGGAACCGGTTGATTTGCATGTCCGTCTTCTTAAAAATTTCGAATGGCATTGTACATTGTTCAATCGGCGAAAAAAATTGGAGGAGAGATATAGAGAAGTACATTTGTTGAAATGATCTCCTCCGTTTCCACCTTCTTTTTCCTCAGAACATTGGATTATCCAATGGCGCGTAATATCTGGAGAAGACAGGAGGAGAAGAATGGATACCGAGTTTTCTTTCGATTTTTTGCGCAACAACGATATTGCGCCATTGAAATGATTGAGGGATTGATAACGATCTGTGATAAGAAGGGAGGGGACAGAGAGAACAGCTTGTAGAAATGATAATGGATTTTGTTATGATGGTGTTGAAGAGGAGATAATTAGTCTGGATAATTGGTCTGAATTGAAGAGAGTGGAACTTTGAGGAAATGATAATTGATAAATTGGTTAATATTTTTTTGATATCATGAGCAATATATTGTTGGTTGACCACTTTTTGATATTTCTGACAGGAACCGAGATATGAGCTCAAACTAAACGGTTTGGGTGGCAGTCTTTTAGAGTGTTTACGGTAACTGATAAAATATTGAAAAATTTATGAAAAATGTTACGGTACTAAATAACCCACACAGGAAAAGAAATATCAAAGAAAAGAATCGAGTGCCGGTCTATGAGAGGTGAAAGAGTAGAAAGTCTTTGGTTACGGTACTTTTACAAAGTGGGAATCGGAATGGTAAATAGAGGTTTTGGATGACTGTAAAAATTAACAACCCAAACTTGACAAATTTGGTATTATTATGCTTGTCTGAGAAAAAAAAGGTTAGAGAGTATTTTTTGCAGTCTGAATACGGTAGCGATATCGAAGCGGAGAGCCTAAATAGCACACAAACGGTGGAGACGCAGACACATTTTCTCTGCGTCTCAACCTTTTTTTTCTCAGACAAGCATAATAGACAAAAATTAAATTCTCAGATTTTGACTGTTCTGAAAACTTCTGGAGCTTCATATCTTCAGAATTCAGAATTTTGGATTTTTGTTTGAATTCTTCAATTTTCAGATTTTGGCATCAAGAATATTCTTCCACGCACCGTTTTTCAAGACAATCATCATCATCATCATCATCTTCTCACATAAAAACAACCTGATTTATCTCTTTGTTTATCTTTTTAATTCTTCACAATTCTTTTTTTTTCTTTAAAAAAGTTCTAGAATATTGCGTCAGATATTAAAAACCTGAAAACTCAAGCTTTCGGCCAATCCAAAGTTCAAAAAGATATGTCATAAAGGGAGGAGATTCGACTCCGCCCCTCTCTTCGGAACAGGTTGCCAAAGATATATAAGGGATTCCCTGAACAATGTGAGAAAGCAACATTCTTGTTTCTTTTTTCTACATTTAGTCAAATGAAAATTTCGAAATTTTTCAGATGAAATCCTTCGCCATTATCGCCTGCTTGGTCTCCACCTCATCCGCCTTCTTGTTCGGCGGACTTCTCGGAGGCGGAGGAGGAGGCGGAGCCTGTTGTGGAGCCCCAGCCGCACCACCACAACTACCACCAGCTCCAGCTGCTGGAGGATACGTGACGGCTCCATCTGCTCCAGCTCCACTCTACCCATCAGCTCCAGCTCCAGCTATTCCAGCCGCCGGATACGCTCAAGCTCCAGCTCTTGGAGGAGGATTTGGAGGACTTGGAGGTGGACTCGGAGGTGGACTCGGAGGAGGGTACCAGGCTGCCCCAGCTCAAGGAGGACTTGGAGGACTTGGAGGTGGATACCAAGCCGCTCCAGCTCTTCAACTTCCAGGACTCGGAGCACCAGCCCCAGCTCTTGGAGGACTCGGAGGAGGATACCAATCCGGACCAGCTCAAGGAGGTTTCGGAGGACAAGCCCAAGGAGCCCAAGGAGGATATCAGTCTGGACCAGCTCAAGGAGGACTTGGAGGACTTGGAGGTGGATACCAAGCCGCTCCAGCTCTTCAACTTCCAGGACTCGGAGCCCCAGCCCCAGCTCTTGGAGGACTCGGAGGAGGATACCAATCCGGACCAGCTCAAGGAGGTTTCGGAGGACAAGCCCAAGGAGCCCAAGGAGGATATCAGTCTGGACCAGCTCAAGGAGGATTTGCCGCTCAACAAGGACCAGCTCAAGGAGGAGAAGGATACCAACAAGCTGCTCCAGCAGGATTCGCTGCCCAAGCCCCAGCTCAAGGAGGATCTGGATATCAATCTGGACCATCCCAAGGAGGATTCGCCGCCCAACAAGCCCCAGTTCAACAACAACAATCCGCTGGTTACCAAGCCCCACAACAAGTTGCTCCAGTTGCTCCAGCTCCAGCTCAAGGAGGTTACCAAGCCTCCCAACCAGCTCCAATCGCCCCACCAACCCCATCTCAAGGATACGAAGCCCCAGCCGCGGTTGCTCAACAACCAGCTCAAGTTTCCGCTCCAGTTGAATCGGTTCAAGCCTCCGGATACCAATCTGGAGCTGGAGCCGTCGCTCAGCCAGCAGCCGGAGGATCTTATTCTCAGGGAAAGAAGTTCTAGAGCATTTTAGGAATTTATAATTTATTTTGCAACTCACATGTTTTATCATTTTTGCTTTATACTTGTTTCTACTGCAATAAAGCACGCCGATATAAAGTCGGCGATCACCAGTGGTGATTTTTAAATCGATCTTTTTTTCACAAAACCACAAAAATTAATAAATATTGGAGTCCAAATTCTGGTATAGTTTGGTACACTATACAAAATTAAAGGTAGTTCTGACTACCGTAATGAACATTTTCAGATTACTAGAACTCGATGTTATTCACTGAAAGAATCCTGTAGCTACATTTTAAACAGATTACTGTAGTAATTTTTAAACAGACCATTGTAGTTTTTTAAGAGGCTACTGTAGATGTTTTTTTAAAGATTACTGTAGCTATTTTTCAGATACTTTTCGAATGACTCAATTTTCACCTTCTTTTCAAAAAAAAAACACTTGCGTGTGTTTCTCGATCGCCAGCAATCAGGGGGAAATGTGCCACATAAAACTGCGCCGAGCCATCCCAACCCAAGTCAACTATCTTCACTTTCTCCAGAATCTGGAGTCCAGACATTATTCTAAAGAATGAGTGAAACTATCAATGATGACGACGTTCATAGCGAGGAGGTTATTTGAAATTCAGTTTTCTCCTGAAATAGAATTTCAGAATGTTTCAAACAAAGATTCCCAACGCTCAAAAAAGTCTCCAGAATCTCTAGTAGAGTCTGGAATCGCTTCAGAAGCCACTAAAGACTTGGAAGATGAGGCCGTCGAGGATTCTGAAGAAGAAGAAATCAAGGATGTCCATCACTATGTGTTCTTCATTTTCGCAATGTTCGGATTTGGCTCGCTTCTCCCCTGGAACATGTTCCTCAATATTTCATTTGATGTGAGACACCCAACAGTACCCTTGAGGCACTACTCTAGACATTACAGTACGCTACAGTACCCTAGAAATCATACAACTCCCTACAATAATACAGCAAAGTCTACAGTAATCTTTTTCAGTACTACACAATGTTCAAGCTTCGGGAAGACAGTGGAAACGCCACTTGGTTCTCCTCCAACTTTCAGAACTCCATGACGATTTCTGCGCAGATCCCAAGTTTAGCATTCAGTGTGATCAATGTTTTTATTGCTATGAAGTAAGGGCGCTCTACTGATAACAAAACAACTTGAATTTCCAGAGGAGACCTAACTCGTCGGATGAGATCTTGCTTGATTGTTGTTCAATCCATGGTCGTAGTCACTATTATTTTTATCTACATTGAAACGAGTAGTTGTGAGTTTTAGAGCAATTACTTTTGGTGTACAGGACGCTAGAGATTTTTTAGGGATCACTGTGTTTTTTTCGATAACCATCGTCTCGATTATTGTGTTGAATGCAGCAAATGGATTGTTCCAGAATAGGCAAGAGATATTCAGATGAAACATGTCTAATGTCTGAAATTTTGTTCCAGCATGTTCGGTTTGGCCTCTCCATTCCCTTTCAAGTACACCAATGCCGTTATCATTGGCCAGAACTTTTGTGGGACTGCAGTGACGGCTCTTGCAATGCTCACCAAAGCTGGTACTTTTTTAGTTCCAGGATTTACAGCAAATTTTTTTCAGTGAGTGATGATGTTCAAATGCGTGCCAGTCTCTTCTTCGTTCTCTCTTCTATCGCTGTCATCACATGTTACGTTCTTCTGAAAATTCTGGAAAAATTCAGTTTTTATCGAAAGTTCGGTGAATTGAAGCCGTCAGCGATGAGTAGAGAAGGAGAGGAGAGAACTAGTTGGTCAAGAATCGGAGAGGCATTTTCTAAGGTAACGGATTCTAGCTAGTTCAAAATTTCAAGATCTAAAATTTTCAGAGCAAAATGCAGTTTGCCAACATCTTTATCCTTTTCTTTGTCACTTTGGCACTATTTCCAAATGTTTGTATGTATGTCAGAGATGCTCCAAAAGGGAAACCTCATGATTTCTTCGTATCTGAAAAGTATTTTATGGATGTCGTCGTGTTCCTAAACTTCAATTTATTTGCCTTTCTGGGAAGTTTGTTGGCCAACTGGGTCAGATTTGTGAGTTTCGTATTTTTTCAACTGAATACAGTAATCCTTTTTTCCAGCCAGGACCCAACACCATTTGGATTCCAGTCGTCGCTCGTTTCTGGTTCATGTTTTATTTCCCGGCTGCCAACTACTTGCCAATGGATTATGACCGTATCTATTCAGTCCTATTTAGTTCCACGTGGCTTTTCATGCTGAACGTTTGCCTGTTTGCCCTTACTAGTGGATACTTGAGTTCTTTAATTATGATGTATGCACCAAGATCGCATGAGGATCCCAAGGCTCAACGAATTGCCGGAATGATTGCATCGTTTTTCTTAATATTCGGAATTGTTGTTGGTCTTGTGTTCTCTTGGCAAATTCGATTGTTTATGACTGGTTATGCTTAACTTTTTTCTGTAATAAAAGTTTTTCATTGTATAGGGTCCAAACGATTTTTTGTTTTGCACAAATGAGCCTACATCCTGTGAATATTCAAAAGAATAGAAGAAAGCTGGCCTAGAATTCATTTTTTCGATACTTGGCCCACCCAGGGATGTTCGGAGCGGAGTTTGGAATTCCGAAGATTCCAATCAGCACATTTCCGATTTATTTTTCGGAATAAGAGCTTTTTGGACTACGTTATGTGTTTCCTTGTGGGTTTCGAGTGGAATTACTTGAATTTTTTCAAGCTTTTTCGGTATCTGTCAGTCAATTTTTCAAAAAATGGCACATACATCATAATTAATGAACTCAAGTATCCACTGGTCAGGGCAAAAATCCAAAAATTTTTGTTTGGTGAATCCGAAAACTTCAAAACTTTGAAAATTCCGAAATTTTAAAAAATCGGAATAGCCCGAAATTCCGTAATTGCTAAAATTTCGAAATCGGATTAAATTCCAAAATTATTCTAAAAATCCAAAATTTTCCGATTTCGAAAATCGAAATTTTCCGAAATTTTTCAATATCTCAAATTTTTCAAAATCAAAATATTAAAAAACTTTGACATTTTTAAAATTTTCCAAATCGGGATATACCGAAAATTTCCAAAATCAAAATATTCTAAAATTACGGAATTTCGGGAAATTTCGAAACTCGGAATATTCACAAATTTTGCAAACTTTTAAATTGGAACATCCCGAATATTTATAGAATTTCGGGATATTCCGAGTTTGAAAACTCATATTCCAAAATTCTAAATTTTCCAAATCGAAATATTCCAAATTCAAAAATTTTTCAAAATAAAAAAGTATTGGAATATCCTGAGATTCCATAATTTCGAAACTGGGAAGATTCCGAAATCCCGAAATCTTCGAAATTTGGTCTTTTTGACATTTCAAACATCCTTGGGCCAACCGATCGGCCTTTTTAGGCTCTAGGCCCATAAGCCCGAGATTTTGAAAGAATGGGTTGCCCATTTCGGATCGTAACCACATTAGCTGGCTCGTGCTCACCCATTTCTTGCTCCTAATAGGTCTACATCCACCTACACACGAAAAAGTGTCTCGTGTGAAACATTTCACCCCGTTTTGTCCACTCACAAGTATCCCATTACACGAGAAAAGAGTCTTGCACAAAAATGAATGTTCTCATTTGTCTCTGCGTCTCCTGTTACTCAAAAAAAAAGTGACATGACGATAGTGATGATGATGACCCGTCCGAGCGAGCAAGAAGGGCGAGAAAAAGTGAACAAATTACAGCGAAAACACAAACACACTGTTTAGTATGTATTTCTCTTCTCGGGGAGGGGTCACTCACTTTTTCTTCCTCTCGGAGTGAAAAGATAGCCATCGCTCTGTTTACACGAACAACACATATATTTTCCCGCGAAGGAGGAGGAAAAAGTTTTGGACGGAAGGAGATACAAATACAGCACCATCCACGCTCATCATGATTTATTATGTATTTTCAATTTAATACCGTTCTTCGGAGGAGGAGGATGAAATGAGATGAAAGGATGACTAGCGCCGGATCATCCCCTCTCTCCGCTTTTTAAACGTTTTATACTATTAGTTGAATGAAGTAGTACTACACCGATGGACTTCAATAGCATTCTTTGTAAACTTTGAAGGATACAAAAAAGCAAAAAAGCGATAGGTCCCACCGAGATTTGAACTCGGGTCGCAGGATTCAGAGTCCTGAGTGCTAACCACTACACCATGGAACCGACGAGAGACTATTGGTCAGTTAAACATAGAAATAGGCGCGAGGAGTCAGAAAAAAGAGGAGGAAGTGACCCGTGGGAGTGCAAAGAAGGGGGCGTGTATGATAGGAGAGAAAGATTTGGAATTTTGAAACATTTCGCTGATTTTCACTAATTTAAATTCTTCTTCCTCCCTGTCGTCTTCTTCCATTTCATCCTCTTCCGATTTCGTTTCAATGTTTGTGCTTATCATTATACCAGGATAATCATTTCGCTCGTTTTCTCCTCCCAACCACTTTCTTTTCATCTCTTTTCGCCTTTTGCACTTTCACCTAATACATTTTCTTGCCTTCTCATTTGCATTTTTCGAGATATATAGGTGTCAATTTCTTTTGTACAGATGGTAGTGTTTTGATGGAAAAGGTTTCATTCGTTGAGAGAAGGACGTATAGGGAGAGAGAGGTATAATTCGAATTAGTGTTTTTTGGTTTTGGGATTTGTGGCAGATTCGAAAGAAAATATGTTCAAACTTGATTTAATAACTTTGTTCGTTTTTGTGCATTCAAAATTATCCGAATTTGAAGAAATTTGAAGCAAAAACAACAATTCATTTTTGAAGTTAGTAGCTATATTTCGTAAAATTTTATACATTCGATATATGTAAGTGTCGCAGCCTTTTAAATTTTTATTTTATCATAGATTTTTAATTGAAAAAATTGCCAACTAAACATTCTTTGGATTTTTGAACCGTTTTACATATTGCAACAAATTTTTCAAGCACCCGAAGTTACCGTATTTCCTCTAAGAGCACACCCAAACGGCCTACTTTGAGCTCAATTACCTCGATTTCTGTAAAAGATGTCAAAAAGTAGTCAGCTAAAAAAATGTTGGTGTTATTATGATAAATATTTCATCAGTTCATTACATTTTGATTTCTTTCATAGGAACCGAGATAATTGAGTTCAAAGTTGACGGTGTGTGTGTGAGTTTCTATTAAAGGGGAATACGGTAGCGTTACAAGTATTCATTTTGATTTTTTTTTCTTTAAAAAATTAATCTTGGTTCTTTTGTCGAAATTTTAAAGTAGCCGCTTTTATTACTTCAAAACGCTGAAACAATAATTTTTAGTTCAGTACAGTTCCTCTCTGAAGTTCCCACTAGACTCTGGTGTGTATTCTGACACCATAAATATCTCCTCCTTCCCTTCATTCTATCCCCCTTAATCCGTCAAATAGCAGCTGTTGCTTCTGTACCTTCTCCTTCCGTTCGTCGCCACTTCGTTATTATGCTTCATCCTCTCCCCAAATCAACTTGGCACCATTCACATCCTTCTTTTAATAACAAGTAAACGCTGATTTAGTTGTTGTCAAGTAGTGATGTAAGTACATTTTGACCGTATTTACATACCCTTCCCCCTCTCTCTCTTTATCTCCTCAATTCACTGCTCTTGTCAAGAGCAGGGGATGAGGTCTTGTCCACTCGACTTCTTTTCCCACTTAATGACCATTTTGTATTGGACATGAGAGAGAAGGAGCATAGAGGTTTTTCGAAGTTATCAATGAAACTGTGGTTTTTGTTTTCTTAAATATACCTTTTTAAACTTCGTTGTTTTTTTTTAAGTTTTGTGATTTTTCAGTTTTCTGAATTCAAAAGAAAAATACCGTAAGACCTGTATTAGAAGGCATACTTGTTCGGGAAAATTTTTTCGGGAATTTCTCTTCCCGAGAACTTTCCCGAAATTTTTTCCCGGGAAATCGGGTTCCCGAAAAATTTCCCGAAAACAACTTTCGGAAAATTTTGTTCCCGAAATTGTTCCCGAAATTATTGTTCGGGAATTTTCGGGAATATCGGGAAAAATCGGGAAGTTGGTTTTTCAATGAATTTTTGTCTATTTTTCTCAATTTATGTTGAGATCTGTCGATTTCTTTACTTTTCTCAAAAGTGTCCAATAAATTCGCTTGGAAAACTATTCAAAAAGCAAAAAATAGTTGAAAATCTGAGAAATCTACAAAAACAAAAATTGGAAAATTTCCCGTTTTTCCCGGAATTTTGTGAAAAAAAATCTCGGGAAATTTCCCGTCGGGAAAAATTCCCGAAAAAAAATTTCGATAAAATTCCTGCCTGGAAAAATTCCCGAAAATATTCTGCCATTTTAAATTTTATTTTCCAAGGTTCTTCCGGAAGGCCCTTCAATTACAGGTGCCCTTCAATTAGAAGAGGCTTTCCTATTTTTCCGGTCATCTTTTCTAAAAATTTTTCCTTGCTACATTCGACGCATCCTCGTTCAAAATGTATTAAAACCTATCAACTTCGTCGAATTTCGAACAAGTTTTTTTAATCAAAACAAAAATTGTTTCAACAAAATTCTATTGAATTGTGGAATTTCCGGAACACTTTTCACTGAAAACGTACTGAAATGTTTTGATTTTGAAACGCATTTTGGAGTGGTCCTTCTTAACAGGGGCCCTTCTATTTGAGGGGCTCTTCTATTAAAAGGGTCCTTCAAATACAGGTTTTACGGTAAATTCATTGATCTTGTACAAAAAAGGTCAACCACAAAAAAGTTAGGGAAACGTTTTGGGCAATATTTTCTGAAACTTTCCAATTACCATATTTTCTCATTCTTGAACTTTGAGCTCAATTGTCTCAACTCCTATTTCATAAAGGTATCAAAAGTCTGCCAACTGAAAAAAATTGTATTTCATAATATTACTAATCAGTTGACACATTTTTGATATATCTTATAGGAGCCGAGATAATTGAGTTCAAACTTGACAGTGTGCGGGCCCTTCTATTACAGGTTTTTTGTAAGATTGAAAATATCCGATTTCTGAATTCCTTGATGCCTGACCCAATCCTCTTCAATCTAACCAAAAATCAAAATGTTCCTTTTCAAACCCTCCAAAGATTTCTCCTTCTATTCTCCTCACATTTTTTGCCATTCCATCGGAAACCTTCTTTGCTCACAAAAACAAGGAAGCTGCTCACTTCTCAATTCTTCAATCATCTCCGGTAGAAGAGACATTGTGAAACTTGATCTCTCCCCTGGATCCCCCGCCAATAGGAAATTGAACGAAAAAACACTGAAGCTTTTCTGGGGGGAAAATAGACTAATTGCTTTCAATTCGTTTTCTCTCCATGTTTCTTTTGTTATTTTCAAATGGAACACTTTTGCTTCTTCCAATCTAATTGATACATTGAACTTTTTCCTTCGCAGTCCCGCTTTTTCTTGTGTTCTTTCTCGAATTGCTTTGTTTTTAGACTATGTGGCAGGAGATTGAGAAAGTATATAAATAGGATTTGTGCCATTTTCGGTGGCATGACAAAATTTGAACATTTTTGGAAGTTTTTTGTCTCAAAAATGTTTGACAGGTCGCCAATCTCAATGTCTCCATTACGGCCATGAATTTTTTATTTTGGACAACCGAGGTCATTTTTTTGCTACCGATGTTTTTTACATGCTTCAGAAATTTTTGGAGGTTTTTTCGGGTAATTCCAGAGTTTCCCTATCCATCTCTTTCGTTTAGGAGCCCAACCGATACGTGATTTGAGCTCAATCATATCGATTCCCATATGAGATATGAAAAATTTGTCATCTGATAAAAGACGTATAAGCTAGGCTTCTAATAGAGCATTCATTTTACTATCGTTTCTTTCAGTCTTTCCTAAATTCCCTTCATCCGGATGTCCTTGACTTCTGTCCTCTTCCCTATCCTTTTCCCCCATATATTCATCCAAGTCCTTCCGCTTTTTCTGCTTCTCCCGCTTCTTCATCATTCTCACTCATAATTTGACAGTCAACAAGATATGAAAAAGAGAGCATAGAGCGTAAAAACAAGCTCCTAACTCAAGTGCAAATAGTGGGTGATGGATCCAGTCGGGCATCCACGCTTTTAATTACGAGGGGAAACCCCCGAAAGAGAGATGGTATATTGGTCAGGATTATGTTGTAAGCCTATGTTGAGCTGTAGTTTTTGCAATGTTCCTCCTGATATCGTAAATGCTCTAAAATAACTCCACTTTGAGCTCAATCGTCTCGGCTCCTGTAAAAGTTATCAAAAAGTAGTCAACTATCAAATTGTTCATCACCAGCCATCCGCTTGCGCCGCCTTCGGCGCGATTTAACCTAGTTTTTTGACTGGTTCGTCGCTTCTCTTCTCACGTTTTTTTAAAGGGTCACGTAAATCTATATTTACTTTTCAAATTCTTCAAAAGCGTACAGACAGATGCGTGTAGCGTTTTATATATATATATATATATATAAGGAAGATAGTATCGCCAAGAATTGTATAGTTTGCAGATTTCTGATATCTCTCACAGAAATTGAGATAGTTGAGCTAAAGGTGCAAGTCTAGGAAAGCATTCTAGCATTTAAGGTATTCAGAGTATTAGTCGATTTTCTTGAAACATGATTTTTGGCTGATAATCTATCTCAAAACTTTTCGATTTGTCTAGGATTTCATTTTAGTAGTTGACAACATTTTATGGAAGTCCTCAAAAATAAAGAATCCCGGACATCAGGTGCTAGTTCCCAGACTGATTATATTCCAAATGAAATTTCTCGTTCGGGGTAATTTTTTAAAATTTATCAACTAAAAAAATAATCAACTGGTTTAGTTTCGTAGTTGTAGAAGATTTAAACAAAATTGAAACAGCTTGATACCTTCTTTACAGATCCCCTAATTTTTTCTTTTTTCATTCAAATAAAAAAACTATCTTACCGTAAAATCTGGAATATATTGCCTCATCACCGAAACCATCAACTTCGAGCCTATATATCTCAGTTCCTGTGACAGATGTAAAAAAGTAGTCAACTGACAAAATGTTTATCATAATATCAGTAACACTTTTATCAGATGACAAATGTTTTATATCTCTGCTTGGAACCGAGATAATTGAGCTCAAATTTTATGTATAGAGTGAGCTACTAATAGAGCAAATACCGTATTGTGTATTCCTACAGAGACTAATTTTTTACATTGCTGTACCTACCGTAGTCCCTTCAACAGTTGTTCATTCGAAAACCCTTTTTGCTCCTGTTACCTCCATTAATTATAATATTCCATTTGATTTACAACCCTACACCTCATCTCTCCCCTGTCGGCATTTTGGCCCTTTTTGTGAGAGAATATTAATCATTTGAATAGTGTCTCCTGTGCATACACACGCCCGGTTGCTCATCGCAAAGATGACCCAACCTAACAGGCATTTCACATATTTCTTGTTCATACTCAGATGTCACCACCAACACGTGTTAGGTTGTAAAGACATCTGCTTCTAGGCAGATGTCTTCTTTTTTTGTAAGAAATCAGAAAAATAACTAATTGCGAATAACGGTTTGGCCTTCACCAGATTTTCGGTCGAGTACAAAAATATCAGTATGTCAAATTATAATTTCTTTGGTTCAAGTTCTTTGTAAATCTCTGGCTCTAGGGGGTCCAAAACCAGACCAAAAAAGGCCCATTTTTCATATGTCGCTTCTATTTCTTGCTTCATTGTTCCTTTCCATTACTTCTTCTTCTTCTTCTTTTCCAAGAAAAAACTGTTACACAGTTTCCATTAAACCAGTTTCCTTTATCAACTTTCTTCTGACCCAAACCAACCCTTAGAAAAGTTCATTTAATCGAACTTTCTCGTTTTCCTTTTTCTAACACTCTGTCTAATCTGTTTTTCAAATATTCTCCCCAACCCAAAAAGTATCTCTATCTCCTTAACAGGAGCCAAAGAGTGAGTGATCCCCAAACACTTTTTGTACACATACACATGTTCAGAAGGATGTTCTTCTGCTTTTTCCTTCTTTTATTTGTTGAATGTATTTGTGAGAAGATTGGGCAAGAAACGGACACGCTTAGAATCTGACCATTTCGCAAACCTCATGGTTCCTTTAAAATCTAGCTATTCACCTGAAAACGTTCTTTGAATCTCTTTTTTCTGGATTTTTCAAGTTTAAATTAATTTTTCTCTGATTTCAGACGACCTACAAGCAAGGCTTCGCGAAAACGAAATAAATAACAAGAGATGAGAAAGAGAAGCTGATGATCAAATTCGAAGATGAATCTGAATCCCCACGTAAGTTTGTAGATGGCTTTTGAACACTCTGTAGTAGACCAGCAGAGCATTAATTTCCGGATATCCTCAAAACTTTTTTTATTTTGAGAAGAAAAATCTGAACAACAGACACTTTCGAAAATAAAAAAAATTAATCCATTTTTCTCGGATCTCTCAATTTCTCGAAAATTCAAAAATTCTGAAAATTCCAGAATTCACAATAAAATTTCGAAACTTTCTCCCGCCCAAAACAAGCTACCGTATTTCTTCTCATAGCCACACCTAATCCGTCAACTTTGAGCTCAATTGTCTCGATTCCTGTGAAAGATTTCGGAATATCGCCAACTGATAAATTATTAATCAAAATATCACCAGTATTTTATCAGTTGGCAAAATTTCGATATCTTTCACAGGAATAGAGATAATTCAGCTTAAAGTTGACGGTTTGGATGGGATTCTATTAACAGTAATACGAATGAGCAATTTTCAGCAAGTCGAAAAAAAAACAATTTATAATTTCATTATTTTATTCAATTTTTTGGGTTTAAAAACTTTTTTCACTTCAACAACAGATCCATGTTCCAGCTAGCCTCCACCTCCTCCTCCTCCACGACATCTTCATCCGCCTCCTCGACAGAATTTCCACGTGTCAGCGTCCAATCGAGACATGCTCATCTACCTCATCATTTATCAATAAACGGAGGAAGCTCCGCTCATTCGCATCCTATCTACGCGTGCTCGGATGAGAACTCGTATTACGCCTCACCGATATTTCTGACCCGAACGATAGATGAACCTCCAAAAAAGCCCGCGCCAACCCTGAGCAGACAGTCGACGTGTCGACCGACGAGCCAGTTATATTTGCCGAGCAAAAAGAGGAAAACTAGGTGAGTAATGGTTACGGGGAGGATTACTGTAGTTAGCAATGATTATGGGATTATCCGTCGATTTGTAAAATGATGATGATATAAAAAAAATATAACTCTTATTTTTTAAAAATCTATTCCTGGAACCAATTCGCTTCAAAGTCTCCAAAAAGCTTAAAAGTTTGATCTCATCTGTAAAACCCAATTAAACTTTGAATTCTTATTAACATTTTCCACTATTTTTATCCCTTCCCTTCCTCTCATTTTCCCATAATAATTGACATTAAATTACCATTTCCACCCTCCACTCTTCGTTTTTTTCCTCACAAAAAATTCTGCTCATTTTTTAATGTAACTTTTCTATCCTCTCATCCACACCTTTTTTCTCTTCTCCTAACTCAAAAAAGAACATGTTCATCATGGTCCCTGCTCTCCAGTCTTTTTTCCAAAAACCTAATTAGTTGTTCTTTTGAAGTGACGAAAAAAGAGAGAAAAAAGGGGAAAGTCAGTGGGGTGCCAAATGTCGCCAAATTTGTATTCATTCATGGAAACTTCACCAAGTTAAAAAAAAACCAAGGAGGAAGTGAGGGTGGGAGAATAGGATAAAGAATGGATTCAGCGAGGGTCAGATGTTTGAGAAAACGGGGCCAGATGTTAGAAAGTTTAAAAAGAGAAATTCAGAGTTTTTGGGATTATGATTTAATTTTTTTTTTAATTTTTTGTACTTGATCTGAACCTCTTAAAACGGAACATTCCAATTTTTCGGAAAGATTTTTAGGCTAAGGAATATCCTCAATCAAATTAATTATGAAATAATTAATCAGAAACTATCATAAGAATAATACAATTGTCTTGTTTCATTAAAAAATCATACTGTACATGGTGGCGCATAATTTCCAACACTAAAGTTTGTGCTAGCATAAAACTTGAGTAAAGAATCGTACTGGGCTCAAACTCGAAGTACGAAAGCTCAAAATATTCATCAGTAAACTGTCCAAGTTTCAAATTACTTATCAACTTTGGGTTGAGTTATCGGCTCTCAAAGTTGCTCCATCTCATGAAAATCACAAGAAATATTACGTCTTTCATCTTAGGACAATCATAACAACCGCTAAGCTTGAGGAATCGCTTTGAATCAAACGTAGAATTATATTTTTACCAATTTTCGTGCTTCCGAGATGCTTATGTCCATTGATATACCCATTTTTATCAGTCTAGCCGTCAACTTTGACCAGAAATCTTATTTGATCCATTTCTATATCTTCTCTAGGCGTAAAGAAAAAAATTAACGCAAAATATGAAGTCTATTTTGAAAATTTACAAAAATTGTGACATGAAAAATTCAAATCTGACTAATTAAATTAAGTTAAATTTTTTTGAATGCCCCGACACAAAATAAGCGAATTCCATCGAACGGCAAGTACCGTATCATGACATCATATTTTCCTTTTTTTTGACACCCGTAAAACCTTCTGAAGTCAAAACGACCATGTTCTATTCATCTTCATAACCTGACGTAACCTATCCAATCCCCTTTAGGAAACTTATAACGCATGTTCTAATACCTATTCATTGTCTGACCCCACAAGGTGTTTTTTTTTGGATTGGGTCAGGCATCAGTGTACCCTCCGACTTTACTTCCTGGAAATGAACCAACTCCCAGGAACCCTTGGCTCTGAAGACTTTTCAGAAAACCATTCTTTATTTTCATCATCTCTCCGCCACTTCCACTGCTTATTGATGGTCTTCATAGCATTTTCCTAACAAGACCCCAGTTTCCTTTTTCCGTTTTTCTCGCTTCTTTTCTTCATCTTCTTCGATTCTTTTCTACTCACCGGAAGAGCCACTAATTAGCTTTCGCTCCTCCATTCCTTCTCTCCTTCATCACCATTTTTGCCGCGAGTCTTCATTTTCCTGCTCCAACACGTTTCTCTTTTTCTGGATGGAGTTCCTAAACATGACAAAGATTATCTGCATGAGCTTCAGAATGATTGAAAATTAAATTCTTCGCTAACCGGGATTTGGAATTTATGGAAGACTGGAAAAAAGAGCTTCCAAAGTTATGGGCTCTCTAGGTCCTAAATTTTAGAAAGCCAAATTTTCCAATGTCTAGTGGATTTTATCACCAAAGTATGTCTACGGTTTTTATTATGTCTCTCCGGTAATAACTTTTTTAGAGGTGACTAATTTTCCTGGTTATTGGGGCTCAGAAATATTTTTTTCACATAATTTTAGTTGTATACGATCGGCAGAGCCTGATGGTCCTACCATAGATGAATACTAAAATAAGCGACTTCTTGATTTTCTATTTTCTACCATAACCTAAAAAATCTTAAACTTGTGCGAAAAGTTATCAGCCTACACTATCGGACAGAAAAATATCGTATTTTGAATATTTCATTGCAAAAAAGGTCTAGAATAGATTGGATCCAAACCGTCAACTTTGAGCCCATATATCTCATACCCTGTAGAAGATATCAAAAAATAGTCAATTGACAAAATGTCATCATAATATCAGCAATATTTTATCAGTTGACAAATTATCGATATCTTTCTCAGCAACTGAGAAAAATAGGCTCAAAGTGGAAAGTTAAGGATTCGCTCTGTTAGTGTTTGTGGTAACCGTGGAATCCTCAAAGAGTTTTCCAGAAATTTTTCATTTCTTCTAAAAGTTGAGATTATACTAAATAAAAAATTGATTAATTGTTTTTGCAATTGGCGGCAGTTTCACCAAATCCCAAGGTGTCGAAAATTCAAAAATCTGAAGTGGCATGAGAGTTGAGCCAGTTTAAAAAACGGGCTTATCTCTCTTTGCTGGATTTGTACAAAAAAGTTGTCAGTTACAAAATTGAAGCTCTTATATTGTTTAGTATATTCTGAATTTTCCAGATTAAAGCGACATTTTTTTCGGATAATGTGCTCAAATTTGGAGTGCAAAAATCCAAACAACTCATCAGTAACTGACCAAGTTTCAAATTATTTGATAATTTTTCAGCTGAGTTATCACTTTTCAAAGTTGTTTCATATTTGGAAATTCACAAGACACATTACGCCGTTTATCTTTGGACAATCATAACAATACCTAGACTTGAAGAATCGCTTCGAAACTTTCAGTAGCTTTGAATCAAACGTAAAATTATATTTCTACCAATTTTCGGGATTTCAAGACACTGATTTCTGAAGTTGTACCTATTTTGATCAGAAGGGGTAATTGTGCGCCACTGTGTACATGAAAGGATCTTCTCGAAACTCTTTCTGGTCCATAGTTTCTCATTTTCTCGACTATCCCATCGTTCCGAAATTCTTTGACCTCTCCTTCATCATATCATTCTCCTTTTCTCATTCTCAAAAACTTCTGACCCATTCCGACCCATCACAATTGATCTTGTTTGTGATCCTTCCTAATCCTCTCCTCATGTATTTCTCGTTTTTTTTTGTCACTCTTGTCTACATTTTCTTTCTGTCTGTTAAACTTGCGTGACAATGCCAAATTCTTCTTCTTGTCCCTCATCTTCTCCATCGGTCCTTCTACTTCTGGATTCTTCTGGATTCTTCTGATGAACATTGAATCCCTTGTTCCACTTGTATTTCTCGAAACAATGAAATGAAGGAGAAGACGGCGGCGGCTCTTCTTCTGAATTCCTCAAGAAAAAAAATACGTATAAAAAATGAGCGAAAGTGAAGAACCAAAAACTCTATTAAATTTTATGGACGGCGGTGCTCTGAAGAGCATAAAGAGGATTCAGAAGTTTTTTATCTTCATTTTTCTGTGTGTCTTCAAATCTCTATTTTGCAATGAGCCACAAGAAAAAAATTGTTCGTGACGTGCTCTGGGAGCAGGTTGATATGCTCCGGGGGCTCCCGCGAGCCACTCCTATAACATATGTCTTTTCTCTTTTCTTTTTTTTTGTTTCCCGGCTCGAAATTAATCATTTGACAAGAAAAATGTGCCTTCCCCGTCTTTTCGTACCCCTTTTGCTCTTCATTTGTTTTCTATCATTGTTTTTATCAGATCCGCAAGGGTTCTTTCTTTTCCTATGATTCTGGGATTCTGTAGAATCCGGAGAATCAGAACAAGTTGACTCGGGTTACGAGAGAGTCACTCTGAGTCAGATCATTTTTCGAATTTCGAGATGTGACGTAAATATCTCTGAGATCAAGAGAGAGATAGAAAAATGAAAGAATGATAAAATGTTACATGAGAAGAGCAGAAAAATAAAAAAAACGAGAGAAATCGGATAAGAGCAGGTGTTCGAAATCAGTCTGCGGTTTTTTTTCTTTTTTCTAATTTTTTTTCGTTTCTTTTTGTGTGGGATAATTGAGATCAATTAAAAAAGTATTTTCAAAATATTCTTGAAATTTCTAAAATAACATGCCTAAAAATCATTAAGAAATTGTTAATGTACCGTGAAACCTGTAATTTATGAGCCCCTAGTTGTGAGCTTTGAGCCAATTTTCCTCGGTTCCTGTCATAGATATCAAAAAGTTGTCAACTGATAAGTTGTTTATCATAATCTCACCAATATTTTACTTGTTGACAAATTTTTTATATGTTTCACACGAACCGAGATAATTAAGTTCAAAGTTGACTGTTTGAATGGGCTCCTATTAGAGCAAATGCAGTAAATGCATATAATAGAAGCCTAACCTATTCGGGCACTTTAAGCTCAATTATCTCAGTTCCTATGAGACATATCAAAAACTTCAATTTATCTGTTAAACATTTTTTAATATCCTTTGAAGGAACCGAGATAATTGAGTTCAAATTAGGGTGGGCTCAATTGACGATAATTTTGGATGCGCATCACTGCCGGATTTGTCAGACGCCGTTATTCAAAATGTAAGCCAAAGTTTCTTGATTGTACTCTTACTTTACTACTAGACTTTTTTAACGAAAAAGTTCACTAATCTCTAATATTTTCCACTTTCATCCACACTATCCCAAAAAAATCTTCAACACAGTTCCCAATGATTTTTGACCAATTTCTGCCACAATTTGCTTTTTCATTCATTCCTCAAAAAAGTTTAAATAAGTGATGCTTTTGTTTATTATTATGTGTGTCCCTAAAAAAGACTATTTCTATACAATCTGTCTAGTTACGCATCGTTTTTCTTGCCTCCTCGCCAATTTTGTTTTAAAACTTTCGGATTAGCGCCTTCTTTCTTCTAGTCGTAGTCTGGGGAGAGTACTATACAACCGTCTCAGTTTCCAATGTCAAAAACAAACAAATGACGTTTTTGGAAATGTTTCGTTGGTCCACAAGTGCAAAATTTTCGAAATTTCTAATGTAATTACTGTAGCTCTAACTTTTTTCGCTTTTTCAATTGAGAAACTGTTTTTAAATCTCTCCATTCCACCCACCCATAAGCATAAAGATCAGTGCGGTCAGTCAGTTTTTTCGAAGATTCTGCAGACCTTGTTGTTTTGATGGGAGGGTGAAGATACATTGACTTATTGTACCATTGGGATTACCCCCATTTTTACGGAGTAGTAAGTTGGGACGCAAAAAGAGAGTGGGGGAGGAATGGGGCGTTTATTTTCGTGTTGAAAAGAAACATATTTTCTAAACTTTTGAGAGCTATAGATATGGTAGATGGATGTTGAGGGGTTGATAAAACCTTTTTTTTGCTGAAAAAGTGGTATCCGATTTTTCCGAATCTGATTGAAAACAAATAAACACATTTAGCGAAATGTCCCGAATTGAAGCCCGCTCTCTACGTGCATTTTGAGCTCAATTATCCCGGTTCCTATGAGAGATATCAACATTTTGTCAACTGGTAAAGTATTGGTGATATCATAACAAATAATTTATCAGTAAAACATTTTTGACATCTCTTGAAGGAACATAGATAAGGAGACTCAAAGTTAAACGTTAAACGGCCATTTCATTATATCGTTTACGGTAGTTTGGACGCTCTAAAAATATCATTCTTATAATAAATAAATGGAGTTGCGCCTCTTTCTCTCTCTATCGATCTACCTTTCAATCTGTCCACACTTTTTTGAAAAGCTTGAAAATTAAATATAAATATAATTTGGCGTGACATTTAAAAAAAAAGTGAGTCGCGAAGCGACGAACAAAATAAAAAATATGTCAACTCGCGCCGAAGGCGCACCAGCCAGCTGTTTGAAACGCCGGAGGCGCGGTAAACAGACTGATATAGTTCAACGTTGATCAATTTTTCTGAATTGATTTAGAAAACAGTATTCTCTCAAATTACAGTTTGTTTTATTGCAAACTTTTCCCAATTAATATTTGCCTCTTGAAAGTGGGTATTTATAATTACCGTATTCCTTCTGATAGAAGGCAATCAAGACCGCCAACTTTGAGCTCAATTATCTTGATTTGTGCGGAAGTTATTAAAAAGAGGCCAGCTGATAAGATGTTGATGATATTATGATGAAAAATTTATCAGTTGACTACTTTTTGATATACTTTGCAGGCTGCTGGCTCGAAGTTGACAAGCCATGAATCTGCCGATTTGGACCTTTTTTAAAAATTTTTAACAGTGTCATTTTTTAGTACTCGTCAAATTTTATCATATCTAAATCAATTAATCAAAAATTTTAATTCTAGAAGAAACTATATCTGGGCCCGTTTTTAAGTATGGTTTTTTAATGTAACTGACAATAAAGCTATCATACTTTCTTGATTATCTGAATTCTAAATTCGTAATAGACACTTTCCTTAAAACGGTTATTTCGACCTACACCGGAATGATTGCTCAACCCGGATTTCGATTCGGCTGTCAAATGTCCCCCGGTATTTATCATAACCTCCTCCCCTCTTTTTCACTATTCTTTTCTCTCTTTCCACCAAACTCATTTCCTTGTTTTTCTTCCCCTTATTTGACCCTTCCTTTTTTCCTTTTTTTTTTGCTTTCTAATATTACTCCCTCGACGGCTCTAATAAATATTCTTTTCCGTTTTTTTTCCGACGCTCCAGTCTCTGTCGAAGTCTCAGAAGAAAGGAGAAAGAAGAAGAAGAAAAATCCGGTTGGAATAACATGTTCGGTTGAAAAAAAGAAACGAAACGAATACGAATTCAGATTCTTCTCTGAAAAAACACATACAGAAGTTCTTTTTGATCCTCTTTTTCTGAACTTTGTAAGAAAAAACACCAAGAATACTGTCGATCGCTGTTGCCGATTCGCGACGAATGAAGCCAGAGAATGGAGGAGCAGCGCCTTGGCACCCGGCCAAAAGGTCTCAAATTAAGCATGAGCAATTCGATTTCTATCTTCTAGTAAACCTTATAAAATAACAGTTTCAACTAGTCCTTCTAGAATTTTCTAAAAATATTCTTAAACTTCGAGCTCTACACGATGCTAATTCGCTCTAATAGAAGCTTACCCTATACGTGCACTTCGAGATCAAATATCTCGGTTCCTATAAGAGATATTCAGAACCTGTCAACTGATAAAACAATTGCGATATTATGCTGAGGATTTTGATAGTTGAACATTTTTTGATATCTTTCCCAGGAACCGAGATATATGGGCTCAAATTTGACGATTTGTGGGACATTCTAATAGAGTGCTAACTTGCCAGAAAATTGAAAAATTAATCTGAAAATATTTGAATGTATTACAGAACGGGATCATACCAACACTATCAAAAAACTAATTTCAATTTTTCAGGAGCTGCCTGGGTCGACTGACCACCCTCGAAACACTGCTCCTCGTATTTGTATGTCTTCTGATTGGCGCCCTCCTATCTGTGTTATTTTTGTGGTTATGGGTACTTGACGGTTATAAAACGTTCACTGATGGTAAGCACTTTTTCCTGATATTTCCATTTTCAAAACTTATATTCCAGGTCGTCCAATATATCCACAACCATTCGAAAACTCATCGGTGGCAGTTGATCGATCGGCTAAGAATCACAACGACGTCGTGTGCACCTCACGAGAGTGTGTAAGACTCGCCGGCTTTCTCGCTGAAAATCTGAATGCCAAAGTTTGCAATCCTCCTTTTTCCATTTACTAAATGAACCAAGTTTCAGATAAACCCTTGCGAAGACTTTTACGAATTCGCTTGCGGAAACTACGGTCTAAATAAGAATCTCCCAGCCAACAAACCACTTCGTCATACTATCAGTGATGTGCAATCACGACTGAACAAACAGGTCAAATCAATGCTTCAATCTCCGATTTCACAAAACGATAAGCCTTGGGATAAACTTGCAAAGGGTTACTATCAAAAGTGTTTGGACGAGGATGAGCTGGAATCGACTGGAGTGGAAGCAATGAGAGATATTGCCAAAAGGATTGGAGGTTGGCCAACTCTAGAAGGTGATAAATGGCAAGAATGGTCACATTCCTGGGAAGAACAACTCGCTTTGGTTCTCAATCTCACTGGAGTTAATGCAGTGATTCTTGAAATGGCTGTAACTCACGATCCATCAAACTCAAGTCGAAGTGTCATTGAATTGGATCAACCAAAGTGGGGAGCTGGTTCTCGATACCCCTATTTGAGTGGCGCCAATGATCCGATGCTCAGGAACTATACAACACTGATGAAACTGACTGCAGTGGCGTTGGGAGCTGATCCAGCAGTAGCTGAGAAGGATATGAATGAGGCAATGGAGTTTGAACTGAAATTAGTGAACTTCTCAGCTGATGATATGGTTCGGAGGGATCCCGAACGTGGGAATAATCGATTCGAGTTGTATCAGTTGAAGAAAATGTTTCCATTTGTAAGATAATTTAGTAAGACAGTTTTCAGTGATGGATAATTTCAGATAAACTTCGAAAAGTACCTAAAAACAGTGTTCAAGGAGCTGGTCGACGTCTCTCCAAATCATACAGTAATCGTCAGAGAGATTGATTATTTTCAGGGAATTCAGGTACGTCCTTTTATCATTTTTCCTAGGTCACGGCCTGATTTTTGGGTTTTCTAGGTCACGATCTAATTTTTTGAATTTTCTAGGTCACGACCTAATTTGTCGAATTTTCTAGGTAATGACCTAATTGTTTGAATTTTTAGGACACTACCTGATTTTTGGGTTTTCTAGGTCATGACCTAGTTTTTTGGATTTTCTAAATCATGACCTATTTTTAGTGTTTTCTAGGTCACGACCTAATTTTTGAGTTTTCTAGGTGACGACCTATTTTTTTATTCTAACATGTTATTTCTCAAAACTTCCAGCACGTCCTCCAATCGACACCAAAACGAGTTCTGGCCAACTACATTTCGTGGCGTCTGGTCCAAGGTGGGCCCACCGGAGACTATTTCAGTACGTTTCGTGTTCTGGAGATTCGCGAAAATCACGCCGTTTTTTGAATTTTGCCTTCTTCTTCTTCCCCTTTTTTGTGCTTCTTCTTCTTCCACCTCTGGTTTCTTTCTTCTAACCACGTGTCTTTTTTCCGATTTCTTTTTGCAGCAGCTTCTGAACTTCTGAATTCTGAATCAGAAGCAACCAAACTTCTGTGACGTAAAGCGTGTCCTCCAAGCCGAAACGTATTGTTCTTGTGTCCATTTTTATGCTTGTTTTGGCATACTTTTTGTGTCTGGGACCTAAATTTTTTAATTGGTTTGTGTTCAGGTTTCTCTCCGTTTTTACCACCAACTGCTCGAGAGCCATTCTATCAATTCAAGGCTAATCAGACAGGAATGTTCAATAGTCCTCCTCCCGATAGGTATGTTAAAAAACTGCAGTAATCCAGTTGAGCGTCTAACTGGTCAAGTTGGAGTTCAATTATCTCAATTTCTTTGCAAGATATCAAAATTGTGGTAACTGATAAAACATTCCCGATATTATGATAAGCAATTTATCAGTTGACAACTTTTTTGTATCTTTCGCAGGAAACGAGATAATTGAGTTCAAATCTTAAAGTAATGGGGCCCTTTTATTACAGGTTTTCTTTGCAGTCTGAATGATGCTGAAATTATTACTCATTGAAATTTGGTCAAAGCTTTTTTCAACTACCGTATTTGATCTAACAGAAGCTACCAAAATTTGAGCTCAATTATCTCGATTCTTGTGAAAGATATCAAAGATTAGTCAACTGATAAATTGTTTATCATAATATCACTTACATTTTATTAGTTGACAAGATTTTGATATCTTTAACAGGAATCGATATAAAGTATTTGGTTTGGGCGGGCTTCTATTAGAAAAAATACGGTGTACCATTATTCGTAGAGCCTCAAATGTGCATATTTTCTACTGAATTTGAAATTTTATTTCTACAAAATTTTTTCTATATGTCAATAATTTGTTTTATGAAAGAAATTGTGAAAGATGAAGATTCTGCAGTACCCAGAACACTAAAAAATAAAACTTAATTTTTTTTTCTAGATGGGAAGATTGTGTCACTTTATCAGTGATCATGATGGATATGCCAGTTGGACGACTCTTCGTCGAAAATTTCTTCGAAAAAGAACGAGCGATGAACAAGATGACCGAACTAACCTCCTACCTCAAAAACGAATTCATAAAACAACTTCACGTACTCGATTGGATGGATGAAACGACCCGAAGACGTGCCATCTCGAAAGCCAATATGATCGAATACAAATCAGGCTTCCCGATGGTTTTATTCAACGACACTTGGATGGAAAAGAATTGGGGAATGGTTATTAAGCCAAGAGAATATTTGCTCCATCTGACTATTCGAGTGAAGCTAGTCAGGTTTACTGAAGAACTGTTGCGTTTGGATCAACCACTGGATAGGTCAATGTGGTTCCAGAGTCCAGCACAAGTTGATGCTTATTACGCCCCGAATAATAATGAAATGAGTGAGTTTTGATATTCGATGATTCCCTGTATTATAAGATCTTTACTATCACTATCCTGACTGGAGCGCCTTTGGCGCCAGGCTCGCAAACAGACAGAGAGAACTTCATTCATTTATTTTAAGAATGCTTTTTCCAGTTTTCCCTGCCGGCATAATGCAATTCCCATTCCTGACCCTTGGCGTTCCTAACTACATAACCTATGGAATGGTTGGAGCAGTCATCGGACATGAAGTATCCCACGCATTCGACGATCAAGGTGGACAATACGACGAACTGGGAAACCTGAATGACTGGTGGGATGCTGAGACAGAAGAGAAGTTCATCGAGAAAACAAGGTACCCGCTTCATTTTCTTCTTCTTCTTCTTAAAATTCGAAAAATTTGTTTCAGATGTTTCGTCCGTCAATACGAGAATGTACATGTTGTAGAAGCGGATATTCATCTGAATGGTCAACTGAGTCTTGGAGAGAATATTGCGGATAATGGAGGTGTCAAGACAGCCTTCAATGTGGGTTTTGTAGAAATTGGCGCCAGAAAAAAGTTTCGTTTAGGCGTACAAGGCGTGGAAGTCAAACACAACAGGGATCAGTGAGCCAGCGTTGCCTGGCTTCCAGAACTTTACCAGCCAGCAGATGTTCTTCTTGGCGTATGCTAATGTAAGTTTCCTAGAAATTGGATTTTCCAGTTCATCGCTGAAACATTTTAAACTTTACCTTGCGAAAAATTCTAACGTTTCTGAACTATGAAAATAAGCTCCAATGATCCTTCTATGATTCTTCAAAGGGTATAAAAGTAAATCGGTCACATTGAACCATTTATAGTAAAATCGATATGGTCTCCAATATATTGCATAGTGACGCGAGAAACCCGTGAGATGTCCGTACACTGGGTTGATGGCATTCCCCTCATTCCATCACACGGTATCTAGCATTTCATCGAGGTCTTCTTTAAGACCTTTAGAACAATTTTTGGAAACCCTGTCTCATTAATTGGGGCAGGGTAAATCAAAAAACTCTAGGGACTAATAATTCAATGTGTGGGTAGATCTAGAGACCTGGAAAAATATTTTTAAAATTTTTGAGTACCCAGGAGCATACTTGTAAAATTCCGGGCGAGCCCGCCAAAGCCCGGGCCCGGTATCAAAAATTCTGTATTTTTGAGCCAAATTTTGAGCTCTCAATATAGTTTTCTCCATTTTTTTTGTTTATTTTATTGTTTGTCTGTTTGATCTAAAAAACTCGAAAAAAAATTTTTGATTGAAAAAAATCACATAAGGGTCCCCCCTTATGTGTTTTTTGAAATCTTCAAAACTTGTAAATTGACGGGCCCGCCGGGCCGGGCCGTTACAAGTATGCCCAGGAGTTCTGCTAAATGGAGCAAATTTTTTGTACAATCAAACCGAATACAGTACCGTAAATGCTCTAATAGAAGGCGTACCTTTACTTACACTCGTGCTCAATTATCTCAGTTCCCATGAGAAATATCAAAAATGTGTCAACTGACAAACCACTTCTGATATCATGGTAAACAGCAAACCACATCTGATATCATGGTAAACAGGAACCGAGAAAAATTGGCTCGAAGTTAAGGGACCTTATATTAAAGGTTTTCTGATATCTCATTTGGATGGAATTTCCCTTAAAAATTGTGTATGAAAATCGCAGCTATGTTTATTGGGTATTATCTGAAATTTTACATAAAAATTGGTAAAGTATGAATAATTTTTGGTAGCCTTTTCTTGGCTGAAAAACTAAAAAATTTTTGTCTATTTTTGAAAGAAAAGTCATAACTGTTTCATGATGTGACCTGTAATAGAAATGCCCCCTCACGGTTAATTTTGAGCCAATTTATCTCGGTTTCTGTAAAAGGTACCAAAAAATGGTAAACTGACAAAATGTTTATCATGATATCACTTATATTTTATTAGTTGACAATTTTTTGATATCATTCACAGGAACCGAGATAATTGAGCTCAAACTTGACAGTATCCAAATTCCGATTTTTGCAGAACTGGTGCTCTCTGGTCCGTCCCAAGCACTACATTCAAATAATCCTAACCGACGTACATGCTCCATCGAAGTATCGTGCGATGATTCCCCTCCAGAATCGTCCCGAATTCGCGAAAGCGTTCCAATGCCCCATTGGATCTCCAATGAATCCAGAGAGAAAGTGCCAAGTTTGGTAATCTCTGGAAAAAAAACCCTGTAAATTTTATTTTCTCCCCTCCATGTTATTCTTTTCTCGCAACCGGTTTTTTTCATGTGCAACTTTTTTCTCGAGCTAAAAAATTAAAAATCCAACTTCCCCGCCAAAAGATTACTGTACCAGCCGCTTTACCCACTTGCCCCGAGTGTTTTCAATTTTCTCTTTTTTTTGTGTCCCAAAAAATTTCTAGTTTTTGTTTGTTTCTCTTAAAACGCTTCTTCGAAAATCGCTTGTTTGATCTCGATATATTTCTATCTCCAAAGTCTTCGAATAAATATTACTTTTTCAAAAAAAAACTGGATTTATAATTGGCGGGTCCACACCAAATAGGGCGGGGCCTATTTTAATATGAAAAATTATAATATGAAAAATGAGTGCTGGAAAAATGAAATTGAGATAGAGGAGTTTGTGTGGTGAGCAGTTAAGAAAAGTCATTGAAGGAAGAGGAAGATGGGAAATTTTGGATCATAAAACCCGTAATGTGGAATTACAAGAAATGCGGTAGGCAAAAAAAAACTGAAAAAGAAAAAAGAGTAACAAAAGAACTACAGTACTACGGGAAAGGGTGAGTTTGGACCTCCAAATTTTGGGGAAAAGAACAAAAAATGATACTAAAATCGAGTAGAGAAGATCCCAATTTGGGAAAATTGGATATAATCGCAATTTGGGGAGCATTTATACTGCGGCTCCAAGTCGACGAAGATCCTTTTTGAGCAAATTGATTTCACGTTTCAGTTGACGTTCTTGCTGCAGAAGAATGCGGTTTCGGTCGAAGACTGCCTGGTTTTCCCTGGAAATAAAAATTATATTGCATTGGGTTTTTGATTTTTCAGAAGTCATTTTCAGGCAAATTCTAATCTAATCGAAAGTCTTGTTTCAGATCTTTAGACTACAGAAAATGCTCTATAGGAAGCCTACCCTATATGACGATACTTTGAGCTCAATTATCTCGGTCCCTAAGAAAGCTATCAAAAAAGTTCAACTGATAAATTAGCTACCATGTTATCACCTACATTTTATCAGTTGGCAGATTCTTGATATTTCTCATAGGAGCCGAGATAATTGGGCTCAATGTGCACGTATAAGGTGGGCTACTATTAGAGCATTTACGCTAATTTCTCTTCTAGAGTCTACAGTACCCCCAAGTTCAGCCGATTCTTAATAATCATTCTACGTCTTCTTCTTCAGTTCATTTTCCTATTTTCTACCTAATCTCGTTCAGACATCTTCTTCTCTTCGTGTTCAGATGAACTTTGGTACTCCCTCCTGTTTCGGACACCTCGTGATGATAACCGTATCTCTTATTCTCTTCTTTGTTCATTGAGAAAGGAAACAAGAATAGAGAGTTAGATGAACGATATGATCGAAAGCCAATATTGCCTTTTTAGCCCATGTAAACCGTAACTATAAGCTCAATTATCTCGGTTCCTATGAGAGATATCAACAATATGTTAACTGATAAAACAATTCTGATATTATGATACACAGTTTGTCAGTTGATAGCTTCTTTATATCTTTGATAGGAACTGAGAAAATTTGGCTCAAAGTTGACGGCATGGGTGAGCTTATTTCAGAAGGAATACGGTATTGAAAAGGACAAAAATGATCAAATGGCCGGCTGAGATTCATCATGAGGCGCACATCCGTCAGAAGGGCTTCACGGGAATTCGAAAGCTCTCAAAGCCGCTTCTTTCTCTGCCTTTTAGTATCCTTTCTCAAAGTCCCACTATTGCCCAGAAAGCCCATTTCAAAAAACCCCATTCCATTTGCCTAACCAATCCACTTCGTTCTTCTTTTTTTATCGTCTTCTTCTTCCTCTTTAAAATCGTTTCTTGTTCTCCGATAGATCACAGAACCACCAGTGCTATCTACTTGCAGGGGGCCACATGGTCTCTCTCTTCTTCTCTTTCCCTTTCCATTATCATCTCTCTCTCTCAAAAACGTCACTCGGCGCCTCTACTATGGCGCCCGCCGGTTCAAACAGCAAACAGCCTCGTGGCTAGACGAGAGAGAATGGGAGACGTGGAGATTTAGATAACCGAAGAGTTGCGAAATATCTGAATTTTGGAGTCTATGCATCTGTGTGTTGTGATGTAGTTGCGAAATCGGAGAAAATATGGTGACGAGGGTGAGAGAATCTATTTCAAGTGAGAAAAATTTCAAATATTGATCTTTTGATTATCGATTTTTGGCTCGAAAAAGAAAAAAGTACAGAGGATCCTCTCAAACTACAGTATCCCCAGAAATCGAATAATTGCTACCAAATGTTTAGGGGTGTGCGATCAATTTTTCTGTCTGTCTTTTCACCTTCCAAGCTACAGTATACCTTACGAGCTACAGTAAGCCTATAACATTTCTAGTTGATCTCTAGTGAAAATCTTAAAATTTCAATATTTCTTCTTCTTGAAAATCGGAGAACAAACCACACAGTTTTTCCGATAAAAAAGGTCAGATTTCTCATAAAAACGATGACATTACACCGTATGATCATCGGTGATAACTCAAAGTGATCCCTGTGTGTAATAATAGGGGAATATCAAGTAACAAAAGGAAATAGTAACAAAGAATAAAACCACTCACTTCTGTCTTCCCATTTTCTCAGCTCGCTTCTTCTCTCGATACCTAACCGCTGCGATTCGATTCAGCGCACGTCTTCTATCGGTCTCTTCATCGACGGACGGCTTCAGAACTACTCCACGCTTCTTGAACTTCTGCTTCTCCGTCGGATAGAAGTCGTCAGAAGAGGCCGGAGTCCACGAGCGTTCCGAGTCACGACGACGAAGGTATGAAGGTGTTGCGGACTTTCTCTGGAGACGTGAGCTCTGTCTTCTGGATTCAGAAGCTGGGATGTAGTCCTCATCGTCGTCGTCTCTTTGAATGAAGTCGTCGAAGATGTCTTCTTCTTTCGGAACACAGAGAAGTGGTCCAGATGAAAATAGATCTTCATGATCGTGTGTGATAGGAACGACGGCTTGTTGTGGAGCGGCGGCAGGTGTCACCATTCTGAAGAGATTCGCTGAAGATGATGAAGAGGAGATGTTGAAATTGTTTTGAAAATGTGATGGCTGAGAATCAAAGAGGCCGATTCCAGAATCTGGAGATGAGGTAGACGTCGTCGTCATCGAGTTGGAAGACGTCGTCATCATTGGCTCATCCTTAAAGAACGCTTCTGGTCGTTTGAAGACGTCGTCGTCGCTCTCCAAGTAGTGATTCCAGGCCTAAAACACATTGTTTTAGAAGAATGAATTCCCCAATTTTCCAATTACCTCCCAATCCACAGCTTTCGACTCATTCTCAATGTCCAACTCGAATTTCGACGGTTTTCTGTCGTTCGGAGGCATTAAACCAAACTGAAACTTTTTCAGGGGTGAATGAAAAATTCTAATTTAGAGTTCGAGCCAAAATACCTCGTGAGACGACGAGCAGCCGACAAACTGATCGACAGACGATTTGGATGGTGATTGGAAGAGTGGAGAGCCCTGAAGAGAAGAATAAAGGGTCATTTGCATATGAGAGGAGGGAGAGAAGGGCCACCCGGACGGGTGGGGGGTGGGAAAAGCGGCGAGCTTTTGGGGTCATATGTACTCGGGGACGGTTCATTAAACAGTGACTTTTTTGTAGAATCAAAGGGCTCAGTGAGCTCTGATTTTGAGTCCAAAATGGGTATAGGATTAATGATGGAGGCTTCACAAGGGTCACAGTAACCCTAGCTTTTCCCACCCCTAGATTTTGATGGAAATTTCGAGCTAAGAATAGCCTATCTAGAAACCTTTGAAAATTGTGGGATCCACTCGTAAGTTTCAGGCGAGTTAGATGAGTGTCAGCACCAAAATAGGAAATGAAACTGAAAATCTGGGGGCCGGAATACCATTAGGTCTTACCCACTTGCTTCAACGTCTGGATTCTCCCTTTTAAGCGATTTTTTGCAAAAATTTTAAACCTGTTCAGGTTTTTCAGCTATTTTTGATAATTCTTTTTTTGATTTTTCCTAATTTTTTTTAGTCTGAAATTTTATGTATTCGCGGAGATTACTGTAGAAAACCTTCTATTTCGTAGTTTTTTCTGCAAACACAATCACGTCAAAATGCGGACTGAAGGAAAAAGTAATTTTCTACAGGAATCTACAGTAATCTTGACGAACAATATCCTGTCAAATTTCAGACAAAAAACCGGAAACATCGAGAAAGAATCTTTGAAAATAGCTAAAAAACCTAAAAAGGTCTGAAAGTTTTGTCAATTTTCGCCAATTTTCGGATTTTTAAGTTTTGGCGGGAATTCGAAATGTTTCCGGAAATGGGGATTTTTTATAAATTTGAGCTTTTTTTTGGTCTCAAAAATACACACCATATTATCTCCGAAATTGGAGAAATCATGCATCATCTCCGTTGTACTCGAATGCCCATGCTGCTGTTGCTGTTGTGCCTGATGCTGTGGTTGATGCTGTCCCTGGCTCTGCCACGTGTCAGTCGGTCGCCATGCTTCCAGCTCAAAACAATCAGTTGATTCAGTTATGCGTGGATCTCTGCCGCAAACCGTGATATTCTTTCCCTCCCAAAACTGATCTAGCTCCAATTCGTCCGATGGCGCGGCGCACGGTGCACGCGGCTTCGTGTGCCATGAATCGAGATCTAGAAGTTCCAACTCCTTGATGACTTCTTCGTCGTCCATTGGCACGCCGAGGAATGGGTCATTTCCGAAGCTGGTGCTGAAAAATTGTCTCGATTGCTTTAAAACTGTATTTTTTGGTCATTTTCTTACGTTCTCTGTCGAACTGAATCGGAGAAATTGTGCGCAAAATTGACGAGCTGGTCGTTGATCGGTGCGGTGATCTGCAAAAAATTCTTATCAAAAATTGCCGAATTTTTTGAAACACACAAACCTTCAACGGCTGCTGATAGATGTTATCTCTGCGCAGCGGACAATTCGAGACCGCCTGGGCACCGAAGGTTGTGAGACGTCCCACACGGGAAAACATTTTGATGGTGGTTAGATGTTTTCGGATGGGAAGATTCTTGAGGCTGGAACACCATAAATCATACTTTGATAGGTTTGAAAAAGGAAAACAAGGGGCAATCTGGGAGAAATTGAGATGAAGGAGGTCGGAAATACGAGGAAGCGGTTCGTATTTCAAGTGACGTCGAGTAGACGATTCGAATAAAAATTATGAAAGATATAGAGGGAATTGAATGGAAAAAAGTCTAGTTTAAGCTGTAAATCGGTAGAATTCGACCTAGAAATGTCAAAAATTAGCATCAATTGATCTTTTTCAGAAAATGTTGAAAATGACCGATAATTTAAACCATTTTCAGACAATTTTTTGAGCATTTTCCAACTGAAGCAAAATTGGTTGAAACAAATTCAGCTGAAGCTAAAGGAAAGGCGGGAAAATTTTCTCGAAAATTCCAGAAAAGTCTTGATTATTCCAACAGTTTTTTTCACTTTTAATGTTTTTCAGGTATTCTATTTTTGAATTTTTTCAATTTTTTTCTGAAAATATTTTTAAACAGTTAAATTGAAGAAAATATATTTTTGAACATTTTCATGGGAACTCTAAATTTTCTTTAATTCTTTAAATCTGAAAAAATCAAGAAAATGAGTAAAAATGCTTATTATTTTATCATATTACTCTAAACTTTCAAATTATTCCACAACGAACTAGAAAATCTAGAAAAAGTACAAAAGATCATCGAAACAACCTAGAAGCTTCTGCCATGCAAATTGCATCATGGCTTGCTGTCTGCAGACACACAAACAAGCATTTTGAACTCAAAATCGCAGTTTTTCCCTAAGAAAGAGTGAAAAAGTAATAATCAATTTTTCTAAAAATCAGAGACAAAGTCAATTGACCGTCGAACCAATCGCACACACAAAAACGATTATGATAAGGGATGGATGAAGAGAAAAAGGAGAAAGTGCGTCTGTCGTGCGACAAAATAAGAGAGGAGAGAAAGAGATGAGAAAAAAAGCGAGTAAAATAGTGGGCAAAATGGAGAAATTGGGCAGAGAGAACGGGAAGAAAGGAGGAGTCTTCGACCCGGGCGGTCGCCAGTGTTGAGAAGGGACAGACGTTTCAAAGAGTTGAAGGAGCAGCAGAATTGAGAAGAAGATTCGAGAAAAGACAATGTGTAGTAGAAACCTAGTAAATATTGGTTTTCGCAGCTTTTTTTCTTTATTTGTTGAAAAAAATTTTTCAACTTTCCAAACGATTTTTGGGTTTTCGATAGCACTTCGTAGAATCTGACAAATTTTCAGAAGCCAAAAAATTATCTGGTTTTTTTCCTCGAAAACGCTTGCTTTTCAACTGCTTGTCTCTTGAAAATCTGAAACTTTACTTTAAAAAAAATGGAAAGTACAAAAAGTTCTCGTCAACTAAAATGCACAATCTGTGGTTTTGCGTGATGGTGTTGACTGAAATTTGCGGGGGAATTCAAATTTTGAGCATCCCATTTGTCCCAAAATAACATGTTTTCGCCGTTCTTTAGTTACTGATTTGTGAGATTTTAGAACATAAAATGTTATTTCATGTAAAACGACGATATCGGGATTAATTTAAAGAAAAAAGAAACTCGGAAAAGAAAGAAAAATGATTTGAAACCCGCAAAAAAAACAAATAAAATAGATGGAATCTTGTACACTTTGGGTCTAAAATTCTCGAAAAAAGATATAGTTAATGATCAAAAAATTAAAATAACACATTAAAAAAATTTGGGAATATTTAGGATTCATAGCGTTTGTCGGTTCTTATTTCTGTCCAAAAACGATGTGATTTCGGCGATCAATCGATATTCTTCCTGTTTTGGATCTCCAGCGAACATTCCGGATTTCACAGCCATTCGATTTTTGGCCGTTGTTAAGACTCGAATTAAAAGGCGATTAATACTATCAGCGAGAGATGGAAATTCCTGGAAAATTGGAATTTTTTGGAAAAAAAAACATCGGGGTGTATTACTGTAGCCAGAATGATCAGCGCCGGTGCAACGTGTTTCCATAGCTTGTACGAAGAGGGCAACTCTCCAAACTTATGAAGAGAGTGCACGATATCGCACACAGCTCGGGCGGTCTCCAGTGACTCGCGTACTCGATACTGGAAATTTTAAAGGTTCAGAAGGTACTGATAGGATATCAGTGATAACCAAGAATAAATCTACCTTTCTACAAATCTCGGCTGCAAACACAATCGCAAAGAATCGTCTATCCTGATCTGCCAGTGAGAGCATCTCAAGGATCTGTGCATTTCCAGCGAATAGCGCAGGTACACCTTCAACAAGATCTCGAACTTGGCGAAGTGGAAATCTTTGATGGAGGACAACTTTGATGAGTCCCTCGTAGTCCAGAAATGTTCGATGGATGAAGTCACAAGCGATTTTTCGGATTTGAACGCGTTTTTCGGCAAGAGAGAAGTCCGTCGGATCTGGAAACTCTTTCAGGGCGATTTTGAAAATTTTTTTGTCACTTTTTTCTAACAGAATCGGTCATTTTTTAAACGGAATTCCGACCGCGGTTCCCCTTTGAATGGAATTTTCGAGAAAAGTAAAATTTTTTTTCTTCGATTTTCGCAAAATTTTTAGACCTTTTTAGGTTTTTCAGACACCTTTGATGATTTATTTTTTATCCTTCCGAATTTTCTGTCTGAAATTTGACAGGATGGTGCTCGCGAGGATTACTGTAGAAAACTATTAGTTTGTTCGGAAAGTCCTTTCCATTTTTGGCATTAGAAACATTGAATGTAAAAAAGGTCAAAACGATGTCGGATAAATTGGAGGTAATGACCATTGTTATCAATGACTATATGCCAATGCCCCACTAAATTGTGGATGTTTTCCTCCCAGAACTCCGGTCACAGCGAGTTGGAAACCAAGGCAACCCATTTTTGATATGTTGTTTTGAAGTGAATTTTTGTCAATCATGATGACGTTAGAAATCGCTGGATAGGTAGTAGTCAGAAAGTAGAAGGTTAGAGCTATACAGTGACTAAAACAGAATCGTCAAGCCATATCCACCGAGATCGGCCTGGGTCTTCCTTCCCGAATGAGGTTGCGGATTTTTTATATCGAATTCAACTCGCGAACAATTAAAAGTGGTCATAAAATACGGCAAAACTCATTCGTTCTCAATAGTTTAGTTCTGTAATTTTTTTAATTTAATGCTCCTCCATCGTCTAATAAACATGTTCAGAAAACTCTTTCCGTTTTTACCTACCGAACTGATTCATTTAATAACTCTTTTTAAGCATTCTACACGTTTATTTGTTTTCTATTTCGGCTCTGCATATTGACTGATTTCAGGCAATTTCTCATACGAAACACACAAAAAAACAACATGAATCAATACTAATTTATTGTTTTTGTTATAAGATATTTTCCAGAAGAGATTTATCGTTTTTCCTCAACTGGCTTTATTGAAGTTGATCTGGACGTCTGCTTTTGGCTAAATTATAGTTGTTTGCGAGTTGAATTCGATCTGAAAATAATTTCGGCGGAGAAGTACGAGTCTGTTATTGTTAACTAACCGCGAATTCCTTCCTTTTGATTTTTCCTTTTTTTTGTTGAAAAAATCGTAATTTGAAGATCGATGACAACCTGGAATAATTATGTTCATGTTGGGAATAGTCAATAAAAAGAAATAAAAGTGAAAAAACGAAGTTTGAGAAGCTGAAAAGCACTCAGAAGTACATCGAAAAGTCACATTTTTCTTAAAATGAGCACATAGAATTAAGGAGACGACCAAATTTCAAGAATTTACTCATTTTCAATGTAATTCGAGCTGTTCTACAACTTCTATAAATCAGAATTTTGAAAAATTGCGAAAAAACGGATTAATTTGAAAAAAACTGAAATTTCAGCAAAAAATCAAAAATCTCTTATTGCGCTAAGAGGACCTCTGGCGCGATTCGCGTGCTGGCGCCTGGCGGCCTTCGGAAGCTCAGGGTGATGTGCCTAAGACGTTCGCCTTTTTTAAAGGGGATTTTCGTCCAACGAGAATTCTGCTTTTTTTAATTGATGAATCCAGGTTGTGATAGTGGTTTGAAAGGGTACATCAGCGTTGTTAACCTCCACTAATTGGCGATCGATTTCAACTAATTTAAGATCAGATAGAAGCAAATATAAAATGGCAGTCCGAAAATGGAAATTGTTAGGGGCAAAAACGGTGGGCATATCTCACTACACGGAAAGTGGAGAATGATCTCCGTTTGGGTGTAGACTTTATTAGACCCCACCAATACACTGATAAAACGACAGCTTCCTCGCTTTTACCCCGTTCGAAAAAACGAAGTTTGAAAACAACAGATCAAAAATGGAAAGGACTTTCCGAACAACCTAATAATTCCCTTTTGTAGTTTTTTTTGCATACGCAATCTCGTCAAAATGCAGACAAAACGTTTAAAAAGTCTGCAAAAGAAAATTGGGTTTTTACAGTAAACTACAATCTTCAAGATAATCTTCAAGAAAACCGTTCCATCAAACTTCAGACAAAAAAAACGGAAAAATCGAAAAAGAATATTTGAAAATAGTTTTATAAAAACTTAAAGGTGGGGGGACAGGAGATTTTTCGTAGGATTTTTGTAGCCAGGGTATGCATTCTACCGTGATGGTGTACAGCGCTTAATGTCACTCTGCGTACAGCAGTCGTCCTCACCTTTATGTATGCATTCGTGCGCCGGCTTCCTCTTTGCCTGCGTGGCTCAGTCGGTAGCGGCGCCGCACCTCCAATACTTGTCTCGACAAGTTCAACTCCACGAGAGGCATATTTAAACGGAATTTCGAGAACATTATTTTTTCATGTCCCCCCACCTTTTGAAGGTCTAAAAATTTTGCAAAAAATTGGAGAAAAAACGCTAATTTTTCAGTTTTGGCGAGAATCCAAAAAAAAGATTCGAGAACGTTCCAAAAGTTTCCAGAAAGGGGGGAGAAGCGATTTTTCCAGATTCAGCCAATTCTTTACGAATTTTTTCCATTGTTATATGAATCTAAACTGTTTATTTTTCAGCTTCCAGAAATTTGAAAATCATGCTTTTATGCATTCTGAAAAAGCTAATTCGGACATCACTGATATGCCCTTTTATTAGAGAGTTGTAGTAATATCTTTTACCCTGCCCCAGAGAGATAGGACAGGGTCTCCAAAAATTGTACACCGGGTCTTGTGAAAGGCCCTGTATTCAAGTATTTAATGAATCACTGGGGGAAAAGAAGGGTGGTCACTCTGCGTATGTACCGACATCTCGCGGGTTCCGCGCGTCACTATGCAATGTGTGCAGAGTGGGCGGAGCCTAGGGAATCGTTCGAAAGATGCGTTTCGATTTTTGTGTGAAACTGGTCGATCAGGGATGTTCAGAATGGCTTTTTCGGAATTTCGAAAATTAAAAAAATTCAAATTTTGAAATAGAAATCCCACTTTTGCCTGAATCATTTTTAAAGGGGGACTCCGACCAAAAATTTTTATTGCCTCAAAATGTTTCGAAAAATATGTATTTTCCTAATATTATTACGAAAAAATTCAAAAAAAAATTCCTAATTCCCCGAAAAGCGGCGTTGAAAAAAACATAGGATTTGTAAAGAGACATGATTTTCTCTAGTCCAAGCATGGCTTTTTTTACCAACTGGTTTTGCGGAGTGTCTCTTAAAATAGAAAAAATGGTGTCGATATTGTTCTCGCGGAGAAGACGTCTGATTTGATGACCACCAAGCGTCTGATACCAGCTTCGAACATCACAATTGATAGAGAATAGAAACGCTTCCAGTTTTTTCCTGTTATCTCCAGTGGATTTGAATAGAAGCGATTCAAGATCTATGCGCTTCTGAGTCACTGAACTTTGGATGGCAGAAATTTTTGTGATTTCTGATTCAAGAGCTTTCAAAGATTCCAACACTTTTGTATGATGCTTCATCTTGTCCAAATTCTCACAATTACAACAATTCAAGGATTTTTGACCGGTGATTTGCAGCTTTTCATCGGGAGAGAAGATGGAACAGCATGCAAAGTTAAAATATTCCTCACAAACGTCGAATTGGATCTAGTTATCAGTCGTTCTGTCTCGTAGTAGATGGTTGACTACACAGAATGTCGACTTGCACATTGGCTCAGGAGTCTTCAGATGAGCCAGAGGATTCAGTGCAACGAGACGATAAGCCGTCGCTGTGCAGAAGGCGTCATCTCTGGCAGAGACTAGTTTCTTCAACGTGGCGTGCAGTTCTGTTTCCTCCTCCACCATTTTTGCCAAGCTCTTCTTATGCTCTCTGAGGGTCTTAGCAACTTGATCGTCTTTTCGGTCCATCGAATTTACTTCTCCATTGATACGGTTTTCGAAGTAACGAATAAAGAGTCCCATGACCACATGAACCGTTGGGATACCGTTATCTGTTGACTCCACCTGACACAATGGCTTCGATCCTTTCTTTACACCATTCTTGCCGCTTTTCGAATCTCCAGCATATGTTTTCAGAGTTCGAATAGTATGAATCTGAGCAAAATCCACGTACTTCAACTTCAGAGCTTTCGTTCCATGAAGGGACCATGGTGTGAGGCAATCGTAGCAAGGATGGAAAGAAGAGTGTCCTCGATGACCAAGATAAGCTGATACGATCTTCATATCTCCCAACACTTTCTTTTTTACATTCTTGGTGACAAGTGTACCATCTGCGGATGTATAGGAGATTTTGTCTAAATCGTTTCATAACTTCAGAACGCTTGAAGCGTTTTCTCTCAGCTCTTGCTCACTGTCTTGGCCATCGTACATGACGACGAGAAGAAGGTTGCCGGGAGAGTTGGGGTTAGGGGTGTTTTCAAAAGAAACACAAAGTTTGGTTTCATCGGATCCTTTGCCTCCAAGCAGACATAAGATCACATCATCTAAAGTAAGTTATTTAAAATCTCCTTATTCACTTGGTTTGATTACCTCCATCATTTATCAATCGACCGTGCTTATCTAATGTTTCTAATCTTCTTCTTATTCCTTGTTCCATGGATTTGATGGTGATTCTTATTGTTCTGACTTTCTGGACCCTTCCCGTTCCCAGTTCTTTATCTTTCTCAACTTCTTCAATTTTGTAGTTGCTGGAAGTGTCCAAGTCATTCTTAATAGCGTTCACGGCTTCTCGACTTGAGAGAACGTCGTATCCCAAAAAGTTGTGGAAGATGTGTTTAGCAGTTTTCATATTTCCGTCTGACAAGTGAATGGCAGAACGAAGAATGAATGTTTGCTCGGGGTTCAATCGACATGGAGATTCTCCGGTAGTATCAGCCTTTGCAATGATCTTTCGCAGCAAATGACTATAGTCGACTCCTGTACACGCTCCTCCTTTCATGAATCGTTCGCATTGCAGAACCGCCTTCCGTTGCTTATAGGCACTTTGAAGAGCTGCATACTTTCCCAGTTGTGGAACCCTTCTCAGTTGCTCCTCTTCATGATGCTCCACGGACTTCGACAACCGGTCTCTTTCCGCCGAGAGACGTTTTATTTCTGCACAGCGGATACTGTCAGACTCGGCAGATTTTCTAGCGCTCAAAAGACTCAACGTCTTCATGTTACGTAGCTCAGAACTAGCTAAATCGAGTTCTCTGGTGACAAGGTCTTACTGCTGAAGCGAAGTTTCCAAAGACTCAGTAACATCATCTCTTTTCTAAAATGTGTATCAGGTTATTTGTATTTCTTTCTGATATATTAATACCTTTTTCTCTTTTAAAAGTTCAAGCTTCAGACTGGCGCATTCACTTTTCTTGATTTCAAGTTGTTCTTGTGCTAATGTGTGCTTCTGAAAACTACTACTTTCTCAATTTCTCATAATTTTTCTAACCTCTCTCTCTCGCATGCTAACTCGTTGTGTAGCTCTTCTAGCCGTTTCTCAATCTACCTTTGATTTTTTTGCAATCATTTCGACTCCTAGGGAAATACAGTTTATTAATAAATTTTATTAAATCTTGTAACCTTCTTTTCCGTTACATACAAATCTCTCCAGTTTTCGGCCCCACATCTTCCTTTCAGGTTCTTCAATCGATGTTTTCTTTGTGCTGATGATAACGGCATTGAAGTTTATTCGGATTTAATCTTTTCAGTTTGTTTTTCACTGACTAACAATACTAACCATGCCACCGCAGTGAACACAGATTCTTGTTGTTCTACTGTCTACCGTAACCCTGCCTACATCTTCGTGCTTTGTTGAGCCCGAAAAACCCTGTTTTCTTCCACCAATACGGCATCAAATGAGCTGATTCATAGCTCAAAATGACGGCAATTAAATTTGAAACATTTTGTTGGGACCGTTTTTTTTTGAGTGATATATCAAAATGATTGAAAAAAATTGACTACAACTTGTTGGATTCGGATTTTTTAAAATACAAATTTCCAAGAAATTTGGTACCAAAAAGCCCTAAAATTACCACAATTGACCCTACAAAAGTGATGTGTGACATCAATAATTGCTTTAAAGTTTTTATTAGTATTTGACCAGGCTTGTTTCACATGATTCCATGACTCCTTTCCAAAAAATGCTCCTGAAAAGTCTGAAATTTCTAAGTTTTCTGAAAATATTCTACCTGGCTTCTGTCACTTCTCATTCTATCATGCATGAAAATTATTGTGATTTTTTTTGTTTTGAAAAATATTTGATAAGTTGTTATATCTATTTTGTCTTGTTTGCCATGAAATCCCTGCTGTTTTTCATGAGTTTGACGTCTTCAAAGTTGAGCTAAAAAGTACGCAATTTTGTAATGCAAGCGCGCCCTGTCTGCACGTGCGAGAGGGAGAGGGGGGAAAGGAATTGTCGACCGTAGTTTTTCGCGAAAAATTTATTCGCCAGGAGGCCGTGCGGCTATCAGGCGCCGTAGCCTAGGTTTCTCACTGCGCGGGAATTCAAATCCTCGTACATTTTCTCAAAATTTTTTTTTGAAATTTTTCTCTTTTAGCGGAATTTTTCGGGGATTTCAGATTTTTTTTTCGAATTTTCAGATTTTTTTTCGAATTTTCTATAGTATTGGGAAAATAGATCACTTTTCGAACATTTTGATGCAATAAAAATTTTTGGTCGGAGTCCCCCTTTAAACAAAAACCCCTTTTTCAGACATAGTCACTAACCATCTTTCATTCTCTTCGGATCACAAACTTCCACCAAAGCATGAATGAGAACACTCTGCTGAATATCGAGATATGCTCCGGTGAGCAACTCTTTCTCCTTCCTATCCAATTCAAGGCCGTAGCTGAAATAAGAACTTAATACAGTTAGAAGTCTCTCCGTTCATTTCAATACAACTCACATTCGATTCTGATGCTGAATCGCAGACGCCTGAGCCTTGTATTGAATTTCCAGCGTTTTGAGACGATTCTCGATTCGGACTTTTTTATTGAAAAAGTTCAATGTGCGAATGAAGCAGTGGAAGTGAGGTGGAGATGAGAAGATGCGTGGATCGCTTCTGAAGAGCAACGATGGGATTTTGATGACGTCCTCAACGTCGATCCCCTTATCGTGTTGGATCCACGAGGCAGCGGATTGAAGGAAAAGAGAGAATGGATCAAGTTGTTCGTATCGATCGAAAATTGCTACGAGTGGTTGTTCGAATCCGGATGGAGTATGAGGTTTCAGAGAGTCCATGAAGATATTGATAACGATTGGAAGCGAGGAGAGCTGATCCCTAATGCCGAATCGATTGATAGATTCCAAAACTTTATTGATATCCTTATTTTCCTTCAAATGTTTCAATCTTTGATCCGTTCTCTGTCTACCGAAATGCTCCTCATCTTGAATTTCCAAATCTGCCAATTTCTGATTTTCAGTGAAAATTTCCATAGAAAGCGGTGTTGGAAGGGTGAATGGAAAGATCACAGCCACTCGAGTTATCTGAACAAAATATTTTTTGTAGATTCATATAAAAATGAAAAAAAATTCAAAAAATCGCTTCTCTTCCATTACTAAAACTTCTGGAATGTTCTCGATTCTCTTTTTGAATTCTTGCCTAAATTTCGTAAATTTCGAAAATTAGCAATTTTTGGAAAGAAAAAATTTATTTTTATCAGAATTTTGAAAAAATTCTAGAACTTTTCTAGCTTTTCTAACTATCTTCAACAATTCTTTTTTGATTTTTCCGAATTTTTTGTCTGAAATTTGACAAGGTTACTGTAGAAAATCTTCTACTTTTCTAGTTTTTTTTGTTGCAAACACCATCACGTCACAACGCAGATAAAAATTTTGAAAAAAAAACTACAAAAGGGAATTTGATTTCTACAGTAACCTACAGTGATCTTCTGGAAACTCGTTTCATCAGATTTCAGACAAAAAACCGGAAAAATCGTGAAAGAATTTTTAAAAATAGTTAGAAAATCTAATAAAAGGTCTAAAAATTTTGCCCAAAAATCTGAGAAAAAAACAAATTTTTCTCTCGAAAAAATCGCTAATTTTTCGGAGTGTTCAGTTTTGGCGGGAATTCAAAAAACATTTCGAGAACATTCCAGAAGCTTCCAGAAATGAACGAGAAGCGATTTTTCGAGATTTTGCCTTTTTTTTTTAATTTTTTCTTTTTTTTTTTTTTATGAATCTGCAAAGTATTCTACATGATTTTCTGCACAAAAGAACAAAATTGAAAAAAAAAACCACCCACAATTTTCGCTCGAATCTCCTCAAAATTTTCTCTTTGTTGATCCATAATCGAGAGAAGATATCGTACAGGCATTTTACGGAAAATCGACATATCGTACAGAAAATGTTGAAGAGAGGAGTCATGTCGATGTGCTGCCTCTCGGAAGGAGCACATGTATAAAAGGACAAAAAGACGTTTGGGAACGGTTCGAGAATCGAAAATATCGCCGGTGAATGTGTCCTGAAAATTTTCAATTCAAAAAAGTTCAGCCTTTCTGAAGCTCTGGAATTTAGAAATTCGAATTTTCAGAAATTTGAAAATCCAGAATTTCGGAAATTCGGAAGTTCGAAACTCTCACCCTGACAAACTCCTTCCCGAGTCCTTTTCCCTTCGAAAACGCGGAACTCTGAGCGAATCCATCGACAATATCTGCTAAAAGCTTAGAACAAGGCAATGCAATACAATCTAATTGTATTTCAAGCCATGGTTTTATACTAATCTGGAACGCTTTGTACACTCCAGCCAACTGGAGAGCATGCACCGATCGAAGAGCCATCGCAGAGCTCGGAGAGTTTTTTGATGATTCTTGGCATACACTTCTGAAAACATCTCTAATTGAGCAGGTAGAACATTCTGGATTTTTGTACCGTTTCGCTACTTCCACCTCTGTCATACACCTCGATGTGAATGCATTCTTGAGGACTTGTGCGTAATTCGGTCGTTGAGCCAATTCCACTTTTTGTTTCATTAGGTCACTGGCAAACTCGGCGAGCTCCTCGATTCGAGATGACATGATACAAGCGTGCACGTAGATCAGATTAGCGCCGAATGTTGTGGTGACCTAAATTTTGTTAAAATGTGTTCTTGGTCTACATTAATCTATTGAAAAATCATCATTTTCTTGAAACACAAAAATTGATTCCAAGTTTCAGATATGGATTCTTTTAAAACTATAAAACCTCATCAACAGTGGATAAAAAATAATGTAATCACTCTAATAGAAGATCACCCTATATGTGCCCTTTGTACTCATTTATTTCGGTTCCTGCAAAAGATTTCGAAAAATTGCCAATTGATAAAACGTTTCTCATAAAATTACCAACATTTTATCAGTTGACAGATTTTTGATATCTTTTGAAGGAACCGAGATAATTGAGCTTAAAGTGAACGATTTGAATTTTTTCCATCTCGAGCCACAAGAGGGATCGAACTTGGGATTCTTAAATTAGCTCAAAATTTGCCAAAATTGAGTTGAAAATGTCCGACATTTTATGAGAAATTCGATTCTAGAATATAGTATTTGAAAAATGATCTTGAAATCCCAAAAATTGGATTTTTAAATTCAGAGAAAATTATCTTAAAATTGTGAAAATTAGCTCGACGAAATTCGGTTCTAAATTCTCATTTTTTGAATATTGTTCCAGAAATTTGAAGAGCTAGTTATATCCTGCTGACATCTAAATGCCCAATTCTCTACAATTTTAAAACCAGATCCAGTACCTTCTCCCCAATCAGAACCCTCTTCCTCGCCACTTCCAACCAATGCTCGACTGCTCGATCCGGTGGTTGAACTGCTCCAGTTTGATTCGGTGGATACCTGCGACAAAAAAAATCACTACTATTTTTCAATTTCAAAATTACTGTGTGAGAAAGGGAACAGCAATAAGTGCTGCCAGTACAAAACACTCGTGCTCCTCGCCGAATGGAGATGGATCAATAGTGGCTCCGGGTCGAATTTGTGGGGGTCTTGAGATGGATTGAGAAGTTTCCGGATCGGAATCCGGAACACAAGAATCTTGAGAATTCTGATCATTATCAGTTGTATCCATTGGCTCATCGATGGATTCTGATTCAGAAGGAGCGTTTCGTACAGAAGCCCTTGAAGAGGTTCGGAACACGAATTTGGTGACAGTGACGACTTCTAGCTCTTTCCACGGTTCCATAGCGAAATTCATAAGCTCTAAGAGACAGTAAGAAAGACGTGTACACCAAGGGGCCATTCCCATCTCTGGAAAGGCATCTGGATGAGCCTGAAGAACGAAGTTAGCCATGGAAAGAAGACGTGTGATGACGAGAGGGAGGACTTGACGATTCGACATTTTAACGACTATTTTATGGATGTAGGTGTCTGAAATTATTGATTGTTTTGATGTTTTATAGTAAAAAGCTACCTTTCTCCGATAGCATTGGTTCTAAAAACTCCAAAAATTGCTTGTCACTCATATGATCCACAGCCAGCCGACATGCGAATACACAATCTGATCGACGCTCAGCGAATTTGTAGATTATCCGTTTGGCAAAATATGGATATAACTCGACGATCTGTAAATGATTTTAGAATGCTTTAAATGTAAACATTAGATAGAAAAATAGCAAAAAAACCTTTCCAATGATCAAATTTCGATATCTCGTCCGGTTTCCTGGCGTTGGATTTGCAATTAAAGAGTTAACAATAACTACGATGTGTTCTGGCATTTCGATGAGGATCTGAATTTTTTTTAATAACTTGAATAATAAAAAACTCTGATTACATCCTCCATGACAGCTGGTCCGTGCTCAAAAAGCAGTCCATGAACAATTTCATCGATTGATAGAAGGCCTGGCTGATAGTTCTGAAGCATTATCAGCTGCTTGGATACCTTCTCCACTTGTAGACGGTCGATCCACGTGGGACTGGATGAGAGGGATGGGTCGTTGTCTGGAAAAACGGACGGCTTCGAAGGCTTTTTGGTGATAACCCACGTTTTTTGACATTCCTAACTAGATCCACGATTTCGTCAATGAAAACATCCTTGTCTCTTTTTAGAGCAGCCTCTTCTGATAGCTCCAAATTTGCGCCGCATGTTTCCATTGGACTTGATCCCCGATTCTCTCCGTTTTTCCCCGGATACGCTGGAGACGAACATTGAGACGACGTTCCACCACCACCATCAGAAGATCCATCCGCGTCTGGAGCTTCAGGATGACTGGATGGTTCGCGAACGGGCGGTCGGACTGGTTTCCTCGCGAGAATATGACCTCTAACTAGTCGAGATCTGACTAAACTCCAATCGACTTTTGTATGAATCGCAGCGTGGAGAGTGCATGGATCGAGAACGGTTACCAGAGGAGATACCAGAGAATCCTAAATTTGAAAAATTACTTTTATCATTGGCCAATTATTGAATTTTTTACCGGCAAATTAGGATTAACACTTTTCAAACTCGATTGTGCTGCTGCCACTTCGAAAAACGTTCTCTTCCGCTCCCAACAGTTCTGCAACTTTATTAGCACGCTTTCCAACAGCTACTGCTTGTAACTTACTTTTAGCCTAGGTTCTAAACATTTTCCCGAGCTTTTTTCGTCCATTACGACGCTGAAACACTCAATTTTTCGCTCTAGAATTCAGTTACAACTATGTTCTTCAAGCGAAAAAATCTCGAATTTCGAATTCTTGTCCTAGATGCAAGTTCGCCCTATTGCACTTTGCCGTGTAGTCCTCTCGGAAAACATTTTTTCAACCTATTTTTGGCATTTTCGCTCTTAAAAACGTCGTTTCTCAGTCTACTTTGCAGAAGATTGACATATTTTGTAAAGGAAAAAAATTTGCACGTTAGTTTTTGTAATATCCTGCTAAATATACAACCTAAATTTTAGGTTAAGCTTAAAAAAATGTCATCTGCAGCAGGAGATGCAGAAAATCAGAAAATTCGCCCAAAGAAGAGTTCAATATTATTCAAGAAGGTATAAAAAGCTGTTGAAAAATAATTTCGCAAATTTATCAGTTTCAGGTCAGGCAAAAGTCGGATTCCGTGGTCCCGTTTTCTATAATCCAGTTCAAGAATTCAATCGGGACCTAACGTTAGTTTTCTGCGGAAGGCTTTTATAATTGTTGAGTTTCTTCTAATTTCAGAGTAACAGTACTTCGACAATTCTCCGATGATCGTCAAAAATGGCACCAGGAGCAAGCTGCTAAATCTGCCGCTGTGTCAAATGGAGAAGGTGAAGAACCACCGAAGAAGAAAAATAAGCTGACTATTAACGAAGACGGAAAAATCAGAATCCTTGATGCTCTCTCCGCTTCTGGACTTCGCGCTCTTCGCTTTTCTAAGGAAGTTCCGAATGTTGGATTTATTATGGCCAACGATTTCTCGGATAATGCTGTGGCTTCGATTCAGGAGAATGTGAAATTGAATGAAGTTGAAGATTTGGTAGAGGCTCATTTTGGAGATGCTGTGATGACGATGATGGAGCACCGCGGAATCGACAAACGCTTCCACGCCGTTGACCTAGATCCTTATGGAACTGCATCCACGTTTCTGGACTCGGCTGTTCAATGTGTGGCTGATCGAGGAATTCTGATGGTCACCTGCACGGATATGGCTGTTTTATGTGGAAACACCCCAGAGGCATGTTATAACAAGTACGATGCAGTGACAACGAGAATGAAGTGTTGTCACGAAGTGGGTCTTCGTATTCTGCTCCGTGCAATTGATTCAGCCGCCAATCGGTACACAAGATACATTGAGCCACTTGTCTCGATTTCTGTGGATTTCTATGTGCGAGTTTTTGTTAGAGTGCATACTGGAGCTTTTCAAGCGAAGCAGAGTGGAACGAAGGTTGGAACTGTCCTCGTGTGCTCTGGATGCAACGCCATGGAACCCATTCCGATGTTGAAACGAGGAGAAAATAACCAGGAGAACAAATATTCTCTTCCCACAATCCGTCATTCTCTCACTGGTCCTAACAACCTCTGCGTTCATTGCAACAACCGACTTCATCAAATCGGACCAATTTATCTCGCCCCAATACATAGTAAACCATTCGTAACTTCTCTTCTGGAACGTCTGAAGTCGACACCAGAAGCAGAACGACTGGGAACTCATGGACGTCTTCAAGGAGGCTGACGATGGTCAGCGAGGAATTGGAGGAAGTGTTGTACTATGAGCATGATCAAATGGCCAATACAGTGAAAGTTTCGGTGCCAAAAGTTCAAAGTTTGCGGTCGGCGATTCTCCATGCCGGATTCAAAGTTTCGGGTTCTCACTGTAATCCGAGAGCAATCAAAACCAACGCGCCAATGCAACTGTTATGGGACATTTATCGTCAAGTGGTGAGTTTCAATTAATCCAACAATTTTTCCGTAAAACTTGTAATAGAAGGGCTGCCACTCTGTCAAATTGGAGCTAATTTTGAGACACTTTTTGTAATGTTATGATAAACAATTTATCAGTTGACATCGTTTTTTATATCTTTAATAGGAATTGAGATAAATTTGCTCAAGTTAAGTGTTAGATGTAAAATCGTATTTTTCCTCTAGGCCAAAGACACCAGCGTCGATCGTGAGAAGCGTCTGGCCAAAGAATCAGCTGGATATCATATCCTCGGTCAACCCATCACCAACACTATCAACTTCTCTCTCCACCCCGGTGCTATTGAACAGGCGAAAAAGGAGAATCTGGTACGATTCCAGTGTAATCGAGGAAAGAATTGGGGTCCAAGACAGAAGGCAAAGGGATCGGTGAACTCGACGAAAGCAGGATTCCAGTTGACAAATGTGGAGCAGCATAAGAAATAATTATCGTTGTTGTTTTGTTGTTGATCTTTTACTTTTTGGAATCTTTATTTGTTTGTTAAATGACTATTCAAAAACAGTGTTGTATGCAGTTTAACCTCGCTCTTCATCCCGAACAGCTTTCGGATTGCAGTTCGATACTCCGAACTGCAAAAAAGGTAGATTTTTTGAAACTGTTTCGGGTAAGAACTCACTTAATAATATAGAAAACGAACACATTGCTGGCACAAGCAACATTAAGCCCCATGCCGGCATATATCATACATATATTTCGGGTATCCACATCCTTCACTAAATGGATGCTGGCAATGTTAACAATAGTTACAGTACACCATCCGAGAATCACAAATATTACTGTATACAAGATTGACTTGAAGATAAATTTTAGGCCGGAGACTGAAAAAAAATTATAATTCGGTCATTATTCCGGCCTAATTTCACGTTGCTGCCGAAAAATCGAGGGTGGGCGGAGCTTAGGTTTCGGGGAAATTCTTTAATAAAAAGCGCATTTAAAGGAGCGTGTACTTTTCGTAATTGTTTTCTGGTCCATTTTTTTAGACGAATTTCATGTTCCTTCAAGGAATTAACCTAATACCGAATACCGACCTAAGCTCCGCCCACCCTCGAATCTTCGGCCACGGGGCTCAACTTTGAGCTCATATATCTCATTTCATCTTAAAGCTATCAAAAAATGGTCAACTGACAAAATTTTTATGTTCTTATAAAAAACATTTTATCAGTTGACAACTTCTTCATATCTTTGACAGGAACCGAGATAAATTGGCTCAAAGATGAGGGGTTGCTCTATTACATAGAGTGTTTATGATTTCTTACCTAATGCAGTTTGATTTCTAAGTTTCAGATAGGTGATAAAATAAATGAGAACTACTCCAATATTGATAATTAGTCCGCATTTATTGAATTTTTCAAATGTATTCCCGGATATTGCAAGTGGTACTTGACATATTACAGTAGTATTCGCATCCCGTTGAAGGAAACTAAAAGTGTTGATGTATATTGTGAAGATAATTGGAAAAGTGAGCTGAATGAGAAGATATAATGTGCGTTTTGAACATAGAAGACGATAGAGAATGGGGCATTGACACGCTAGAAATCGGTCGATTCCCATGGAAAGGAGTAATGGACTGCTGAGACAGAGACCGATGGATGAGGGAAGAAGGAGCCAGAAGCAGAGAGATTGTGAGCCGGGACCTGAGATATTGGAATTTTGTTAACTGAGAAAATACTTGTGATGTTATGATAAATATTTTGTTAGTTGACCACTTTTTGATATCTGCCCCAGAAATTGAGATACCGTAAGCACTTTCAACTGACGCAATTTATCTCGGTTCTTTCAAAAGATAGCAAAAAGCGTTCAACTAACAAAATACTCTTGATATTATGATAAACATTTTATCAGTTGGCAGATTTTTGATATCTTTGACAGGAACCAAAATAATTGAGCTCAAAATGTATTGGGCGAGCTTCTGTTACAGTGTTTACGGTATTTCTTACCACCATAAAAAAGCTGAAAATTGAAAACAAAATGGCCACAAAGATGAAGCATATCTGCAGCACAAGTCAGTGTAATCATGTAGTGACATGGAGAATTGAATTTTCTAAAACCTTTTTTGTCCTTCAACAAGTTTCTGAATACAACAACCGTTCTCGAAAAAAGCAAGTAATCATGATCATATTTCCAAATAACGAGATCGTGGAGCAAATGAAATAAAAAATTGCAATCGGAAAAAGTGGATTCAAAGGCATTCTAGATGTGAATGATTCCAAAATAATGATAGCTGTTTGTAGGAATTTCCTAGACACTCTTCACTCTGGGAGTTGTCACCAGACGGAAACATTCGTAGTATTTTGAGTGGACAATAATAGAAACGACTCATCTTGAGGGACAAGGAAATGACAGTCATGGGAGTTAGAAAAATACAGAAAGCTCATCAAAAACCTGTTATGAAAGGGTAGATTGTGATTAGATCAGGAACCTCCACAAGCAATAAAATGTACCGTAAACACTCTTAAAAAATGCTTTTTACTATCGTCCAGTATGTGCCCTCATTTCCTGTAAAAAATATTAAAACATAGTCAATTGGCAAAACGTTTGTTATAATATTAGCTAAATTTTGTTAGTGAACCATTTTTTGAGATCTTTGATAGGAACTGAGATAGTCGGGCTCAATGTGCACGTATAGTGTGTGATTCTATTTGAGTAAATACGGTATTTTAAAACCTGAAAATCCCAACACGGCTTCAAACGAAATGTGGAACTTGCTGGATGTGGCTGGACTATTCTGTCTTATCCACCGTATAGCCCGAACCTTGTACTTCCTGACTACCACCGATGCAGCCATTTCTAAGGCCAACTTGAGTGAATAAAAACCACCTCAAAACAGGAAGTCATAAATGAGTTGACTTGATTTTCAATTCGCTACCACCACAGTTCTAGAAGAAAAGCATCTTGAATTTGGTGAGGCGTTGGCCGAAAGTCATTGATAACAATGGTCATTACCTTCAATTTATCCGACATCGTTTTGACCTTTTTTACATTGAACGTATCTAACGCTAAAATGACAGGAACTTTCCGAACGACCTAATAATTATTCAACTCTGGCGGCAAAGAGGTATATCAAGTCTCATTTATGAGTGATCCATTCCGAGAAAAATCAATATCGTCCTCTATGTATTGCATAACGACGCGCGGAACCCGGGAGATGTCCGTACATTGGGACAATGACCTCCCCTCTCATCAAATCACACAGCATCTAGCATTTCATCGAGGCCTTCAATAAGACCTTCAGAACAATTTTTGGAGACCCTGTCCTAATTTTTGAGGCAGGGAAAAATCTTTAAATCCGACGAAGGAATAGTCTTGGAAAGCTATCGGGGGAAAATGAAAGTCATTATTAATCATAAATTTCAGGATACGGTGTCTCGCCATTCCAGTAACTGTATGTTTTGAAGAATACATCTCTTGACACTTTCTGTGACACTAATCTAGAAAAATAAGCTAATCTCTCTTTGTTGGATTTTCACAGAAAAGTTGCCAATTACAAAAATGAAGCTCAAGTTTTGTTTAGTACACTCTGAACTTTTCAGACAAATAAAAACCTCTAGACTATTTTCTCAGCACTTCAAAGTCAACCATTTCCTGGAAAAGTAAAAATATGATATATTTCGGTCCAGTACTGTAGTTTATTTTATGATTCTGATCATTGGTGCCTACATAATGATTGGAGTCATTTAATTTGGAATTCATTTATTCATAGGCAACGAAAAGTTTTTAAAGATTTGATTTATTCATTTTGAAACAATAAGCTTGATCTTTTGTTTCGATTTCAATTCCCATACAAAATACAAAAAATCTGAATTTCGAATCGTGTGACTTGTGTGGGCCAATACATCGAAAGTTCTCCACTGTAGTCTGTGTCTCATGCCCTTTTTGTGTCTCTGTTATCAACCAACTCATTTTGTATGCGCTCATTTGATAGTTCTAACAGAACGATTTTTTATTCGTTATGTTTTTTCAAACTTTTTTAGTAGTTGTGATAGCGAACACAGCACTTTCCCAGAGGATTCTCTTATCGTAAGTTCTGATACTTTTGCTCGAAAATCTCCAGAAATTCGCATTTTGCAGAACCGGTGAAATCGAAGGCAAAACCCTTAACGCAACATATTCTCCATTAGGAAATCAATCCGCAATTGTGTTTCTTGGTATTCCATATGTCGCTCCTCCGTTGGGAAATCTTCGATTTCATAAACCGAAACCACCAATTCCATGGAAGGGAATTCTGGAGACGAAAGCATACCGTCCAGCTTGTATGAGTAATGCCACGTAAGTTTTGTTGCTTATTGACCTTGAAAAGAAATTTAGAAGGTCACAGTAACTATAAAAGTCAGAGATCAGGCAGGACATCAGACTCAAAACTGTATTGATTAGTTGTTTCCGTGAAAATGAGTTTTTAGATAACAAATTAATTTTTGAACACAGTCTACTGATAAGAGTAAGAGCACTGAGGTGGCAACAAATATCAAACAAATTTTGAAAAGTTGTGTTGCCAAGTAGAGAAGGATAGAGTTTATGTTGGATGTATTAGGTTGCTCGGAAAGTCCTTTCCTTTTTTGGCGTTAGATACGTTCAATGTAAAAAAGTCAAAACGATAAAGGATGAATTGGAGGTAATAACCATTGTTATCAATGACTGTCTGTCAACGTTCCATTAAATTGTGGATTCCTTCTTTCCAGAACTCCGGTCACAGCGAGTTCAAAATCAAGCCAACCCATTTTTGATATCCTGTTTTAAAGTGAATTTTTGTCAATCAAGATGACGTTAGAAGTGGCTGGATGGGTAATAATCAGAAAGTAGAAGGTAAGAGCTATACAGTGGATAAGACAGAATCCTATAGCCACATCCAGCGAGATCGGTGTGCGTCTTCCTTTCCGCATGAGGTTGCGGATTCCAATTTTCAAAATAAACGTTTGTGTATCTCTCTAATGGAGATCCACATAGAGTCTGAGTTATGTCACCTGACAAGAATAGGTATCGGTCGTAAAAGTAACACTATCATCTGGCAGCTCCCAATACTCCATTCTTTGCTAGATCACCGTACCGACAACATCTCATTTTTAACATGAATTTCACGTTTCGGGACGTCTGGTGGTTGAGCACTTTTGTCAACTCACTTGGTTTGTAGTTTATTGTAATCATACATTACCCATTAATCACCACTAGTAATGATTTGATTCCAACATTCATGTGTGCAACGCAGGATGAGAAGATTCAAACGGGTGCCCATACGTGAAACAAAGTTGAGTTGAGACGAAATGTGTGGTCCGTATCTTCCCATTTTTCTGACTTTGCCGAGAGTTCTCAATTTATGGCTTTTTGACAAAAGGCTTGCCACTGATGTACTTTATATATCCCACACAGTTTGAGACGGGTCCCTCTCGATCCCGGCTTTTAATGCATCCAAACCTAACCCCGTTTGCCTTTTGAAAGGGGGATTTTCGTCCAACGAGAATTCTCGTTTTTCCAATTGATGAATCCAGGTTGTGAAGTTTGTTCGAAAGGGTACATCTTCTTTGGTAACCACCACTAATTGGCGATCGATTTCAGCTTATGTGAGATCAGATAGAAATACAAATAAAATGGTAATCCAAAAATGGAAATTATTAGAGGCGAAAACGGTGGGCATATCTTACAACACGAAAAGAGGAGAATGATCTCCGTTGGGGTGTAGACACTATTAGACCTCACCAGCATACTGATAAAACGACAACTTCCTCGCTTTTACCCCGTTTGAAAAGACAAAGTTTGAAAACAACAGATCAAAAATGGAAAGGACTTTCCGAACAACCTAATACTTTAAAAACAAAAATTTGAAAAATCTAAAACATTAGCTTGAATTGAAAGTATAACATGTATGAGTGAACCCATACGAGCAAAATCAATATGGTCCCCCATGTAATGCATAGTGACGCGCGGAACCCGTTAGATGTCCGTAAATTGGGACAATGACCTCCCCCTCATCCCATCCCACAGTATCTATCATTTTATTTTTGAGGCCTTCTACAAGACCTTAAGAACAACTTTTGGAGACCCTGTCCTAATATTTGGGGCAGAGTAAGAATCATAACTGTGTCCAGTCCATCGAAGAAACATGCTTGGAAAGTAAAAGACGCAACTTTCGGGGAGAATGAAAATCATCGTTCATCCTAACAAGGGAAGTTTTTTCAAAAAGTCTTTGATAATTTTTTGAAACTTTTTTGATACAAGTAGTAATTTTGGACAATAACGGCTCAACTTTTTTCGTCCCCATCGGTACCTAGAAACTGAAAAAAAAGCGTCTGAAATTTCACATTACTTGGGACAGGGTTCATTAGTTAAAACTCCAGGGTTTACATTTTGATGTTGTTCGGAAAATTTCAAATGTACTGTTGAAATCATTTTAAATTTTTTTTTATTATAAATAGACTCTCCAGTTTATAACTGAAAAGTTTCACAATTTACCTTTTGAAAAATATTGGCTTGAAAGCATTGATAAAAAGTCGGGAACTATGAAAATAAGATTGAGCTCGTAAAACGATCCTTTGATAATTCTACAGTATTAAAATGTGTTCAGTCGCATTCATAGATGAACCAGAACTAGTAAAGTCAATAGGGTCCTCCATGCATTGCATGGTGACGCGCAGAACCTGTAAGGTGTCCGTACATTAGGATAATGACCTCCCCCTAATTCCACCATACAGTATCTAGTATTTCATCGAGGCCTTCTTGAAGACCTTAAGTATAATTTTTGGAAACCCTGTTCTAATATTTTAGGACAGGGTATAAATCATAAACCATTGACAGTAAACATCGCAACTCTGGCCTGTACTACAGATTTCGAGAATGCGAACTACAGATTTCGAGAATGCGAACTTAATATTTTAAACGAAACTTTCTTTTCCAGGAAAACTTACAAAAACAGTGTTGGCGGACCAATTTCGGAAGACTGCCTCTATGCGAACGTCTTTACGAATGAGTATTGTTTGGAGAAGGTGCTCGAACTTCTTTCAACTAGTATAAATATATCCCGAAATTTCAGAAAAATTGTTCCGTAATGATTGCAATTCATGGTGGTGGTTTCTTATTTGAGTCTGCTTCAGCGTTCAATCCAGAAATCCTTATAAACAATTTTGTTGGACAGAATAGAAATATAGTGGTAGTCTCTCTAAACTATCGTTTAGGAGCTTTTGGATTCGGACACTTAGCTGGGGATGTTGGAGAACGAAATCTAGGTCTTTTTGGTCAGTTAAGGAATAGAGAAGTCAAAAGAAAACCTGTAATTTCCAGATATTCTCGCTGGAGTGAAATGGGTGAGACAAGAAATCCACAGTTTCGGAGGAAATAAGCATAGGATCACTTTGATGGGACATTCGGCAGGTGCTGGCCTAGTTGCTTTGGTGAGTATTTCAGAAAAAAAAACTAGTAAAAAATGTTTACAGTTTTCCATCTCTCCCTTGACGAAAGGATTGATTCATCAACAAATTGTAATGAGCGGTCCTCTAACGAATCTTTCAAAGAAGTCAAACTACAAAGCAATGACAAAAGTAACACAAATCGTTGGGTGTTTGCCAGAAGATGTCGGATTCGAGCCATTGTCGAAGGTTCAGTTGAAGAAAGTGAGTGTTAAAAGCATTAAAAAAGAAGCTGTAATTCTAATTGTAAGAACTACCACTTTTCGAGTAGTTCTAATATTCCAAATGTAGGAAATACTGTGGCTTTTATAACAAAATTTCGGAATTATCTGAAAGGGTACCATGTTCTAGGCATATTCTTGTCTCCGTTCAAAATCGGCACAAGAAATTTTGGATGCGGAAATGTTCGTTATGAGAGACACAACTTACTATTTTGGAGCACCTCATGTTGATGGAGAGGTACGTCTCTCTTTCCAAGTCTCTCATTTTCCGTAATTGACCATTTCAGTTTATCATAGACTACCCTGACCACATTTTCCAAGATAAATCAGTCTTCCCAATTAACACTATGCTTGGGACCACCACAGCCGAGCTTCGAGATAGCATGTAATGCAAAAAAACATCAATAAAATGATCCTAAACGTTCCGATTTCAGATATATCAATGATCCAAAAAATGCAGACAAGAAGGAAGAACTTTTGCAAAATATGTGCGAACATATTGGCTTTGAAATTTACAAGGAGCCGGAAAGATTTGTGGATCAGTGTGTGAAAAATTATGGAAATGCTACGCAAGCCCAATACTTGTCTGATGACATGGAATTCTATTCGAGAGCTATCAGCACAGCGAATTTACATTTGAGTGAGAACACTAAAGTTTATTTGTACAGGTTGTTATAAAAAGAGTTACTGTATCTCTATTGTATTTTTTACAGTTATGCCTACAGCGGAGCCGGACGTGCATTCAACAAGTATCTGAATGTTCCATCCCCACATCATTCTGAAGATTTGATCTACGTTTTTGGAACACATCGAGGTGTATTTGCTCCGAAAGACTATATCATTGAGCAAATCTATACTGGAATGTTCGCCAATTTTATAAATTTTGGAAATCCAACATTATCTGAAGATCAGCCTTGGCTACAGTATACCAAAGAAAAACGAGAGCATTTTGTGATTAACTTTGATGCGAATTTTACAATGCCAGGAATGAGAGAGTTATATTATACGAATGCGATGAACTTCTGGCAGTCAGTTTTTTCTTGATTCCTAAAGATAAAACATTTTTTAGCAATGCCGGTGAAAAAACCTTCCGTGAGCACTTCTCTAAATCGCTTGACACATTTCATATTGTCAATTTGAACACTCCAATTGTTTCTCATATCGATGGAATCTCAACAGATGTGGATAAAACATTCGAGCAGACTGAAATTTTGTTTAGTGAAAGGGAGCAATTCTTGGCAGAATTGAAATTGAAGAGAAATATTGGGAAGGTGGCAGGAAATGGATGGGGACGAGAAGCGGCTGCAAGAATTGTGCAAAGAGAAGCTGAGCTGGAAGAGAACGGAGGTGGAATCAGTGAGTTTCGTTTTCGGAATTCGAGAGGTCCCTTTTAGTACTTATGTCCTCTGAGACAGACTTTGAGATGACTTTTGGACCATTCTAATTTTTCCATTTCAATGTATGATGGCTCAAAAAATAAAGCTATGAATAAATTGAGCAGAAAGTCAATATTCCACAAATATGTTAATTGTCATGTGAGCGTCATGTTACACTAGTATTGCCATAATGACAGACGTTTTTCTTAGGATTCGTAGAAATCCTGCAACAGTACGATTTTTTGTTTGATCTACATCTTATAAGATACACTTGATTTTTGTGGAATCACCGAATTCTACGACAAATTGGCGAATTTTTGAAAAATCTGTCTCAAATTTTGAGTTTTTCGAGTGAAATCACCACCTCACAATTTTCTCAACTCGGCTATTCACTTTCGGACGGTTTTTGGATTACGGCAGCTTCATTTCTGTGCAAACACCAGATTTTACGTCAAATCACAGACTTTTTGACAAAAGTATCAGAAATCTCGAATTTCTGCTTGAAGCCAATTATCAGAACTTTTATATGCTCGTCTGATCCTTCTTTGACGTTATTTGGATTACGGTAGCTTGGTTTCCGTGCAAACACCAGATTTTACGACAGAATTTGAAAATTTTGAGATTGGCGCACACAACTGTTGCCAGGATCTTCTTAACGCGCTGAATTTGAAAAATTAGGATAACTGTAGTTCAGTTTTTGTGTGAACACCAGATTCTACTACAAAGTTCCAAAATTCTGAAAATCTGACAACTGTAGCAATTTTTTGACCTGTGAAAGAGAATGTTCAACTTTAAGTTTGAGTTGAATCATTTTTGATATTTCAGAGCGAGGAAATTGTAATCTTAAAAAATCTGAATGAAAAATATAATTCGATTTTCCAGATATTCTGCTAATAATTTTCGCCGGAACTCTCGTCTTCGGAATCCTCTACGTCACCATATCCCATTTCTGCTTACATCACCGATCTCGTGAAGGCTATCAACTTCTCAAGTGACCCCAGTTTGAACCTTCTCTGAACCGAAATTCTCTCTAAAAATAAATTGATATTATCATCGAGGGATCTCCTCTCGACAGCTGATACGTTTTCTGATGGCATTTCTCATCGGGGAAAAGTTGTAACACAGAACTTTTACATTTTAGTACAACACACACACACACATTCATTTATATTTCTGGCGGGAGACGAGGGAAAAGAGAGAAGGAGAGGACCATTAGAACAGAAAGTCAAGCACGGATTAAATTTCGGCGTGGCGTGAGCTCCTTCTCTCTCTCTCTCTCTCTCTCTCTCTCTCTCTCTCTCTCTCTCTCATCAGAATCTTCTTTCATTCAGTTCAGTGTGTAAACTGTTTCGAACTTTTCCCCCTTTCTCTCTTTTTAATTATTCAATCCCTTCTTTTCATTTTCTCATCTTGAATATACTTGTAGAAGTGGTCTTGTGCCTTTTTTCGCTCTACTTTGGTTAATGAAAAAGGGCAATTTGTTGAGATTCGGTTTTTATAAGATTGGCTTGATCCAAAAGATGTAACAATGTAACAATTTTATGAGGTCAAGTTTCAATTTTTCAGTTTTTCGATTGTGGATTTAAAATAAAATAAACCAGTCGATTTCCGCCGCCTGTCGGCGGCTACAAACTCCTGGCTTCACTAAAACGTTTGAATCTCCAAATCGGAGAGAATCAGAAGACGAAGTTTTAGTTGATTGTGTTGTCAACTTTCATAAACTGGAGTGACAGTCTGCTTATGCGCCTTCGGGGCTAAACCTTCTGGCTCCCGCTTACAACACTCTTAACCGATTGAGTTTGGGCTTGGTCAGATAAATCAGAAATGTGACTTAGTTGATACACGAACTGTTCAAAATTTCCAAATTTTTAGAACTAATAATTTTCCTGAATTCCCGAATATCTTTAAATTTGACAACTTATAATTTTTCAGAAGTTTCGAAATTCAGGAGTCCTGAATTTTCGGAACTGCGATTCTAGAACTCAAAGATTTTTCTATTAAAATACTTCATTTCAGAACTCATAATTTCTGAAATTTCGTATTTTCGAGTTTCCGTATTTCCGACTTTCTGAGATTCTACTTCACAAATTCCCAAAATTAAAAATTTTAACACGAATCAGATTTTCAGAATTTTCTCTAAAACACATTTCTGAGTTTTTGATTCACAAAGTTTATGAATTTCCGAATTTTCTAAATTCCGAATTTGGGGTTTCTGATATTTTGAACTTCTGAGTTTCTGGTTTGTCTGGTTTTTTGCTTTCGAGATTTTGGATTTTCAACATTTCGAGTGTTCTAACTTTCAAATTTCTTAATTTCGTAATATTCCGAATATCTGAATTTTTATACTTCTGAATTTCCGAAACATTGGACATTTGAATTCTCTGATTTTCAAACTTCAAAATTTCCGAAGTTTCAAATCTCGGTATTTTTGAGTTCCCGTTTTTCCAATTTTCCGAATTTCTGAATTAGAATTTTAGAATTTCAGAGTGAAACAAAAATGTTTGAAGCATAGGAATGGTTAGAAATTTCGCATTTTCGAAAAAAATCTTAGAATCTTAGAATCTTAGAATCTTAGAATCTTAGAATCTTAGAATCTTAGAATCTTAGAATCTTAGAATCTTAGAATCTTAGAATCTTAGAATCTTAGAATCTTAGAATCTTAGAATCTTAGAATCTTAGAATCTTAGAATCTTAGAATCTTAGAATCTTAGAATCTTAGAATCTTAGAATCTTAGAATCTTAGAATCTTAGAATCTTAGAATCTTAGAATCTTAGAATCTTAGAATCTTAGTAGAATCTTAGAATCTTAGAATCTTAGAATCTTAGAATTTTAGAATCTTAGAATCTTAGAATTTTAGAATCTTAGAATCTTAGCCTCTTAGACTCTTAGAATCTTAGAATTTTAGAATCTTAGAATCTCCAGAATCTTACCCAACAAAAAAATCCTCCAAAAAAGTTGTTGTTGTGTTGCAAAAAATCCCTCACACATTCCTTTCAAATCAACAAGTTGGTTCAATTAGTATCTCCAGAAATACGGAAATCTGGAGCCACTTTACAATTTTATTTTGCATGGATTTAAAATCTTAGAATCTTAGAATCTTAGAATCTTAGAATCTTAGAATCTTAGAATCTTAGAATCTTAGAATCTTAGAATCTTAGAATCTTAGAATCTTAGAATCTTAGAGTCTTAGAATCTTAGAATCTTAGAATCTTAGAATCTTAGAATTTTAGAATCTTAGAATCTTAGAATTTTAGAATCTTAGAATCTTAGAATCTTAGAATCTTAGAATCTTAGAATCTTAGAATCTTAGAATCTTAGAATTTTAGAATCTTAGAATTTTAGAATTTTAGAATCTTAGAATCTTAGAATCTTAGAATTTTAGAATCTTAGAATTTTAGAATCTTAGAATTTTAGAATCTTACCCAACAAAAAAATCCACCAAAAAAGTTGTTGTTGTGTTGCAAAAAATCCCTCACACATTCCTTTCAAATCAACAAGTTGGTTCAATTAGTATCTCCAGAAATACGGAAATCTGGAGCCACTTTACAATTTTATTTTGCATGGATTTGGATTCTCTCTTCTTTTTTTTCTTAAATCTCGCCATTAGATGTGCAAAGTTTGAACTTTCTAAATTTAGAAAATCCGATGCATCCGCATATTATTCACATATTCTAGCATTATATACAGAGAGTTCCAAATCGGGAATATTTTATTAGATGACTTCAGAATCTCATTTTCACAGTTTGCACACACATTCCTGCATTAGTCATCCCCTTTAGAGAGTTCCATCGAACTTCTTGGACCATTGGTTCTTTCAAAAAAAAACTCATTGGAGTTCTTTGGCTCATTTTTTTCATTCTCCTCCAGTTTCTCTTTTTCGTCTTTCTCGAATTTCATCAGAAAAAGAAGAATTTCAAACATTTCTGCAATATGGTGGATGGATATCGAAAAGGATGGGGAGGCTGTGTGGGGGATTTATAAACATCTTATTGGTTCTTTGGAGCCGTTTTTTCCTTCTCGTTCAATCCAATAAATCTCCACACATTTCGTGTTTTTTCTCCCGCCTCTTCCCTATCCTTATTTCCGTCCATTTGCCATATAAACTTTGCAATCTTTCTCTGATTTATATGATTGCTCAGTCCGCCGAGAAAAGTTTTGCAAGGTTTTTTTATAGAGATCAAAAATCACAGTTTTTCAGAAATGGTTTTTTTTCAGAATTTTTCTGATTTTGCGGTCTCCTGATAATATCGTATTACGAAGATTTTTTTTGCTTACTGTATTCTTAAAATTGCAGGTTGTAAATTCTAAAGTTGTAAATGGAATTGAATCTTGAATTTTTTTCCAGACTCCGTAGTTTAGATTTTTTCTAAAAGCCGCGAAAAATTTAGAATCTTCTCGGCCCTCATAGTTAGAAAATGACCCTGACATTCTATAATTTTAAGTTTCCAAATTTTATTAAACACTGTATTTCCTCTAATAGACACCACTCATATATTTACACTTCGACCTCAACTACCGTAGTACCTGTAACAGAAGGGCTTTCCCACTGTAACGTTTGAGCCAATTTATCTTGGTACCTGTCAAAGATATCAAACAGTGGTCAACTAATAAACTGCTCATCATAATATCAGAATTGTTTTTCCAGTTGACAAAATTTTGATATCTTTGACAGGAACCGAGATAAATTGGCTCAAATGTTAGGATCATTCAATTAGAGTGTTCACGGTAGTTGCAATTTGAGCTCAATTATCTCGATAACTATGAAATTTATCAAAAATCTGTCAACTGATACAATCTTTATCATGATCTCATT